AAAGTAAGAAGACAGAACTGGAACTGTGAAATGTGTTATTCAATTCTATTGTTTTAGGTCCATATTTATTTGAATGTTTCTTGTTTAATTCTTTCATTGTATTCAATTATGTGATTCATTAAATTCGATTGTTTCAGTAATCTTCTAAGAGTTTCAAACGGAATAATTGGCAGTAATGGCAGTACTGAAGAAATTAGATGTGCACATTATCAGGATAGATAATAAGTACGACTGGCTGCTCTATCTAGTGATAAAATTGTATGGTATGTGCTACCAGATGATTAAGGAGATTTAAGCTTACGTAAGGATTTTCTAGATTCAAACAATTGTAAATAGAATTAAATCTATTATTAAAATATGAGCCTATAAAATAATTACTATAACATTACAACCACAATTACAAGACAAGTATTTTGATGAGGATGCAAATTTTTGTTATAACAATCATTATTTAGAAGAATATGTAAAGGAAAGGACGATATGAGTTATTACATTATACGACTTCGAACGATAATTTTCTAATAAAATGTATTCAGGATTTGGAGACCAAAATCTCATCCCCTAATGTATTAAATTTGAGTTAAATAGAAACGAATTTTTAAAAAAAATGGCCAAAAAGAGGCTACAAACTGAGTGAAATTATTGGAGAGAGAATGTGTCAGGTAGTGGACAGTGTAGCAAAAATAGAAGGTTTAAAATTATTTCTAAAAGGAAGTGTACAATATTGATGCAGTTGTAATTTAAACAGGCTGTCAATATCAGATTCAGACAGTTGGAAAATATCATTTTCATTAACTTATGTAAAATGAAGCTGGTATTTTAGTTGTGCTGCTTTTAATTACAAATATTATAATTGCTTCTGTACTTAAAAAAAGAGCATTTATTGCTTGAAGCAGTTAAGATATACCAGAAGTATTGCATTTAGATTGAACAACTAATTTAAAATCAAGGTGCAAGGTAGAAAGAGATAAAATCAAAACTATAGAAAAGAAAAACTTAATACAAGAGTTAAAAACTTTAATGATTTATTTGTTTTATAACAAATGTAATAGATATAAATGATGAGGAAAAGAAAAATAAGCTGTAGAACAAAACAAAATCATTGAAGTGAATCATCACTTGAGAGAAAGCCCAATTAATTGGTGAGAAACTGGGTTATAAAAATCATTATCATTCAATGCAGATTTGTCTAATAAAACAATGCAAGCTATATATAAATTTAATTTAAATAAGTAAAAGAAGATGGTGAACTAAAAATGAGAAGAAACTAGATGGTGAAAGTACAATAAACAATCCTCCCGGAAAAATCTACTCCATGGTCACTCATTAAAATTAAACTAACTGTTGACAAGAATAAATTAGTTAAAGTTGTACATGATAATGGCTCTCCCTGTTCATTAATAAATGAGAAAATAATTAATTTATTAAAATGAAAATTACGAAATTAACCACGAAACTGCTTTAAAATCTATAAGTGGTGTGGATCTTTGTCAAAGCTGGGCTAATCTCCATTTAAAAATAGAAGGCAATCTAGATCTAATAGTGGCAAAGAATAATTTCAATTATGATTTGTTATTGGATTTAGATGCAGTTAAAAATTTCAAACTAATATAACGCAAAAACTAAAAAGTTTAAAAAAGTAAATGATAAGATGGTTAAGGTGAACTTGATATGTAAAATATATAAGACAGTACTGTAAAAGAAAATGTGAATGATTTATTTTTTTTTTAATAATAATAATAATGAAATTAAAAAATGATGAAATCAATAAGACGTTTATTTCTTAGAATAAATAAAAATTTTGATAGTGAGAATTTAAAACATCATTTAAATAAAGAGAAAAAGTTAAAAACAACAAAATTAATGCAATCATTGGGCTAACAATAATACTAGAAAGGCAAATATATTTCAAGAAAACGATATATGTGTTCATTTCCAGATCAAGGCGAGATAGATTCACAGATTTCACAATTGTTGGACAATGAAGAAGAATCAAATTCACATTTTTCCTCCTCAGTAACATTACCATTCAAGAAATTAGATAGAAGGAGAACACAATTATGAGTGGGTTTCAGAGAATTAAACAGAATAATACCTGAACCACATCCATTTTCCAGAATAGATCTATTTGTACACATTGGTAATTGAAGTTAGTTTACAGCATTAGACATCAATTCAGCTATTTGGTCTATTCCAATGAGAATCAAAGACCTTAAGAAAACTGCAGTTGTATTACAAAAAGAGCACTGCAATGGAAAGTATGTCTTATCCAAATAGTTTTAAAAACTCTCCACATATATTTCAAAGAATTTTAGCAAATATAATTCAAAAATATAAATTAGATAAAATTTGTGTCAATTATATAGGTGATAATTTGATCTCTTTAGAATCATTTGATGGAGATTTACAACAAATTAGATTATTTTTTGAAGCAGTTAAAAAAGAAGGATTTAAATTGAAATCAATGAAATATGTTTTGCTAAACGTTCTGTAAAGTATTTAAGGTCATGTGATAGAAAATGTGAAGTTTATCTAGTCAAAATAATCTTAGTTCAATTCAAAAATATAAACATCTAACAACAAGAAAGATATTAACACAAAGATTAATTTTTATCACAAATTTATTGACCACTGCACACAAAGGTTAGCACCATTACAAGTTTTATTGCAGAAAAATGTACAATTCCAATGGACAGAAGAATATGAAAAATGTTTTGAAGAAAATAAACAGTACACTGGTCATCACCAATTTTGCCTATTTAAGACAAAGATAAGGATACAGTAGTAGAAGTCATGTAGGCTTAGGTGAAGTTTCAAAAAGACTCAGGAAGATGGAATTCTGCACCCAGTAGGATATTTTTCGATTAATCTTCCTTTGATTTGATATTTTTTTAAATATCTTTGGTTGTTTTTTTAAAAACAATATGAAAATTACTTACAATTAAAATTTAAAATTATATAAGAATAAATATAAAAGTAATTATTATTCTTCTAATTTGGGATTTGTTCAATATAAATTAATTCTGCTCTTACATAGGTCTTATATAGAAAATTAAATACAATTGTAATTAACAATTATATAAAACTATTTTTTAAATATATTTTTTATTTATTGATTTTTAATGTAAAATTAAACATTTAAAAAAATGATTATTCGGAAATCGTGAGATGGGGTCTGGTGTGATGGAGGTATCAGAAAAACATTTTCTTTATCGTGCCAGCGTTTCGATCTTTATTGAGATCATCTTCAGGGCCTGGGATTTACAAACATTGTTTAAATTTAACAAACACATGTAGGATGTGGAAAAAAGTGAATTTATACGATGCAAAAAATATATTTTATATATTCAATTAAAGTATTTCTACTCACTCAAAGTGTTTGTTTTCTGCGTAATGAGTGGATTGAATATAATTTTTTTTTTGCATTGTATAAATTCATTTTTTTCACATCCTACATGTATTGGTTAAATGTAAACAATGTTTGTAAATCCCAGGCTCTGAAGATGATCTCAATAAAGATCGAAACGTTGGCATGATAAAGAAAATGTTTTTCTAAAACCTACGTCACACCAGACCACATCTCACGATTTCTAAATAATTATCGATTAACAGTCACTAATCACCACACATTAAAAAAAATATTATTGTTTTAATTTGAAATTTATTTTTACATAAAATAATTGGGTTTTTACAAACTATATAAAAATTCATTAGGTACAATTAAAATTACAAATTAAATTTTAAAAAATGTAAAAATAGAGGGTTCTACTTTTAATTTGGGATTTTTAAACATAAAATAATTGGCCTCTTACATAAACCGCATGAAAATTAATTATAAATCTTTTCTTATTGTACCAACTGATTATAAATCGGTAATTAATACAATTAAAATTAAAAATCATTTCAAATAAAGTTTTAAAAAAGTATCTTTTCAAACATTTTTTATTTCATTGTAATTAATTTTCATGTGGTATTTGATGAAAGAGCCCACTTATTATTATTTTTTTAATCATATATTAAAAAAAGAATCCTTTATTTTTAATTTTTTGCAATATGGTTAGGGATGGTTGGGGGGGTTGTTATAATTGTAAGTAATATTTATGTGATTTGTAAGAGCCCAACTTTAAGATCAATATCACAATAAAAATAACGTCAAATTAAAAGACTAATGATTTGTTATGTTTAATTTATATAATTTTTCGTTTTAATTTTAATTAATTTGTATGTGGTCTTCTAGAGCACTATTATTTTATATTTAAATATTTTTTTCAAATGCAATAATTCTAATTAACGTGCCTATATTTCATACTTTCCCCTAAGTTAGTTTGTTGTTTTAAAGAAAGTGTTTATTTGCGATTAAAAAGGGTTAATTTGACGGAAAAAATATACATTCATGGCTGCTTAAAAACAATTTTGTTGCCAATAAAAATATAAATTTAAAAAATATTTTTGAATATATAAATCGACCAGTTTTGTAACAATTGATTAAAAAAAATAACTCAATCCAGTGCCTAGGTCAACCGGGCGATGTAAAATTTAGTTAATACATTAAATTTATCTTTTAGTTCAAATTGTAAAATAATTAAGATGCCGATTTCGAAAAAAACGCAAGTGATTGTCTGAAGGGTTGGGTTTTTGCATCAAAATTTAATTGTAATTATGTTAAAAGTGCCGACTAAAGAAAAATATTTATGCGGTAAATTACTGTTTTATTGTAAAATTCTTGGCCAAACGTTCGCATGCACATTGGAAGAAAAATAATTGCGCATTTCACTCTAGAATGTGTGCATTAATGAAGCTGTCCACTCAAAAATAAGTGTTCTTTGTGTAGAAGATGAGTGGGAACTAAAAAAAACTGATGCACCCTACCAATTGGAGCTTAATTACTCTTCTTTATAATCTATCATTATTCCGTTAGGAAGGGGGGACGGAAATAGTAAATTGATAAGACACGTCGTAAAGGAAGCTTTCTAAGGGAGAGAGTCCCGACAGTTTATTCAATCAGTGAAGTAGCCAGCGAGCAGAGAGATGGCGAGCGGCGCCTCCAAAAAAGAGGGGATCAAACCGGAAGCCGGACGCATCTCGAAGGAGTGCAAATGCATCGGTTCAAATTTGATCACGCAAAAGTTGACCTATGTGTACATATGTGTCGGGTTGGTGCTCGTCACCCAGATCGTCCTCTACGTCTACCTCTACCGTTACATTTCCAGGGTGGAAAGTAAGCTCCACGGCGAGTTGGGACCTGTCAAGGTACGTCCCAAAAGATCTTTGGGAGATTTGGAGAACACCGTGCTCAACCAGGAGTCGGCGAACGTCGAGTACTACAGTCCAGGAGGGAGGAAAGACTTCGACGACCACCAGTACAACAACACGAACAAAACGGAAGATTGGGTCGAATTGTCGTCCCTCTCAAGAATACCGGTGAGTAAGTGCATTTTAGTTGCAACTGTCCTATTGATTCTTCATTAAATCATAGGGGTTGATAAACAATAATATGGCACGGAGGTTTATAGAATATTTTGGATTTGTACGATTTGCCGCAACAAAAAGCAGCTTTTTCAGACTCAAAAATAATATTTCTGACACTGTAGACTTATGCCTAGGGTAAAGAAAGCATATGCCAAAAAGAAGATTAGTCTACATCCTACCTAAGACTGACAAAAATCACCTTTCTCATAGAAAATCCATATTTTACAGCAACGGATTCAGACAGGGGAATTCTTATTGATTCCTTGAATTACTTCTACTTTATAAAATATTTGCAAAGAATTTTTTTTTTTTTATTAATAAAATAATAAACTAATCGGGATATAATGCCGGGCTGTGGGTCAGATAACAGAATATTTACGTAACGTTGAGTTCCTCTGATCGACAATTTTAAACCAACAATTTTACCATAAAACCCACGATTATCGGATTGCCCCGTTGCCCGCATGTTGTCACTACTACAATAACAAATCACTACCCGAGTTTATAAATTTTTTCAGCAGGAAATGATTATTTACTTCAATTCATTTGTCCTAGCTAATGGACATAACGATAAATAAATTGTAGTTTCCTAGGGCAGCATGCGAGTCAACGAAGATTTTGCAATTTAATCATTACTCGGTCCGGCATGCTGTTTGTCTTCCGTTCGATCTTCATCAAAACAAATCGTTTGTTGTCGCGTCTGACTGTCCAAGGACAAAATAGCGCGACCAAAATAACCAAAGATAAAAAGTAGTTTTTTCGAAGAAAAAGTCAAAATGCAGAATGCAAAGGCTACAAAGGCAAAGAAAACAGCACATAACCCCGAGTTCTGTCGCTGACATCAAATAAATACATACAAGAATATCGAAAGAAAAGAGGAAGTAAGAAATGGAGGCCTTGAGATTGCCGACGTTTCACACATCGATCCAGAGGAATGAGGATGCCATACGAAAATACAAATAGACTCCTAAGACAAAATGAAATATAACCCGACCCAAAACGTCGCTAGCCCCATCTTAGAAAATAGGAATAATCTGCTAATATAATCTAATAATTCAAATACCATCGACTCGAGCTCATTTATGGCTTTCAAATCGAATCTTGATAGTCCTATTTAATCAAAAATTTCCTAACTCGTATTTTCATAGTTCATTTAGTATATTGTAATTAGAAATTTTAATGAGAAATCTGATTACCATACCTAATTCATTATATATTATATTAATTGTAAATTATTTTTTATCTTCAAGGATTTTATATATTTATGATTGCATTCTTTGTTTCATAATATGTTGAGTATTTATTGGCATTTAGGTCGTTTACACTTTACTCATGCAACAATTAAAAAGTAATAAAAAATAAAAATGTAAAAAATCATAAAATCCTAATAAAGACCAAAAATAAATGAAATAGCTGAAGAAATTAAATTAAAAGACAATTTTGACACTTCCAACTAAATATAACAAGTTTAGAAGAATAAAAAGCCTGTGCAGATATTGCCAGGAGTGCAAAGGCCTTGGGATTGTCACATTTACAAACATCCAAAGGATGGCAATGAAATTCAAAGAGACACTTAAGACAAAATAAAATAAAACCTGACATAAAAGAAAACCATCATAAATACAGCCTTATTATGATATTCAGATGGATAGAAAATCGAGACAAAGGGCTACATTTTAACCTAGCAAAACCTCTACACCTTACACCATCAATTTTCCAGGTTGAAATAGGGAATGACTAAGGTATCTCAAGTTCCTATGAAAAATAAAATCAGGTAACTGATGTGCCACAACATGAGAGGATAGAAGGAAAAGAACAGGCTGACTAACTAGCAAAGACAAGACCAGCTTTGGACCAGAACAGCAAATTGGCATTAACGGCTTACTAACACCTAGAGCAAGAAGTAAAGAGGAATCCTGGATAGTGATCAACTATTTTCAGGGTAGTGCACTTTTCTGGGTTTGGAAATAAACAAAGGTCAATGCCACAATAGATCTTTTAGGTCACAGTGGAAAGAAAGGGGAACTTTTGTCACCAGCGATCCCAAAGTAGAAAAAAATCCCTTAATGGTAGGTAACAAATAGACTATTATTATACTAACTAGGGACAAAGGTCTAATAAAAAATATGAAAATCACTAATAACTTCGGTTTTTATATAGATCATAGATTGACTACTGATCATAATTGACTGGCATTAGTTAGAATGAAAAATCGAGTTTACTCAGAAAAAGAACCTCACCCTATTAACTGTGATTCTATGTACTGAACTTTCCCCCTACCTGAAGAAACCCTTTCCACATATGATAACTCCCTCTGATCTGTTACTAAAAAACTATCTCTCAGTTGTTTCCCCCATCAGGAGCGACAATGATAAATCAAACCTATTGGCAGCCAACTTAGAATCCATCTTTACTGCCCATCAAGACATAAATGGTGTCCCTCACGCACAACAGATAATACATATATACATAATCTTAGTGTGCCACGTCTTCTTCATCTCCCTCTCAACCTTTGTCATCCTTCTGAAATGAAGTACCCATTCACAAATCCCCAAGTAGAAAATTTCCTAGGCATGATCTAATTACTTCTACTATACTTTGAAACCTCTCACAAAAGGCCATAGTTTTCTTAACTAAAATATATAATGCCATCCTACGAACCACTCACTTTCCTCTCTTATGATACATAATATTCCGACATTTTTCTCATTCCTACCTCCAATGTCCTAGAACACCTTGCGCTTATCAAAGACTGGTGCAAAAAGTGGAGAACAAGACCGAATGAAGAAAGTGTACTTAGTGCACAGTTACATTGAAAAAACAATCTTGCCCTCCACTGTACATAAACCATACCAACTTCCATCAAGTCAAATTCTTAGGACTATAACTAGACAACAGACTTAAGGGATAACAACTTAACAGAAGACTTGAACAACTACGAAAACTATTAGGAACGAAATCTGTCTTGATTGTCAACACTAAACTAACCTTATACAAGAATTTATTGTAACCACTTTGGACATACGGAATGGAAATGTGTGGCTCTACCTAGCCACCCAACATTCAGCGCATCAAATCCTGTTCAAAAGTCCTTGGACCAATCATCAAAGCTCTTTACTATGTCACTAACCTCACTATCCACAATGACCTCAACATTTTGTCAACAAACTGATCCATTCTCAATTCCAATAGTTTGACACCAACCTCTTGATCCATCCTAACCCTACTGTTCGAGCCCTTTCTACAAATTCCCTTCCCAAGAACCCACCACTTCACCTTAATCAATGATGCCCTCTAGACCTTCTTGCCCCTTAATCCCTCACACTGAATGTCAGCGTTGGTAGTTTCTCATGGCATGTGTCCTCAGGTGCAGCGCTGGCATTAGTATTAGTGCTGTGACCATTAGATCAAGTGTGGCACCTGGGTTGCTCTGGAAACTCAATTGCATCCATTCGTTATCTCATACTAAAATCTTATCTGTATAACAGTTTCTTTCAAGTACAAACTTTCAGAACATCCTTCTCCACTATCCTCTGCAGCAAATGTTCCACATGGCAATATCCTTGGTCCCATGATGAATACACAAAAATATTACTATAATTTACAAGTCTGTCATATCTAATTGCTTATTAATTATGACTATCATGTTATTTGTTGATCATTATCAAATTATCCTCAGATTGTAATGTATCTATTAAAAGTCGATGACCTGTAGTTAAACTAGATATTCATTGATAAAAATGTACTATTGTGGGCCAAATCTAATTAAAATCTTAGAACAATAAAATAAATTTCTGGTAGATTAGATTTTTTCTATAGAGGAGTCATGTAAAAGTGAATCTTTCAAAATAGTTATAAACAATAAATAAAATTAGATTATAAAATACGATTTTATACAGTATCAAGGATGTTGACATTCTATTTGTTAATGAAACAAATGTTTTAAATTCTTTTCATCCTCGTTGAAATATAATCGGCTATCATTTGGTCATTATCAAATTTACGCAGTTTCATTATCTCCATTCAAGATATCGAGAAAAAAACTGTCGTAGTCATTATTTATGGGTTTAATGATTTTAATGATCACGTCCAAATTTAAGAAAATATGTGCTGTTCATACTGAATCCTACGATTTTACCCTACTCTCTTGTCATTCCATGGCACACTACTATTTATTATTAATTAAAGTGTCAGTGTTCATATTATAATAAAACAAAAATATTTTTGTTATAGAATAAATAGGTATCGTTGTATCTTGATCTACGTAAATTCAATAGTAATTTCTTCATACTTTTTTTCTTCAAAGAAAGTACTGCTGTCTAAGAAGGACATTACCTGTTCCCTTAATGATTACAGATTAAGATTTAAAAAATACATTCAAATTAGTTTGAATATAGTAAATATATAGTCATGATCGAAGGGATAGATTTATTGAAATATCAAAAGCTTGACAAATTATCGGCTTATTTTCTTTTTAATCGGCCTCATCACTGATTATCTTTTACTATAAAATTGCAGGATTTTAAGCTGATGCCAATTATATCAAGTTAATGTTAAAAAATGAGAAAAATGTTTATCATGAGCACTGGCGCTAAGTTAACTAATAAACAGAGTAGTGTAAAACTGTCAATATAAATAATGGATTTTTTCAATGACATAATTACATAATTTTAAAGTGAAACAAATATTGTCCTTTTTTTAATATATAACCGTAGGCTGAATATTTGGTTTAGGTTCATCAGTGTACCAAGAAAAGTCTTTGACTGTTTTTTTTTCTTTTTTCAATCCTTTTTGTTATATAAGTTTGTTTAGAAGTTTTGTTTAAATTAACAACCCTAGGAACCATGACTATTGGATATGCTCTAATTAGGATGTTCTTCTTCTTTCGTTTAAGTTTTAACCCTTTTGGGAATTCTTAGAAATATTGAATAATAACTTTAAATTCACTAATTTCGTGGTCCGCTTGACCAATTAATATATTACAATTAATTAAGGTTTTTAGTTGAGATAAAAAAGTCAATGGCACGAGGGGGATTTGAACCCACAATTTTCGGATTGATACGCCGCTGCTCTACCACTTGAGCTATCGTGACCTCGATCCACTCGGACACTAACTTCCCATCTCAACCCCACCTTTTGAGTTTTCCCTCCTTTTTGCCATTTTTCAAATGTCGTGTAATCGGATTGGATTCTCGGCGACAAATGAAATGGCCACGGAGAGCTTTAGTGAAGTATACTTCATTTTTAATCATTAAATTCACTAATTTCATGGTCCGCTTGACCAATTAATATATTACAATTAATTAAGGTTTTTAGTTGAGATAAAAAAGTCAATGGCACGAGCGGGATTCAAACCCACAATCTTCAGATTGATACGCCGCTGCTCTACCACTTGAGCTATTGTGACCTCGATCCACTCAGACACCAACTTCCACTGAAAAATGGCAAAAAGGAGGGAAAACTCATAAGGTGGGGTTGAGATGGGGAGTTGATGTCCGAGTGGATCGAGGTCACGATAGCTCAAGTGGTAGAGCAGCGGCGTATCAAGCTGAAGATCATGGGTTCGAATCCCACTCGTGCCATTGACTTTTTTATCTCAACTAAAAACCTTAATTAACTGTATAATAACAATTATTAAAAATATAAACCATAAACCCATACATAAAAATAAGAAAGGGCAATACAAAATGAATTGTTAAACTATTTCCAGTAGAACACAAATTTAACAGCTAAGATGTATTTTTTCCTCCCTTATAATATTTGATATGCATATAAATCAATATCCACTCCAACAAAACGTTGAGTTATAATTTGATCATTAGCTGAGAATTAATTTTGTATGTTGGTTCCAGCCAAAGACAAAGAAGAAAAGCATAATTTAGAGTTCTTCCTTTAAATTGATTTGTACCCTTCAAGTGTGACAGCCTTGTGTCTGTTTAATTTGGTAAATATTCTTTGACAGGCGACAATTTTTCTTAACAATTTAAGATCTAAATCATGGGTGATAAGAATAAAATGATCCATGTTTCATATTTTGGACACTTCAAGCATGTGATTAAAGACAAAAAGAAGTTGAAAAATAGATTTGGCACTTCTCAGTCAGTGATACGATCAAGATCATATGTGCATAAAACATCAAAACTCACTTAAACTTCACATTGAAGCAGAAAAATATCAATTAGTTTAAAGCATTCCAAAAAATAGAGTTTAATAATTGGGGTTATTATTTTCATTGACTTAAGCTTAAAATTGATCCTACTGGAGAACAAATGTTTGGTCTACTTCAATATAACATGAAAATTTCATTGCCATTCTTAAAACGGCACTTGGTATAACCGGAAAGGTAAGATTGTATTTGTTGTGTTTTTAATTATTCTATTAATTAATTAAATAACTGTACCATACACAGTATGTAATTTCCTATTGCTTTAAATAAAATAAATTAAGCAGAAATGTTCAATGATGATAAAGTCCCTTTTCACCTGTATTTCTTTTATTATTTATTATTTGCCCTTTTCCCATATGTGAAAACATAGCTTAGAAAAACCAAAGATATAATGGAACACTGTATTAATGAATACATTCAGTGAAATTCTGCAAGTGTTTGTAAGAAAAAAGATTCTGTATGGGACAAGGGACATTTTTGTTATAACTAAATTTCTGTCTTGTATAAGTTACAAATTTCACAAGTCAATTACTCCAACAGTTCTGCTCAATATACACAGCAGGAATATACGCTATATACCAGGCTCTAAGGTACAGACAAACACTGGGGCAGTCAAACCTAATAATAATGTCTGTTTCCAGGTTTCTGTTTGCAAAAATTAAGACACCAAAAAAATAACATGGCACACATAGAAGCCCTGATAGTTGGTCTACTAATCAGATGGAACAAGACAAATCAAGGCAAAAATAATTTGGTTGAGAGGACACAGTGCAATACCCCACAATGAAAAGGCAGACAATGAAGCCAAATAAGCTATCAAATTAGAAATGCTACACAAAAATATTATCGTCCCACAAGATATAAAACGAGAAATAAAACTAAGAGCCTATGGCAAACGGAATTCGACAACAAAAGGCAAATTCTATGCAAACATACAACATAAAATACCAAAAGAAAAGTACATTGGTTCGAAAAATATGATAGTCAGAACCTACAAATAATCACAAGCAGACTGCGATTTTGGCACACATGTCTGAAAGAACATCTAAACAGAATAAACATAATAGAAAACCCATACAGCAGATCGCAATGTGAAATATACACAAGCGAAATAGAAAGTTTCATGGAGATGCTGAAAGAAAATTTAATTCAGTTTCCGACAAGTACACAACAAGTTCAAATACATAAAAAAAGTAATCAAGGAACTCTACACATTTATCAAAAACAATAAAATAGAAATATAGAACCTAATAAAAGACTTATTGTTAAATCAATATTTAATTTACTACTATATTTAATTGTTGATAGTTAAATTATGAGTTTTGAAACATTATTTATTATTATATTGGCTAATCCAACTAAATGGAAAGCCATCTAAAAAAGTAAAATAAATTTAAAAAGTTTAAAAAGATATAAAATTATACAAATAAAACTTTTAAACTGATTTAAAATGGATCTGAATATAATCATATGAGTCTTCTGTTTTGTCTTTTGAATAACACCTTAAATTACAAAATTTTTCCAGATGATGAAATGACAACACGCCATATCTGTTTAGGTTGCTGCCATTCAAGAATACTGCTTGGCCACAAAAAAATATTGCCCTGCAGCAGAAATGGGCCCTATTGGTCCAGCAGGTGAGCCAGGCCCGGCTGGAGAAAAAGGGCCTAAAGGTGATAGAGGGGAGAGGGGATTCAAAGGAGAGATGGGACGTCGAGGACCGGAGGGACCTCCTGGTCATCCTGGACCAAAAGGGCACATTGGTTTCAAAGGGCTTAAAGGTTCGTGGTTTATAATTTGTATAGTTCTCTTTATTATCTTGTTATAATTATCATTATCATATTATCATTATATCTGACTCAATTTTTCAATCTGATTCGATAATTGTTAGAAATACTATATAAACTTATGAACAAATGGTATGATAAGAATACTTCACAGGTGACACAGGCATGGATGGACGCGATGGACTTCCTGGTGAGCCGGGCTTAGACGGTGTTAGTGGGAGAAATGGAAAAGATGGAACACCAGGGTTACCAGGAGAGCCAGGGCTAAATGGATTGCCTGGTACTCCAGGAATCAACGGCACAAACGGTTATTGAGTAATATAACTACAATTTATACAGTAAATATTTAATACATTTTATTTTTCATTACTTATATCAATTATATGATGAACCCTTGATAATTTTTTTTTAAATTTCATTCTGAGTTATTAGTACTGTATTTAGGAATTTTATTTTTTGTTAATACTTTCATTAGTTTTAAACTATCATAATTTTTGTTTCGTTTTATTATTAACTTATGGTGTTGCCAAATGAAGTTCTGAAGAAAAAATAATAAATGTTTAGGGATCCCTGGTAGTATTGGGCCACCTGGTCCTAAAGGGGAAATGGGGATGAAAGGTAGGTTAAAATTTTGTTTAATTTGTTCAGCTAACATAATTTAATATTTCTATCTGTAAGCTGGTGAAACATGGTTTTTTGTTTTTGTTTTACAGGACTTACAGGTCCAAGAGGTCGTCCAGGGCGTCCTGGTAATCATGGAATACCTGGAACCCCAGGAATCCAGGCATGGGAGGTCACAGTGAACGGAACAAGAAGTTCAGAGCTGTTGATACCACCAGCGATTGTAGGTAAGTTATACAAAGTAATTACAGCTCCAATGTTTAAATTATGCACATACTTTTACCAAAATTTGACATTTGTTTCTAGGCTCTGAGTCAATATTTTCATCCGGCCCGATTGTGTTGAAAGAAGGTGAAAACGTACGACTGATGTGTGCTGCAACTGGGAACCCAAGGCCTGTAGTCCAATGGCAAAAAATGGATAGTCCAACAATCGGTCTAGGGAAATGGAAAGGTTGTTTAAATATTTTATTTTCGCATATTAATCCACATATGTATTTAGTAGTCATAATTGACCTTATTAATTATTTAAATTAATTATACTTTTTATCTAAGCCTAGATCTCCTTTCATCTCAACCAAGACCTTAGATAAAAATTATAATTAATATTATTTTCATTGCCCCTTAAAAATTAATTTCCTTGTAGTGATTGAAATGTTCAATACATATTATTATAAGCATGCCATCCTCTCCCTCTGTCAAGACGACGGATCATGGGCCACATACAATCTTGGCAAAGCCAATGGTTTCGCACAATTCCTCCATTAGAAATATAGCTCCAATCTTGACCCCCAAAAAAATACTTCTAACAAAAATGAAATCCATATCTAACTCACTTCTCCCCTACCCACGTAACTTTTCAAAGGATTAATCCCTACACTAAACTCCCACTTGTCGGGCCACAACCGGTATTACCCCACTCTATAAGCACAGCGAAACAGAGTATTAATTGCTGGGGCATGAAACAATTCCTTAAAGAATGGAATCTGTCCCCCGGACATAGGCAATCGAAGGAGATTCTGAAGGAAATCAAACCAAAAGAATCGAAATGGCTATTCTCTAACTCAAGGAAGGGAATTAGAAGGCTGATAGGTATCCTGATGGGCCATTGCCCCTTGAGAAGACACCTCTTCATAATGGGTATTTAACCAGACCCCTTTTGCCACTTCTGTGAAATAAAAGAAGAAACGGTACGGCACTACCTCACAGAATGTGATAGGTATGCCAGGAATAGATTTGAAACTTTCGAAGGAGAGGGCATTGCCAAATCGCTCCCCAAGATAAAATGGTCCAAAATCTTGGGGTTTGTGAACAGGTCCAAGAGGTTTATGCAGGACACGTGAGCCGACCAAGTCCCGGACCTTTTAGGGAGTCTACCCAGGCATTTAACCCCTCGGGTCTTGGTCGCCCACCCTGCGTAATATATAAACTCCCTCAACCTTTTCCCAGATCACCAGTTCGGCTTGTGTCCTCAATACTTTGTGCAGTGGACCACATATCCTCATCCCTTGAGCATAAACAAAACTGCCTGGGAGCCTTTCTTTATAGTGACACAAGTGTTTGATTGTGTCTGGCATGAGGGTCCCCTGTACAAAACTAAAACCTAACTTTCCAACTACCTTGTACGTAATCCTTCACTCCTAGCTAAGAGAACAATTCTTATGACTTTTTTAAGGATCTGAATATTACCCTTTGGCAGCAAGAGGCCACAGGGCAATGTGCTCAGACCAATTATCAACCTTATCTATACCTCAGATATCCTAACTGCACTCTCCAATCTTCAGACATAAGTGTAAAGCTGTCACCAAAACTGACTGTGTACATTATCTTGGGTTCTATCTCGGCTCACATCACACATATCAACAAAAAACTTTACAAGACACTACTGAAATGGATTTGGACGTATAGAATTGAACTATGGGGCACTAATTCATTGTTCATGTTCTGTACTATGTTTCCAACACTACCCTTCGCCATGGCTCATAAATACCTTTCGTTAAAACCCTAATCCTTAAGAAATTTTCCATATTACACAAACTACTTACTATCTCACATCCCAATCCCTTCGTCTTATCTATGCCCAACATTACCTGCCTCTACAAGTCAGTAAGGCAACTGAAGTGGAGATGTCTGTAGGACCTCCTTACAAATAGTATATGTCGGAGATGAAATGGAATGCAGTGACGTATCTGTCTAACTGTGACGTCGTGACATAGTCGAGACAACGAGTGGATCACAAAGAAGAAGAAGAACAAAGGACAAAGTCAGTCAGTCAGTCGAGCAGTCGTGCCTTTGTCCTCACAGCGAGAGCATCGTCATAATTGTACTTAAATAAATAAACAGAGAGACAACCAAGTGAAATGGATCATTTATTACCCCGTGAAGACGGAGAGATTTCTCCTACATATATAACTATTGAAAAAGCTGGGAGAGAAACAATGGTTGTTGGCTTCCCACAGGATACATGTCAACAATACAATTTCATTGTGTCTCATTATATAATGTATAAACCCAATTTTTTTTCATGAGTTAGAATTTATTAGCACTCTCACTATCTGACCTTATAAATTTGTATAGTAAAATTCTTTGTTTTTTATAGATACTGCCATCATTGGATCAATATTAAATATAACAAGAGTGAATAGAGAACATATGGGTACTTATATGTGCCTAGCCGGTAATGGAATTCCACCTACAGCTAACCAAACATTCAGTATTGAAGTTTATTGTAAGTGTTCTATCGTAATTGATAGAATTAATAGTTAACTTAATAATGAATATTTTCATTTATAGTTACACCACTGATCACTGTGTCAGTTCAAAATGTTTGGGTCAAAGTTAACAAAAGGGCGACTCTTGTTTGTGAAGTAGAGGCGTACCCAGATGCTGTCGAATATTGGGAAAGTTCTGATGGAAAGTTAATTGAAAGTTCTGATAAATATACTTTGGCTGTTAATGAAACTGGAAAATATACGGTAATTAGCTATTATGTTATATTATATGAGGGGGTTAAAATCAAACTGAAAAAGATGAGCTTCATATTCAGAGGGAACACTTCAAACCACCTGGAGGGTTCTGGTTTCCTAAGGGGAATACAGTGACCAAAAGTTGGAACCCATTCTCAATACTTCTGAATCCCATTCCCAATCATTGGTTATGGGGGGGGGGATGTCCAGGCGTAAAGTAATGGTGCAGCCAGAGAGCATGATAAAAGCACAACTGTCTGTATACAGGCAAAAGAAATTGTCCTTGGCAAGTGCACGATCAGTCTTACAGGTGGTTCAGTGAGCCAGATCCTGTCTGAAAAGTCAATAAATGGAGCATGTCTGTCGAACTATGGGCGTATAGGCAAGCAATTTCCTATCCCATAGCTTGTTGGGATTCATACTTATTCGATGGTGAGACTCCTAGAGGTTACCTAGGGTTTGATGTCATTCAAGTTGTTCTCTTTGTCAGAATATTTTACTGAATGACTGGACTCCCCTAAGGGTGGTTAGCATTCGATTTAAAAAACCAGTGCTGTCCTGTTGTTCGAAAGTTCTCAGCTGGAAGAGTCCCTCCCCTTAGTGTGAAGGGACAACCAATTCCAGCCTGGGAGTATACTGAGAGTTAGGGTAGAACAGCTGTTTGAGCTTCTCTGGCCGAAACGTGTCTGACAGACCCACCCAGTTCTGGTCAGGCACTTAATGCTGGCCATCCATCGGAAGGCGCAAGTGGGGAAGAATCTCATCCTGACCCTTAGGGATTGGGACATTTTTCTACATGCGAACGTATGAAAAGAGTACCATCCTTTCATAAGCCAGGTGCGGTCGAAAAAGATCCTCATTATCTTACTAAGGTGATATGACCCCCAAAGGGAAATAATGTGCTAATTGTCATGATTTTCAATCTATAATTATTTTTGTGATTTAAAATAATTTGTAAATAACAAACACACCGAACATGGAAAAATGTCGAAACGTGTCTGACAGACCCACCCAGCTTTGATGAGCAGACCAAAATGATAAGTAATGACTGAAATAAAATAAAACACATTCAATTGTAACTCCAGGAAATAGTCAGTTTTTCTTTTTATTTTTCCCTCTTAATTAGCCATGGTTATGCATTAAAGATCAGCAACTAAAAAAAAAGTAATACAATTTTTTTTTTTTACAATCTGTAATTATTATTTACAATATTTAATTTGCGGATACATGAACAACTATATATATGTACAACTATTTACATTGAGGGGAGAAAATAATCAGTGCTATCCTCCCTCTTCACTTTTTTTTGTTTTTTTTTTTACAGTTTACTCGGAAAGGAGGTCGCAGGGCCATTTCCTCTTAAGACGCCTTATGGGGTTGTAGGGATGGGTTCTATCGGACAGGGCTTGGGCAAGACTATTTGGATGATGGGAAAGTTTTTTGTGAAAATTGGTAAATTTNATTTATTATATTCCATAGGCAGAGATAACCAAAAACAAATCATAAAATAATTTTTATATTGCACATGTATTGATTTCTGGGTGCTGCCCACTCTTTTGTTTGCTGTTTTAACTTAAAAAGTATACAGTTTCATGAATTTTCTATTCTCGGAATTCTTTCTTCTATTTCTTTTCAGTATGAATATACAAGTGTGTATATACTTTTCAAGCTGTACCAAAATTTGCAATATAGAACTTAAATAATTAAAATAACATATAATGATGCTCACCAAGTTAAATTACACATCAGTTTATATGATATATTTTATTGATTTTAATTACAGAATTAATTGGAGACGGACCTGCTCCAATTGGTACCACTGTGGTATTTGGCCAAGGCCCTCCAGCTAAAGCTGATTTGAACGATTTATGCCCTCCTCCTGTCCAATGCCCTGAATGCCCCGATCCAAAGGAATTCAAATGTCGACATGGCTTATATTCACTTTACGAACTCCTTGGCAATAGAAATATAGAAAATAGGTCATTGGAAAATAAAACTTATCCTGGTATTCCAAACAGGGCTTTAGGTAAAAAAAAAAAAAAAAAAAAATGGAACTGTGAAATTTATACGACAGCTCCTTTATAAATTTTTCTATTGTATAAGGATGCCAGGTGTACGCTGTTGGGAAGCCTGTATTTCTTAGATCATCCGAGTCTCATTATGGAAGTTGGATGAGAGATCCTGTTTCAAAAAGTGACGACGAGAAGTATTGGGTAACTGAGGAAGAGAACAACGCCTTTCTCTTTGAGTTTGCTAATAAAACACAATATCGAAAAAACATTGCCCCAAAAAAATACAGCCTTCAATATCCTTTTAGTGCAAGTATTTTTTAAGAAAGTATAACTGTCTTGCTACTATTTAATATATTATTCTACTTCAATGAAGCATAAGAAATGTATTACACATGATTAAACCAAATTAATAGCATTTTTTCACAGGGAAATTCTCATGTTATTTACAATGGATCATTTTTCTATCATTATATCGGAAAACAAGACATTGTCAAGTATACACTAGCGACTGGGCAAGTGCGCACCTTAACCCTTCCACTCGCTAAACCATTTGGAGAAAATTTCCTGTACAGGACACAGCACAATTACGTAGATTTTTCAGTGGACGATAACGGTCTCTGGGTTATTTACGGTCTGATTGAAACCAACAATACAGCAGTATTAAAAATTGATCCTGAAACACTGGAGATACAATATGGATATAACATAAGTCTTCAACATCAAAAGGCTGGTGAAACATTTATCGTTTGTGGAGTCCTATATGCTGTTGACAGTACAACTGACAGAAGGACAACAATCAGGTATAAAGCTGATTTATTTCTCTCAGATATATAGATAGCTTTGACGTGAATTATTATATTGCACAATAGACGAATATTGGTTGTGATCCATAAGTTTGTAAAGATTAACCTTTAAGTACACCTAATCAACCTTTGTGTTGTTACTCAGTTACTAATTTAATAGATAATAATCATGAATAATTTCAGATTTGCATTTGATCTATTTAAAGGAGGACTTTTGGATGATGTTAATCTTGAATTCACAAATCCTTTTAGAAAAACAACAATGATCGGCTATGATCACAAACACAAGGTAAATTAATTCATTCAATCTGTTTGAAAGTTTAATTTTTATCAATAATTTATTTTCAAAACCAATCTACTGTAAAGTTTAAAAATTGTTTTATATTCCTTAAATAGGAGCTCTACACATGGGATAAAGGTAATCAACTGACCTATCCAATAAGATATCACGAGATGAGTTATAATTCATCAAAAGAAGATAAAGGGGATCTGGAGGCTCAGCCGTTGCAGTCAGGATATGAAGTTTTTCCTCAAGAATAATGCAATACCTAGTTAAATATGGCAATTTCTTTTCAATTAATCTTTAGAACCATCATTATACAATGTCAAGATTATTTTAGTCTTGTTTAGTGTAGTGGTACTTATTTGAAGCAACTGAATTATTTGTACGAACGAAATGACATCCACTCTAGATAATGATAGAATAAACATTAATTAAATTGTTTTAAGGCAACTGTCTTTATTCATTTCATTACATATTTATCAAACTTCCATAAATTAAATGTCTATTTATTTATATTTTACCAAGACCATTAGTATGCCATGAAAATCTTAATTTATCTAATTATTTCTAAGAGCAAAGGCTGATCAATATAAACGAATTCACATTTAGATTTAATATATAAATTTTTCTTATCGTAAGTGAAAATGTGTAAATATTTTACAATATGTTTGATGTACACTTTAACAAGTAAGAAGTGAAATTGTTACCATTTTTTCATTTGCACTAGTGTACTTGCTCATTATTCATATTTTACAACCTTCAAATCATGGGAGTTAAAAGGAAGAGAATAAATTGTAATAATGTTTTTCAAATTGTTATAATAATTATACTGTATTCAATTCATAAATATTGCAAATTTGTACATAACCTATCAAATTATTTTTACTTTGTATAATTGTATGTATAAATTCAATATTAGTGAAAAAACATTTATAAAAATTATACCCATAAGAAATTATACATCTAATGTTTGTTGTTTTTTAGTAATTTATTTTCTTTAACCCCTAAAATTTTATGCATTTGGTGACAACAAAAAACTAACTTGTAATCAAAATCACTTCTTAAAAATGGTCCTCAGTTAACTTGTATTTCTTATTTTTAAAAGAGATCTTTATACTTTTGTAAATACAATTCATTGAATGTTTTATGATAACGAAAATTGCCGCAATTCAAAAATGGAACAACTCATCTCATTCTCTAAGAATAAGACCTGTTGTTACACTTTAACATAAGTTAAGTTAATCACTACTCCATGCCCATTTACCTTCGATTATTAACAACTTGTCAACTACAATAAAATCCTCTCATTAATGAGTAATTTTTTATTTTCTCCCTGCCCAAAGAGGTTAGTGTTTGGTTCAACAAATGTTCATAATCACAATAACAAGAATATTTTTCTCAAAAAATTACAATCTCTTTTGTTTTAGTGACAAACATAAATGACCAACAAAAGTCTTAGATATAGTGTAAGCAAGAATTTGATATGAAAATAAATGTTCTAGAAATAATATTAATTAATATATAATGAATTAATACAAAATTAATATTAAACTATAGTATTACTATTAAATTTGATAAGGTGATATACACCTTCTTTGTTGTAAGATTGAAGGGATTGGGATTCATGAAAACTTCTTAAATGGCTCAAGGATTACTTAAAAATACACTGATGGACAAAATTAATGCACTACCCTTAAATTTTAATTTATTTAGGTTTATTCATATTTTGCATACCAAAAATAGGTTTGGTTGTAAAAATAAGACATTTAAAAAGAAATGTTTATTACCTAATTCTAAAAAACAATTATTAAGAAAAGAACAACAAAAAACAACATAAAATGTTTTTAAAAAAAATTTTTTTACCCCTTTAATACCCTGTATTTCCACCTCTGGGACGAATCATATACTGATATGATAGATATTTGAATAGAATACAAAGCCTTTGCATTCCTGGCAAAAGGTTTGTCATAAAATCATTAGTAATTCCTTCCCATTCATAAAAAACAGCCATTTCCAACTCTTCTAGTGTGTTAGGACCTTGGTTTTGACGTCATACTTGTAGCTTAAGTTCGTCCCAAATGTGTTCGATTGGGTTCTGGACTTTGAGCTGGCCACAGCTTCCAACCTCATTCAGGTAGTCATCCACATACGTGCTCTATGGTGCCGGGCATTATCTTGCATTAGCAAGACTCTCACTGAAGTAGGGGGGGGGGGAATAGCACTACAAGTTTTTTCATTATGTCTTGCAAGTACCTCTGTGAAGTTAAAAATTTCCTTGCACAACAGCCAATTTGGTGCGAGTGTCCAAAGAAATTCCACCCCAGAAAATCAATGGCCCACCATGGAATGCCACCTGAGGAGCCGTACAGCATGGGGCATTTGCCTTTCTCCTGAGCGTCTTCATGTGAAATTACACCCATCTGAACATCTGAGGCTGGCTCACACCTCATCTGTAAAAAGAACTCATCCCCAATCTTCCTGTGTCCAATTCACATGTACCTGAGTGAATTGAAACCTGGCCATTTCCTGAGCCGTGGTAAGAAGAATTGGGTGCCGGGCCCTGAGTTTATTTTCATTGGGTCGTCTTCTTACAGCCCTGGAGGAAATTGAAACATTTTCGACTTGTCTTATCAAATTTCTTATCTCATTTCCCGTAATGCTGCGGTTTCATAGAGCCTGATGACAGTTGAATCTATCGTCCCTAGGTCGACCCTAACCTGGACTTCTAGTGAGAACTCTGTTTTTTCTTTGAAGCGCCGAAAAACCGTTCCCATTGTATTGATTTGCATTTTGTCTCCTGGTGACTCTGCACTGGCTGTTTCCTTCCTCTAAAACCTCAGGATCTAATCCATAAAAAACAGAACAAAGATAACATTTTTGAAGAAAAAATGGATTTAAGACAGCAAAGTGCTAAGACAAAAAAGAATTGGCGGACTAAGAAGATCAGAGATGACAAAATTTTCATAAGACAAATCTCAAAATCAAGACATTAATCAAATTAATATTTTAGACAACTTACCATTGACTACATGTTTTAAACCAATGTTCATTTTTCTCTCAATCGTCTCCGGTCATGCTGAGCTGGCTGTTCTCACTGTTTTGCCTGTCAGCAATTTATCTTCTTCAGTGGTCTGCATGTTGTTTGTCAACATTCAAAGTTGTACAAATCATTTGACTTGTATGTTGACTGAAGATGGTGAAAAGATAAAATGCATCTTAGTGATAATAATCAGAAAGGATGACCAGTGACAATCAAGTCATAGGTTCATCTTAAAACATTTTACCAATTTAATCTATCAATAGAATTGGGAACTATAAATAATTTGTTTAAACAAAAAAAATGTATTTCATAACTTTTTCTCACTCTATCTCTCTATATTAAGGCACATTTCAGTGTGCATTGTTACAATACAAAGTTGTGAGCAATTAATTTACTACAAAAATTCGCTTAGGCAAGTTTTAAATAACGAATTTAGAACAATATAATTGACAATTAATTTTAAATTCATCTTCTATTTAAATTGATAATAAGTTAGTCCTAAGTTACCCTCATACACATACACACAAAATAAACAAAATGGTCAATGAGATGGCAGGGAAATCTTCTTTTTATAATGCATCCTTTTAGAAAGGTTTTAAATGATTAAAAATGTTTTCTCCTTAAAAAATAAATATACTCTGTTAATATGTTCTAGGACAATAATTATATATACATGTATGTAATAACCATTTTTAATATCAGTACTATTATGATAACACAATTAATACTACTAAAATACTATTAATCACTATCAGGATTATTTCTATCTTGTTAAGAACTAAGATAAAATGAAACTCAAAAACCTGCATCATGAGAAAGAAATGTTTAAGCATATCATCATAGATTAAGAAGACAAAGGATATTAAGATAAATATTAAAACAAAACAGCCAAGTGGGTGACAAAAAAAATACCTGATCAATTTCAATGGCCTAGATGAGATTCATATTATTTTTCTTCCAATGAGTTAAACAAAAAATAAATATATGTGGTGACGTTCTTGATAGACAGGACGGAAAGATACAAAATACATTTCTCAGAATTATTCATCTACCAAAAAGATCACAGACACTGTTATTAGGGAAACAATTTAATATATAACCTTTTATTTTAATTTTCTGTTGCATTGAATCAATTATTTGTATAATTAAATGCAGTGCTTTTTAATATTTCTCTTTTCTTAATGAATGGATATGAGAGTTTGTACATTATTGAGGAGTAAAAGTACAAAAGATTACAACAATTCTTATTGACCTGTTGTTTCATAATCTGATGAAGTTGTGAGGACCTTTCACATTTGGACACCTTTTTCATTTGTTTTTGTCAACGTTCCAACCTTTATTCGGGTCATCTTCAGGGAATAAAGTGTGGTGCTATTCTTGTGGTGTTACATTGGTTTTGTGTGAAAGTGTTGTGCAACAATGACACCAAAATAAAAGCATCACACTTTATGCCCTGAAGATGACCCGTATAAAGGTCAAAATGTCGGCAAAAAATGAAAAAGGTGTTTTCTAAACTACCTCATTCTTGCCCGCTCCTCACGACTTAACAAATTACAAAAAGCATTCTTTCTTTTTTTCTTTTAGATTATAGGATGAAACATTATGTACTGCGACTTCTAATAAATCAAAGACTAATGAATTTTAAAAACCTTATATGTAATAATTAGTCTAATTATATATTAGTATAGTATATGGTACTTAATAAAATATAATAATTGGCTGTTTAAAATATTTTATTTTATTATTTTCTCATGATTAGGTGTAAATTTAATAGCTATGGTTTTCAATTTAATAAAATAAAAATTTCTTTGAGATAAAATGCATTTATCACATATTGCATCGAATTTACAATATTATTAATTAAAACAAAGCAGATTGATTTTATCAGGTACATGCTAGGTTCAATTATATCTGTAATTTCTTTAAGAGCGTAATTACATTAATTTTAGAAACTATGATTTCTTATCTGTATACATTTAGACTCCATTATGTACAGTACAAATGTATTAATTCCTTAAAATTTAAAAGTACAGCATACAAGTTTTTTAACAAATCAAATTTGTTATTAAGCAAAGCTATTTTTATTTGGTCTAGACTATCACTACAATTTTATTTTAAATAGTTGAATAAAAAACTTTTATAAAGTACCGCAAATAATAAAATTCAGTAGGAAACAAATGAGCGAGAAAAAAGACTACTTCATTATAACACTGTTGCAGGTTATTATTATTATTATTATTATTATGTAACCATATTCAATTGAAGAAGCTAATTTAATGATCAAATTTCTATTGACTAAAGTTTGAACTGTCTTTGACTAAAAAAGTAAATTTTAAAAATAGCTTTCTTAGTTTAACTTTTCAATATTGAATTTGATGCGTTTAAAGTTAAATGTATATAAAATATAAGAATGTATAGCAATGATCAGTTGCAGACTGCTATGAGTGGAAAAACTTACTTTTATTCTTTCAATCATGTTTCACATATTAGTAACGGTTGGACAAACATCTAGTGCTTTGTCGCTGGCCCTCTACACGTAAAATGGAAAATTGGGCCTTTTTTCTTTCAAGCATCTTTCACACTGTCTCTTTTCTGTTGTTTCTCTTAATTTGTTAAGTTGCTCACCTCTCATTGTGCATGAACCCCATTGTTAACATTGTCAAATTACTAATAAAAGTAAAAAAACATATACATACAAATCTTTCTGTCAAAGGAAACATTGCAATCCCATGCAGCAGCAGGATAATTGTAAACATTTAAATTCAACATATAACAAACTATATTGAACAGAAATGATGAAGGTGAGGGTGAGTGTAGATTCTCTTTTGTAAAAAGTGGTTCTACTCACAGATTTTGTGAAAAAAACCTGTCTACTCTTAGGACATAGTTGTTACTCAAACATATTTATATATATCTAACATAAACCATATATATAAATAAATACAGTTAATAAGATATATATAAATATGTTTGAGTAACATCTAAACCCACAAGAGACCCAATTGAGTGATCAAATATTGAAGTTTAATTTAACATATCTTCTGGGCCAGATGTATGTAAATTTGTAAATCTTGAAGTTGAGATGGTTGTTCAAACAAAAAAAGTAATGTGAGAATAAGTAGTATTCACTGGTTGCTAATCATTCGTCACAATTTCATCATCTAGGTCCACCTATTTTCCTTGTATATTTTAAGGGTCTAGAATAGCATACCTACACACCTGACCTAAGCACACATGGCAAAAACAGGGGGACCAAAAATGATCAGAGTCAGTCGCATTACTGACCAATTGGTATCCAGGTTTGAAGAAAGTCCAAGAAAGAAAGTGCATGAATGATTTTAATGTTAAATTGACATACAATTCTTTAGTAATTGTAACTTTCTAGTAAACGGATATATTTTGGTTCTATGGAAAACAGTAAATCATCAACATCCGTAGGTTCAATATTAATGCAAATTTCAACCAAGACCTTACATAAAAAGAATAATTAATTGAAAGAAGTAATTTGGTCAATTTGACCACTAAACATAATGGAATTAATGAAAATTTATATTTAATACTTTAACTAGTCATTAATAGCTGAAATAATTTATTTAAATCAAGGAATTATTGAGACTTATAATGCTATAAATAACAATGTTATTTTAAGGAGTTTTAATGTAGACTTTTGTTGATTAAATTGAAATAATTTATTAGACAGATATAATAATATAAATTAGTCAGAACCAGGGAATACTCAATTTTTCAAACAACCTATAATGAAGAAACTATAAAAACTGAACATTCAGAAATATTCCTTTCAAAACCTTTAATGCAAGTTTCTTCACTCATAGATCAGCCAAACTGTTAAGTTTTTATAAAAAGATAAACAAAAAGTAGTAAAATATCTCTGCTATTGACAATAATTTACAAAATGTCAATAGTTTGGAGAAAAAATATACTGTAATTAAAGCCCTAAATCGTACTATATTAATTCTTCGTATCTCTATTAATCCGAATGTAAGGTAAATGTTACAATAAAATTACCAATTAATCAGCTTCCTGCATTATTTTATAATAATAAGATCCACATATTTTCATGTTGTGATGAATAACATGTTTGAACTTGGAATTAAGGTCTTCTAGCTCGTTTCGGAAGAGATGGAGAGCAGGTGGAAATATACCATTTCCTGTTGAAGCATTCAAAGAAGACTTCAAATAATCATCAATCCTTTTACCTAAAATACAAATTTGATTGATTTAATAGTTAGCATTAGGGTTAATTTATGGCAGTGTTAACTGTAGTACGTAATCTATTACTGACTGTATTCTCCCTATTCTCATTTATAGATCACAAACATGGAGCTTAATGAGAAAAATAAAAAATTGACTGTAATTTACCCAACACGCTAAGGAAAATGATGCTGGGGATCAAAACGTGTCAAATAAAGACATAAAAAAAACAACTGGAACTGTGGATGTCCTAAAAACAGCCCCTTTCTAAAAATAGTGCTTGGGTAGGTCGCGTGATGAGAATGAAGGAGATCAATGGCAAAATGAACCACAAGTGGATGCTATTGGAAGGAAAAATGAAAATAGCACAATCAAAGATTTTTTATCGTTTTTGTGAATAGGACGGCACAGTAGTAAAGTTACTGACATAACTAGGAGAGCCTTCACCGAACGATGGGCTTGATTGTTTTAAAAAAAATTCTATATTATAATACTTACTTACTAAAACATTATTTCAGAATAATACTCACAGACAAGCATTCGTATTTTGTTGTTGGGTAATACAACATCCTTAATCTGCTGTTCAAGAGTGTTGGATGCACTCTCGTTTAATTTCTCTTTTCCCATGTTGGTTAGTTTTAAATTTGCATCTTGTTTTATTTGTTCGATTATATTTGGGATGACCTTATCAAGGGTTCTAAAATAGATATGACTGTATTATGTAATGTAACATAAAAATTAAAAAAAAAAACATGAAACAGTAAAGAAGTTGTTTTAGTAAAAATCAACAAATGATCACGAAATATAATTCAAAATGTTAGTCCCATTTGATCATGCAGTATCAAAAAACTCACTCATCTATGATGATCCCATTTAAGAGAATTAAAACATTAGTTTTGAGAGCTTGCTTGTAGGAAGCATCAGAAACAAGATCTGGCATTAGGCAACTTAATGAAACAATAACAATACTGGATGCTATCACAAGTTTGTAATACTCTCGTTTCAATATGCTTAACCTCGGAGCATCCATGAACAAAGTCTAAAACAAAACATTAAAGTTGCCTTAATAACACACATATATATGTTTCAAGTTAATCAAAATGTGACCACAAACCTCCGGAAGAGGAATGTCTGAATTCCAATTAAGTAATTCCAAAAATGCATTGTACAGTATTTCATCCTGGCTGTTGTTTTCACCTTCATTTTTATGTTTTTTGACCCAAGCCTCAGTTATTGGCAACTTTCCTAATTAAAAGGGAAAAATATTTTAAAATAAACTAAATACAAAAAAAAACTTTTTGTTTTAAGTATTGGTTTAACCGGTTTATAAGAATATGCAGTATTTTACTCATTATATATTTACTGTTTGGACAGTTTCTCATGCCATAATTAGTCCAGTTTTTTACTCACAAGGGAAGGCCAGATGTGGGATCAACAAGTTAAAGAAACTATTTTCATTGATACTATGTAAAAAAAATATTCGCGAATCCTCTGGATCAAGGTACGGTCTTGAAGAAGAAAGCAAATTCAGTTAGTAATGCCAAGCTTTCGACCTATTTTAAGGTCACCGTCAAGGCAAAACAATCTTAAATATGTCTACAGATTGACACAATTAAGTTTTTTACAGGCTATCTCACATTTTCCTAAAGATACAGTCCCAACATTGTCCTTGGCAATACCTTGATTCAGGGTGTTCGTGAGTGGAAAAGTGGTCAATATTTCTAACACTGAAAAAAATATATTATATTAAGACTGGTCCAGGCATTCTTGTCAATGGGCCCTATGAGCCAAGAAAAAAAGTTATTTGAAGTAATGTAAATATTTGTATTTTTTTAATAAGGGATTCTCGCTTTGTTGTGCATTTATTGCAAGGTTATTATTATATGTCAGTCGGTTTGCAATTGAAAAAGGTGTTTTTCTAAAATTCTTCACTCCTGACCACTCCTCACTACTTCAACAAATCATTTTCTAAACAATTCTCCCGATGGTGGCCATCGATTTTATTTAACAGAACAAATAAATGAGTTCTCCAAGAGGATATGTTTTCTAAAGTCAGGAATATGTGAAGATCATGTTTCCGGAAAAGCGCTTGCCAGTGTGCAAACTATGAGATTTTGCGGTTAACTGAATTGATTTTTCAAAAAAAAAAATTTAGCGCAGTTTACTGGAAATGTCTTTGCAACGTTTTACATCTAATTTCATTTAATTCGATCTTGTAAATTATTTTCTGATACAGTTATATACACGTAATAACCTTGAAATTCTAATAAAAATTGAAATTTCTACAACAAAGGTAGAAAATCTTTTCTTTTTTTTAATTATGTAAATTTTTTTTTTAATTTTCTCAGTTCAAAGGGCCTAAAGAACACTTGGACGTTTAATATTTTTCAACATGGTGTTACCAAAAAAGTTTCAGTGAAATTTGTGTTCCACATCAGTAGATTCCATTGTCAGTAATTTTGTTATCAATTTGGTTGATTGTGATTTTTATGTTTTAGACTTTAGTGTTCAAAGATGGGATAAAAACAATAACTTTACAATAAAGTAAAAAATATAAATGACTCATTCACCTCCAAGAAGTTCTATGTAGTCTGCAAACTTTTTTTTCTCATACTCCATTTGATTGGACAAGATGTCTGGTGTAATGGATTTGAGGGTGAAATTTATTAAATCTAATTTCATTAGATTTAAAGTCTAAAGATGGTTAAGAGAAATAAAATCATTAAGAATTTTAAATTTGTAAAGATAAAGCATAATATGATGTAATAAAGACTAAACAAATACTTACTTCGAGAATCCCTCTGAAAATCGCTACAATGTCCGTCTCTTTGGAGAGTTTAACCATATTTTCATCTCGCACAGGAGCACAGATTTTGCTCATAACCGATATGACATATTGTGCATAACTCTAATTCAACAATTTAATTATATGCAGCAATATTTTTGGAATATAAATGATAAAATATTTATATAATTAACTGTACCTGTACATTCATAGCGCCATGTTCAGCCTGTTGTTTCAGCAGTTCAAAATCAAGAACTTCTTCAACGTTTGCCTTTAATTTAACTACATTTGGTGTCATTACTGCAAAAAGACTCTGAAAAAAGATAAAAACACGTTTTAAGAATTTTATAAATAAGTTTCAGTCTGTTTTTTTTCCGTTTTTTACAGCAAAACCTATTATTAAATGGCATAATAAGTGTATTTATTAACATTACTTTATAATAAAATACTTTACAGGCCTGGTCAAGGTAAGAAAATTTCAAGAAAACTATATTTTATTTGGAAATATTTCTTCGCAGGAACGTTGTCATGTAAATGCAATTGGTCAAATATTTATATATTTTGGTTTGAGGTCTTGTAATGATGTTGATTAGTGTGATTAATTTTAAATGTGAAGATGTTGCCAATTTGGTATTATCATCCGAGAGCAAAAAAATATTCTCTAATATTTATTTAGAAATCGTGAGATGCGGCCTGTTGTGATATAGGTTTCAGAAAAACATTTTCTTTATCGTGCTAACGTTTCGATCTTTTATTGAGATCATCTTCAGGGCCTGGGATTTACAAACAATGTTTACATTTAACAAATACATTTAGGATGTGGAAAAGTGAATTTATACAATGCAAAATATATTTTATATTCAAACAAAGTATTTCTACTCACTCAAAGTGTTTGTCTTCTGTGTAATTGTGCCATCCTTGCGTGTCGTGTTGAGAGTGCCAGTGAGATTTTGCTGTTTTATTACTCTCAACAGATGTTGCCACACAAGGATGGCACAATTACACAGAAGACAAACACTTTGAGTGAGTAGAAATACTTTGTTTGAATATAAAATATATTTTGCATTGTATAAATTCACTTTTCCTCATCCTACATGTATTTGTTAAATGTAAACATTGTTTGTAAATCCCAGGCCCTGAAGATGATCTCAATAAAAGATCGAAACGTTGGCACGATAAAGAAAATGTTTTTCTGAAACCTATATCACACCAGACCGCATCTCACAATTTCTAAATAAATATCGATTAACTGTCACTAATCACCACATATTCTCTAATGTATCAAACATTAATACTGCAGGTAATTGCATTGTTTATTGTTCCTTTTTACTGCCTGTTGCTTGAATGGTCTGTGAACTAGTGAGGTTTAAATATGTTAACAACAATAAAACAATGCTAGTGCAAGAAAAATTATCCATTAAGACAAGTCCAATCATTTTAGGCCACTAAAGTTTTCACCACGCCACAAATTATAATATGTTTCTTTTCAAAAAATAAATTAACTAATTAATTAAAAACCTCTTTAATATCCTTTAATAGAAGAAAAGCCATAGTTAACTCTGGAGGATCTTTAGAGACCTCTTCCCGAAATATATCCCAAAAGGCTGAGTGCGCTTGTTCTCTAACTGCAGACCATAATCTAAAAATGAAATTGATTAATTATTATTAACATCAAGACTCAATAGCAATACAAGAGGACTGTAGCTTACTCATTTTTCACTTCGAAATCTTCAATATGAATATCTCCATCTTTACTGTTCATAGCAATTTCATGCGCAATTTGTAAGTTTTGCAGAACATTTTCTTTGTCTAGACTGTCACTTTGACAGAAGTTTCTATGATAAAACAAAATATTAACATGTAAACAAACATTATTAGCTTTATTATTACATTAAATTATTTAACATTAGCTATTTTTAAAAACGTAAATACTTAATTTGAATAAATAACTTACACATTTTGGTTGTGTGCTGCATTACTGGAAGCACCTTCTTCAAGAGTTTTAAGATCATCCATACTACAAAAAATAATATTTTTAAGTATAATTATAGTACATTTTGCCTTGTTTATTATATAATTTGAATGTTCTGCAAATAGACCTGCCTTGTATAGACAGGCCCAGTAGAGTGATCAGGGTTCGATCACTTTAATAGGTTGAATATTTGCAACAAATCACTTCTGATGAGGAAACAGGCCGTTGTACTTGATAGTTGATAGGGTTAACAACCTTAGAAAACTACTTCTTGCATTTTAATTGAAAAACCTAACCTAACCCTGGGAAACGCTCGTCACCAGCCTGACAGAATGGTTCACAACTTGACGTGGACGATGTCATAGCAATGCGTGAGTAGGCTAAAGGGGCTCTGGTGTCCTTTACCTTTTAAAGTTAGGTACTCAAACTCTCTAACCATTCCTCACTAAACAAACTCCTGCCAACCACACGCCCCCCCCCTTAGTCCTGCCTTCTGTCAGCATCCACTAACCCCTCTGATATAGTCTTGGGCATTAGCTCAAACATGGTGCTGAATTTCAAAACCAAATGAAAATGAATTAGCTATGTAAAACAATTCAGCCTCTGCTCAGTCCCAGGACATGTGGGAGTAGAAGGCAATGAGAAAGCAGATGCCCCTGCAAGAAAAGGTGCTGATATACCGCTGATAGGACCCAAGCTCTTCTGTGACTAAGGAATCCACACTATCAATGAGCACTTAGACAGAAGGATAAAAAGAAAATGAGAGAACAATGGAACTCACTAATTGAACACAAATAATCCAAGAACCTCCTAACAAACTTTGGAAGGGAAGGGGTAACAGAATGCATTAAAGGAAGAGGAAAAACTCTGAATCCTAACAAAATTCTGAACATGACACTGCAAACCAAATGGACATCTGAAGAAGATAGGCATAACCCAACACGGCACATGCAGATTCTTCAAACAAGCAGAGGAGACACCAACACACCTAATAACAAACCGTTTGCTCGTAGGAGGAAGTGTTTTTGAAAGTTGATTGTAAACGTGGAAGACTTTCAACCACTGAAGCCGGGCGTACTAATCCATAGAACTTGATTTGTACACCCGGTTTCAGAGGATGAACTAGGACTCAATGGTGTGCTATAAGCACAGAACGGGGGATCCAATAGGTCCCAAAGGGCGCAGTATATTACACACCCCGAATAATACATCTATCTATCTAACTGATTTATGATATAATGATCTAAAAAGCTTTAAAAGAAATCATACTTACTTTTTCTTTGTGCCTTTTTAAAGTTTATTAGCGTCAGTCACAAACGTATTGGCCGCAATGTCAGCTTATCAAATCAGGCTATAGTCTTGTCGATCCCACATTAAACATGAGATAATTAAATCAAAATGTAAAAGCCAAAACAATTCAGAATGTTGGAAGTCTGTAAACAAAAAAAAACATTAAGTCATCTTATGCAAATTATGGGTTGTAAATAGAGGTTAATGGGCCTCGGTTGGTGGGAATCACAAAAACAGAGAAATTAATGTCATTAACATACACCTGGAGGCAAAAGGTGTCACCTCCTTGTATATTAATTACCTTGCCGAGACATGCGAGGCTCTGTGTGGACAAACTTTTAGATCCCTAGCTCTCGTGGGAACCAAGTGAGTATACCAACGGGAAAAATAGAAGCACAACAAACTTCTAGTGCGGATAGTAGTGCCCGTTGTGAACGCACGAATACCCCAGGTGTCGGCAGGAGCACCCCAACAACTAGATTCATAAAAGATAACTCTCTGGAAGAGGTAGCCAACATCTTGGCAGAAAAGGTGTCTTACACACCTGACTGTCTGGGAACTCAATGAGAAAGGTGCAAGCCTTACTCAACAAAAGTGTTAAGTACACTGAGGCCAAATAGTCTGGGATGCAGGAAAACTTCCTTAAGGCAGCTACCTACTAAAAGTCCTCGGTCTGAAGGCAGCACACCCAGAAAGAGAAAACTAAAGAAGCCGAGACCTATACAGAGGGAGCAACCCTTCACTGAGGTCCTGGCTACAATGAAGGTCGCCGTGGTTGCTAAAATGTACCCAAATAGGCTGGATAACCTCCAGAGAACTCCACTTTAATGGCCCTAGATAACGTCCCAGATGATGGACCCCAAAGTGAGGTTCACCAAAGGGAGGAGGAGGGCAAGTTTTCTGATCGTCACCCGTGTGGACGAGATCAGTGTTGAATGGCTGCAAGAGGTAGTCCCCACACTGGCACCCTGGATGGGCACTGTCCTCCGGGCTCTAGTGGAGGATGACATCCCAAAGCTTGTACCTGCCTACAGAAAAAATTCTGATAGTTTACAGATCAGTAACAGGCAGCTCAACACTCAGTTCTGGATAGTGTGGGGGCAATGTCCAAAAGGAGAAGGGACAACTATGGACTTTCTCCATGGACGATGAGTCCCTGACAAAGCTGTAAAAACTGGATACATCGCCCTACTTTGGCATCATAAGAATTAAATTCTGACTAAAAGAAAAGGGGGCGCTGATGGGACAATGGAAGGCCAATTGGGCTCCATGCTACAGGTTACCACCCAGGATAAGGGTTAGCGAAGGGGGTGGAGGAAAGAGGGCAACTCAGGAACTGGACTTCACCAATCCACTGAAGACATACATGTCCAGGGGTGGAGCTGGAGAGACAAATTGTCCATGGAACTCCTCCTGAAATGCCCCCTACCCAGAGATGAGAAAAGCAGTAATAAGGGTCCTGCAAGCGAATCTCCAGCATGCTAGGGCTGCTTTGGCCTTGCTGTGCAGGAGATTCAAAACTGAGGGTCTGGATATAGCCCTAGTGCAGGAACCCTGGATCTTCAATGAGGCCGTAAGAGGCTTAAAGTCCTCACAAACACAGGTAATGACCACTAATCCTTGATAAGACCACATGCATGTATTGTTGTAAATAACAAGCTAAGCAGCATACTAATTCCAGGGCTCTGCTCAGGCAATGTTGTTTCTGGTATCCTGACTTCAAAAATGGAAGGTGGACCAAAGAGCTGGATAGTCTATTCTGTCTACATACATGAGATGGTCCACCACAACTGATGAACGACATCGTGGGACAGAGTAGGTCTAAAAACCTAGAACTAATCATAGGATGTGATGCAAATGCCCACCATGTATGGGGCAGCATGAACATCAATACCATAGGGGAGTGCCTTTTACAATTCATTACTGGAGAGGGTTTAGAAATAGTCAACCGTGGCTCAGAACCTTCCTTTGTCACCCGTAACAGGAAGGACATTCTTGATGTTAAACTAAGCAGTCAACAAGGTGACAAAAATATTACCAACTGGCATGTGTTAAAAGAGCCATCTTGCTCTGACTATAGACACATAAAATTTGATCTTACTACTCCCCCTAATACTTGCAACGTACCATAATCCTAGAGAGACTGATTGGGTGGGCTATGTAAAATCTCTCAAGCACTTTCTCGGGGTTGCTAAGGTTAAAATTAGAGGTAGGGAGGACCTTGGCATAGCAGTTCAGGAAGTAAATGGTGGAATTCTGTAAGCCTTTGAAAGGAATTGCCCTGAAAGGACAAGGAAGAACAGAACCAAAACCATATGGCGGAACATGAACCTGAAAAAAATGAAAGGACAGGTAAGAAGGCTGTTCAATAAAGCCAAGCTCGACCAAGGGGCCTATACAAAGAGGCACTTACCCAATACAATACGGATATAAGGACAGCCAAAAGAAACTTGTGGAGGAAGTTATGTCAGGAAAGCTCCTGACTGCACCAGAATTCAGAGAGTTGGTCAAAAAAGGTAGCCAGAGACAGTTAGACTTAATTGGAAAACCAGATAGAACTTTTACAGAGACAAAAAAGAAACTGTTCATGTTAATTGGTACTCACTTTCCAGGGTCAATAATAATACCCAAAGAGGAGCAGCCCACTAGTTCAGAGAGTCACTGGTACAGGCCCTCCAAAGAGGACTGGAAGGAGGCAGCTAACATAGTCAAACCAGAGAAAATCAGGTGGGCGGTTAATGGGTTTGTCCCCTATAAATCCCCATGAGTGGGTGAGAATCTTTAGTACCTCCCTAGCCCCACTGCATGAATGGTGAAGGTGGTCTATTTACCAAAAGTGGGTAGAGCCACAAATCAAACACCTAATGGTCCTATCAGTCTCTCATCGTTTATGCAGAAAACACTAGAGAAACTAATGGATAACCAAATTAGGGGCACAGCACATTAAACTAACCCACTCAGAGCTAGGCAATGTATATATCAGACAGGGAAGTCCACGGACTTAGCCCTGGATGACTTAAACAGGCTAATATCTAAGGCATTACATGACAAGGAAATAGCCTTGGCGTTGTTCATGAACGTGGAAGGGGCATTTGGCAATGCCACGACCAAATCCATATGCCAATGGGTGGAAGAAAGTCTAAGGAAGAGATTAATTTTCTCTACCCTGGGCGACACTACAATAAGGGCGGGAACAACCAGAGGCTGCCCTCATGGTGGCGTTGTCACCATTACTGTGGTCAACATTGGTTGACGATCTCCTGAAAGGGCTATCTGACATCGGCTTTAATTGCCTATGATATGCAGATGATCTGACAGATGCTTGGCTGAAGTCATTACAGAGAGTGCACAATTTTGTTTCTCTAAACTCAGCATAACAAACACAGATGGTGTAAAAAGGAAGGGCTTTCTATAAACCATAACAGAAACATCGTGGGTCCCTTTACCAAGAAAAGGGCACTAGGAGGGCTTAACCCCTTATGCTAAATGGAGTTGAAATTCCTTTCCTAAAGAGGCAAAATACTGGGAGTTATTTTTGACCAGACTTTCATGGAATCAACAACAGAACAAAATCACACAAATAGCAAATACCTATTGTAAAAGTATTATATATTTAGGTATTATATACCTATTGCAAAGTACCTATTGAACACTGTGCCAGGGAGATAAAAAAGGGGGATTAGCAATAGAAGAATAGCCATCTACTCTTGACAGCCGGACAGCACTGAAGGCAACTGCCGCATGTCCAGAGTCATTTGGGACCGCATTGGAGAATATAAAAAAATTACCTTAATTACCAATGGGAATGTAACCTGGGACAGAGGCATGTGAAAAAGTTTATCAAAGGACTCACAGAAACTAATGGCATAACAACTAAATCAAGGACTTGCTAGGACTAGTATAATAATTGGACTGTTAACCGGACACTGCAGACTCTGGAGGCATATGTATAGACTTGGAGTGGCAGAAACAAGCTTGTGCAGATATTGCCAAGAAGAAGAAGAAACAGTGGAGCATATCCTCTGTTGGTGTGAAGACCTATGTAGGCTGAGAATCCTGAAAAAAACTTTGGCCCTTGAAAAAACCTTAGGGACTGATAAAAAGTCTCAAGCTTAACGAAGAGCTCTAGATTTAAAAAAAAAAATTGGAGATTCACAATAGACCAATACAGGTCACGGCGCACAAGTCATAAAGAGGCCGGTTCCTATATAATCTTTGCAAATTATGATGTAATTATGAAATGTCAAGTTTTAACCATGAAATCTTCTGAAATATGAAGGATTCCACTGGTAAGAGTCATCCTGAGCATCTCCCCTTTAAACAGAACAATAACAATAAATCTGTGTAATTATTAATTATTAATAATTGACATTGTTACTTATGTAGTAGTATTTATATATTTATATTATTAATTTATTATTTATTTACCAACTGATTATTTATTACCGCTGTAAATACTGATTTATTAATTGACTATTTATATTGTTGTTTGTTAATATTGGTACATTTTTATAGATTATTTATTAATTGTTTATTTATTAATTGATTGATTAACAGGTGAGGAGCCTAGTTAGTTTCGGGGGTGCTGGGTTGGCTGGCTCGGGTTTTCTCCGGAGGGTGCTCCACATGCAAAGGGCAAATGGTCCCCGGGAAGGGGGGGGATGAGGACTTTTCCAGGGGCCCCTGTGGCCATGTACGGTTTTTATCCACATCCTCCTAATGCTGCCGAAATTAAGTGTATACCCGAATGAGAAGCGGGCGTATGGGGAGGTGCCCTTTGGGGGTGGCCCGGGTCGGTTGGCATAGTCATCGTCAAAATTACATTGACTGAATGTCGGTAGGGCAGTCAAAAAAAAACAACGATTATTTTATCATTGCAGATGTTAGTTTAAATTAAAACACAAGTGTGGTCAAATTATTTTATTTTTATCAGTGAATTTTATTAATAATAAAACAAAATTATTAATATGACAATTATATTTATTCTTTGTGTGGTTTTATTTTATCGTTTTTTATTTCTTGTCAAATATTCTTCCTGTGTTTAATGTGTCTTGAGCCAAATTCCAGTCGGACCTCCTTTGATAAAATGGCAGTATTTTATTTTTGGCCAATTCGAGATTGGCCAATATCCAAACAATCTGGAAGATGAATTTTTAAAAATAAACAAGGGGCATGGACAGAATAGACAGCGATACAGAAAAGAAAAAGATGTAACGATTAAATCCAACGCATAAAACTCGTTTTTATAAATAAACTTTTAAAAAAATTAAATAATAAAAAAACACGGAAGTGATCAAGAACAGTTTTCTCTACAACGCACTTCCTGGAAAATCAACAGTGACAAAAACAAAAACACAGGATTATAAATAAATTCATTAACTATGAATACGGTTGCGTTGTATTTAGAATATGACGTTAAATAACAAAATCTTACGTTCGAGGACGAGCTGTCAACGAAGTTTACATCAAATGTTGTAGTCACTGATGCGTCTTATCGTTGAGTGAGGTTCTGCAGTTGTTGGTTGATGTCGACTCAGCTGAGCGATTGATTGTGATGCCGTTGGAGGGGCTGTGACGCACCGATATGGCCTACCCCACTTCGCCACGACTGGAAACCAAAACGGACCTCGACCATGTCCAGTTATGGTATATGACTTTAAACGGCTTGAACAGGAAGGCTTTCTGCAAAAACCACTCAGGGTTTCTAAATCAGTAGTAAAATTTTCCGATGTTCTAGAAACGTCGATAGGTCAATGTCGAGACGATTGAGCTTCGTATATCAAGCATGTTAGGAAGACCATTAATCAACCAGGAGCATTTGTTGCAAGAAGATATCGAACAAGGCCTAAAACAAATTGTACTTTTGACCTTCGATATTCCAATAGTAGTCCATCACAATCAATACCATGAAAAATATACAACGTAGATACAATTCACAGATTGATAAACGGAGCGTACACAAAACTACTCAAAAAAACTGCCATTAACTTGACCAAATTCACATATATACAGATATCTATAGACACATACTATTTAAGAAATTAAGCGTAAAAAATGCACTTCGAGACCACAGTTGTGTCTTAATATTAGACATAAATTTTTGCAATCAACAAGACGTGGTCCTTCCTAACCACTCGAAAGGTCATCCCATTAAAACTGAAGTATAAAATATTTAACTCAGTGTGCCCTTCAATCCTATGGTATGGTTGTCAGGTATGACAATTGATTCAATAGAAAGAGTTCTAATGTATTTTGTCTATAAATTATTTGAAGTACCTATTCCAACTCCAAATTATATGATTTAAGAAGAAGAAGAAAACATTTATTCTGGTACAGGAATGTCTAATACATAGGCTAAATTAAAAGTTAATAACATTTTAACAAAAAAATAAACCTTGTAAGGGGATCAACGAAATAATGGACTTATAAAAACCAAAATCCAAAGAGGTTAAAACTAAAATGAGTTACTCTGAATATTAGCATAGAAAATAATAAATACTGAGTAAATTTGAACTGCGGATAAATCGACTCTGTTTGGAGGGAGATGGAGGTGCGAGTACAGAAGATGTTTAAAAGAGGTAAGGGCAATGGCATTGGGGATAGTTAAGGGGAGGGAGTTCCAGAAGTTTGGTTCTCGGACAAGGAAAGACGTTTAAAGGTTCATGTTTTATCCCGTGGAAGGATTAGGTCACAGGGAGATGAGCGGGTATTGCAGGAGTGGAAAGATTTGGATCGGATGGATTGGATAATGTAATGAGGACGATAGGTGTTAACGGGCTGGTAAAGGAACGAACCAAGGAAATGTAGACTTCGGGAAGACGTATAGAGCCAGGATAGGTCCGAAGTCGTGATACCCTGGACCCTCTGGGATGCCGAATATAAACTTGGCACAACAGTTCATTAAGCTTTTTAGGCGCTTATTTTTCTCCCTCGAAAGCCCACCGAAAGCAACACAGCTATAGTCGAAGAAGGGGAAGATGACGGAGGAGACCAGGAGTTTGCGAGTGGAAAACGGTAGGAGGAGTTTCCAAGACCAGCGGAATTGGATGGGGGAGGCAACACAACGACGGAAAATTTGTGAAATGTGAGGGTACCAGGAGAGTTTTGGTCAAGGATAACTCCAAGGTTTTTAACGGTGGGGCGGAAGGAAATGGACTGGTTATTGTTGGTAAGAGAGGGGATATGGGGGAGGGATTTGAGATGACCGGATCCTATATGATAACTGAAAGCTGTGGACTTCGTAGGATTGAGGTTGAGGGAATTTTTGTGGGCCTAGTTGTTGATGGAATTTAGATGTTTCTGGATCTTATGGATGACCAATGATAGTTCAGAGGGATAGAAGGACAGGTAGATTGTCAGCATAAAAGTAATAGTTGCACTTTTGGATGGAATCGGAGAGGTCATTAGTGTAGATGCTGAAAAGGATGGGAAAGATGCTAGAACCTTGGGGAGCACCAAATTTTAATGGAGGGAAGGAGGCCGTTAAGAATGGCGACGGCTTGAAGTCGATTGGTAAGATATAGAGGAACCATCGGATGGTGCTGTTGCAGAATGAAAAAGATTCGAGTTTGGATAGGAGTGACGAGTGATCGACGGAATCAAAGGCTTTGGTGAAATCAAGAATAGGATAGCAGATCAAGATTAGCATAGTAACTTTTTGTTGGCGTATTGTGGTGTTAAGGTCACTTATAATTTGACTAGGCAGGCTGTGTGGAGAAACCATTTTGAAAGCCGGATTGGAGGGGGTTAAGAGGATTGAAATATTCTAGGTGATTGGAGTCTTGGATATGGACGAACCTTTCAAGGGGTTTGGACAGATTGGATAGGATACATATATGCGCGCGCGCGCGTGTGTGTGTGTGTGTGTGTGTGTGTGTGTGTGTGTGTGTTTATATAGGGCGGTAGTCATTAGGAGTGGATGGATTTGGAATTTTGTCGATGAGGTGGACAACGGCTTTTAGCCAGGATGACGGAAAAACGGTGTTGTGAAGTGAGTAGTTAGAGATATGAAGTAGGACCGGAAGTATAACTGGAAGGCAGAGTTTCAGGAATTTGCTGGTTATGGGGTCAGGTCTTAGGGCCTTGGAACGGGATTTGTATATTACTTCGAGGACATCGGTAGGAGTTAAGTAGGAAAAATCACAGAAGATGAGCTGTAATGTAGTCCTGTGTGAGTTTTTGGGGAAATGGATTGAAACCAGAAGAGTTATGGGCAGCAGAAATAAAGTTTAATTAAATTTAAGAAACATCGCTCGATCTATGTACATACACATTACAGGTTCACTTCTCATTCATTCTTAATACCTTGTACCTTTCAGATTCCAGGCTAGTAAAAATAACAACGTTAGAAATCATAAGATCCATGACTTCTTGGTATGCACAATTGCTATATTCATACCATAAATTATCCCTAACCACCCCAACCTTTCACATTGACATATGGCCAGACCTCTTTTCAGTTTTGCTGTGTGCAGTGTTCGTTTCTATAAATGAATGATTCTACTTCAAGCAGCATAGAACTGAATGCTTACGCCGTGCTCAATCCTCAGTTAATTTCTCGTTTTTTAAAGACCTATCTTATTCATGTAGTTTATTTAATTTAAAAGAACAAATCTGAATCTATCTGAGTTGCGTTGGCTTCTAAAACTTCGTTGCGAAATTTTCCATTTGAACTCTGCTCTTTGGATTAGAGGGAGGGATGGGATCTCTTCTTTTTGCAACTCGCGGTCAGTTGAACCAGTTTTTTACTTCCTAGCTGGGTGTTCGATTTTATGAGAGATTCGTCTATTACACCTCGGGTCCTTCACACCCTCAAGATCCAAATTATTGAGCTGTTGATCGGTTCGGATATCCGGGCTCACATACGGTATGCTAGCCATACAATTTAGCCCAGGAATTTAATTTCGTATACACTTTCCTTCGTTAAATAGCACAATGTTATAAAATAGCTAATGATCTGGAAGACAAAATTCATTTCTTTTCTGCGAACATATTTCTATAATTTTTATGTTCTAGAATTAATGCATGCCTATCCAGAGTACAACGTTTAACTTTGAATTTAGAATCATTTGTGTCAATATACAACGAATTCCGACGACAGACGTATTTAATTCCATGTTGTATATATTTCATAAAATGTTTCATTGACTTGCTCAAAATTGTAAAATAAAGTATTTCTATCCATCTAACTATATAAACGGCACATACAGACTGGAAGAAAAATAAAACAGACATCGTGTTCATCTTCGTTAGCGCTTTTGTGTGATTTTCATTTGGTTAAGTCCAAAATGTGACTACACTCCACACGGACAAATAAAGTAAATTATTTCCTGTCATATAGGAAGGCTTGATGACTGACCCGTCGGGTGTCGCGGACACATGGGCAAGTGTAGATGGAATGGCCTACATGCTTCAGCCATACTCGAAGAGGTAGTCTGACAAAACCTAGAAGAGAAAAACTCCCCCTATTATGACTAAACACAACGTATATGCACAAAATACGTTGATGACTTACTCGCTATAGTAGACATACTAACAAACCTTGAATTCCTTATAGAAAAACGACATATTACTGAAGAAGCCCAACATAAAATCTGATATAAAACTTTGTTTCTTTAAGGGGAGGGAAGAAAGCGTTTAAGCTTATAAAGGATGTGTAGAGATTAGTGACCGTTAATCGATAGTTATTCATATATCGTGAGATGCGGTCGGGTGTGATGTAGGTTTCAGAAAAACATTTTCTTTATCGTGCCAACGTTTCGATCTTTATTGAGATCATCTTCAGGGCTCAAAGTGTTTGTCTTCTGTGTAATTGTGCCACTGGCCCTCTCAACACGACACGCAAGGATGGCACAATTACACAGAAGACGAACACTTTGAGCTCTGAAAATGATCTCAATAAAGATCGAAACGTTGGCACGATAAAGAAAATGTTTTTCTGAAATCTACATCACACCCGACCGCATCTCACGATATATGAATAACTTATAAAGGATCCATATTTGCTTAGTGGCCATAACTGTGTAATTATTCCAATTAATTATTATCTTTTCGTCTCAACCAAAAGCCTTAGATAAAAATAATACTTATAAAGGATGTTTGGGGGCCAAACCCTAACAACAGTCTCGGCTACATCCAGAATCTACTACATAAAGAAGAATGTCTATCCAACTGTAAGAAGATCGTAAAATGGCAATGAAGAAGCCTTGGCATTTAAAAGATTTTGCCCTCCGACAATTTAAAAATCGTGGAGACTTTTTTTAAAATAAGTTTACAATTTTAAAAATTAATAAAGGCATAAACAAAAATTGGTATCAGTTTATCAGATTTAATTATTGTTATGCAAGTTACAAAGTTTTTTTGGAAACATTAAAGTTAAAAATTACTGTACCGATTTTTTTTTAAAATTGGCTCTTACACAGTTAACCATTTCTACGCTTCAATTGTACAAAACCCCTTGCAAAAACCCATTTGACAGCCATTCAACAAATGGCATTCAAATCAATTCAAATGGGAACATGTGAATTGTACATAGGAAGATTGGCCCCAAATCTTCAGATGGCCGTAATTTCATAAGAAGACGATCAGCATAAAGGTTATAAGAGCTTTATGGCTCCTCAGGTGGCATACCATGGTACCTTTATGGCTCCTTGGACGCCCGCACCGAATTGGTTGTTGTGCGATGAAGATGTCGAACTCATTTGCCCCCCCCCCTCCCAAATAGGTAAGAGATTCCTTCTAATGCATGATAATGCCAGGCCCTTTAGAGCACGATTTGTGGACTACCTGAATGAGGTTGAAAGTGAGTGCTTGATTTGGCTAGCTCGAACTCCAGATTTGAACCCAATCGGATCCATTTGAGGCCAAATTAAGCGACGAGTACGTCGGCGAAACCCAGGTCCTAACACCCTAGAACAGTTAGAAACGGCTGTTCTTGTCGAATGGAAAAGAATTCCTCAGGATTTTACCAGAAATCTTGTCCAGAGAATACAAAGACGTATGATGGTCGAGATTCGTGCCAGAGGTGGAAATACTCGGCATAAAAGGGGTAAAAAAAAGTATTGGTATGCAAAATATAATTACATTAAAATTTAAGGGTTGTGCGTTAATTTTGTTCATCAGTGTAATTTGTTGAATGACTATCAAATGAGTTTTTGCACGGGGTTTTGTTCAATTGAAGCGTGGGAATGGATAACGGTGTAAGAGCCAATTTAAAAAAATCGGTACAGCAATTTTAACTTTAATGTTTCCAAAAACACTTTGTAAATTGCATAATAATAATTAAATCTGATAAATTTATATCAATTTTTTATGCCTTTATTTATTTTTAAAGTTTTAAAATTGTAAACTTATTTTTAAAAAACCTTCTCCACCATTTTTAAATTGTCCGAGGACAAAATCTCTTAAGTGCCAAAGCTTCTTCATTGCCATTTCACTTTCTTCTTACAGTTGGATAGACATTCTTCTTTTATGTAGTAGGTGCGTTCCTAGATGTAGCCGAGACTTTTGATAGGGTTTGACACCCAGACATCCTTCATAAGCTTAAACCTTTTCTTCCCTACCCTTAAAGAAACAAAGTTTTTCTCAGCTTTTGCGTCAGGTTTCTGCAGAAAATATGATGTTTCTGTGTACGGAATTCACGGTTTGCTAGTATGTTGTCTATGTTGATTTGAGAAAGTAGAAAGGCGAAATAGAAATATTAAAAAACGGAAAATTTCAACTTTCAGTTTTTTTGTGGGGAGGGGGTAACCAGGGCCTATTCGCAAAAAGTGACGTACACGTATCCGATATTTTGGAGTGCAGAATCTCCAAAAAAAAGTTTTGTCCAAATCCGTGACCCACCAAGCTGGTCTTGAGCTTTTTTGTTCTTAACGCAAAGTTGTTCTTATTTTATTACAGTTCATACATTAAAAAAGTGTGACTGCACGTAAAATAAATAAAATACAAAAAGGTTGCGCAATATTTTTACGTTAGATCTGTTTTGCTATCTCAGAGACATGCATTGCACATCAAATCATGGGTTTTTCTCCATTTCATTAACGAAGAAATTTGGAGTTTTGTGATTACGACTTTTTATGGATAGAAGAATAGAATCTTCACCGGAGAAATGTTAGCGTTGCATTTATTTTGGAAAAAAAACGTTTTCCGGCCCGGGACAAGTCGCTGTAGCAACGGGGAAAACGTATCGATTTCCTTCTGAAACGTTAGCACAGTATTAACACGATGATCAACGTTCGAACGGGACTAAAATCCGCAGAATAATTATTTGGATCGGATCGAGGTTCGCAGAAAATGGCCGTCAAATATAAAGACAGATACCTCAATTACGGCGATGTGAGACTTCAGAGAAGGATTTCACTGTCTCTCGGTGAAATTGTGGACAGGATGGACAATGCGACAAGCGAGGACAGAAAAATTGTACATTTGCAAAAACTTTTACAAGTTGATCTAACGGAAATTCTCTGCGACCAGTTGAAAAAGAAATTGTTCGTCATCATTCAAAAAGATTTGAATAACTTAAACAGTGACATATTTGAACTCGCGTTTAATTTACACTTGAAGTTGATGAAATCGAGTCCTTCAGAATATTCCACATACTGCTTCAGGAATGCTGTGCACACATTGATTTTGTTAACTGAACTGCAACAAGGCAAACAGAAGAACGCAGATGACCCTATTCTTTCCAGGCTTTTATATCTCTCAAAATACGTACTGCAAATATTTAATTTTGTCATTAATGATAGTACATCTTACTCGGACGAATGTCTTATGGAGATGAATGACCTCTTCGTTACTTTACTCTGCAAACGGACCAATGATGGCAACGGTCTAACACCGTTTGACATTATATCTAACATTGATTTCATGTCAAATTGGTCAAGGAGAATTGTACATTCACAACGGTCTAGAACGATATTTTTAAATTGCCTGAAAGGCCATCAGGAATTGATAAAATTACTACTAATAAATATAAAAGATTGGTACCATTCTCCAATAATCCCAAATAAGGATACCACACTTCATATGTTAGATGGAGAAATAATAAAGTTTTGTAATTTCATATTTTCTTTTTGTACGATAGTGAACATTTGCAAATTTCAAAGCAGCAGTCAGTTGTTGTCAGTGCTGATAGATGATAAGCATGTAGATGTAACGTTTGTTTTGAAAAGCAGTTTTGAATTTTTTAAACAGAGCAAATATATACATTCATTACCACAAACAATGATTAATTTCATGGCTAAAATGTTGGGTATGATTTTTAACAATTCACTCAATGTTGACAAAGCTATGTTGGACAACATGTTCCAGGACATCCATTTATGGGTCCCTCCGCTGATTATTTTGTTATCGGCAATTATTAAAAACGAAACATCGGCACTAAATTTCCTACAAGAATTTGAAAAAGTCCATATTAATTATTCTAAAACAGATTCTACCGATGGCTATGTAGATTTGGCCAAAGCACATGCAAACAGTATGACTAAATATGTATGCAAGTTAATAGCCTATGCCATGAACAACATCATGAAGGATGAAGACTGGGATTCAAATCTGGCAAAAAATCTATTATTCATCTTTGAAAATGTGTTCACAAAAAATCAATATTGCCATATTTTGGTTCACGAGGAACCGAAACTTGTTCCACACATTCTTCACTTTTGTCAAAATCCGAAGCCCATATCAGAAAGCAACCAAGAGCAACAAACTATGATCCTTGGGTAAGTTTACAAATTGCAAAATTGATAAATGTAACATGTATATTTATGTTTGTAATTGTAAAACATGTTTGTCATTGATGTCAGTTAATGACATTATTCCAGTATATAGTTTTATTTATTTGTTTCCTTGTTTTTTGTTTGTTGTTTTATTAACCATGTGGAAAGAAGCTTTTTTAATCCAATAATCAAACTTTTTTTAACCTTTACATTTGTAAGTAAAGTAATTCCTGTTATTCAGGAGAACTTAATAACTTCCAACTACCCATTGATGGTCACAGACAGTGTCAAACCACTTTACAACACTTTCTCCATACTATCCACAATCCTTTCTATTTGTAATATTGTCTCATCCTCAGCATTTTTCTCATGCTAAAATGCTGTTTTAGGAGTTTTCAACAGCACTCAACATGAGAAAAAATGTTGAGGATGAGACAGCAAAAGATCTAAAAAACGTTACAAACCTATTTGTTTTTTAATCTTTCAAGCTGAATTGCTGGCCATAGAATTATGTGCATATAAAATCAATAGCAAAATAACAAGGGTACAACTATAATATTTTATCAAATAGCAAGGCAGCTCCTAAGGCTAAGCCTTTGAGATTTTAAAACTAGTCTGGTACTGCCTATTACCCTATTAAAACAAAATGGGATCTACAAATAGCCTATTGTTAAGGAGGGGCCCAAGATCTTGAGAGAATGAAAGGCAATGAAGCAGAAGATCTATCCAAATATTGAGCTTTGAAACAACGAATAGACCCAAATCCATTTCATGGCATAAAGTATAGCCACATTAAAAAAGAACTGGAATCTTGGGTTGCTAGAGAACACAACAAATACTGAGAAAGCCAGACATGAAGCAATCAAAGATACTACTCACAAAAAGAATGAAAACGAGACTAATTAGAAAGAGATTAATTAATTTGTACTCAACAGAAAAGAATTAAAAACCTCAGGTATATTTCCAGTAAAATACCGCTAAAAAACAGTAAATATTAACAAATGACCAATGTCAACTATGCTTAGAGTATCCTAAGCAAGACTAAGGTAAATGTAGAAAGTAGACCTTGATACCCCTGAGAAGAATTGTATACTTTCTCAAAAAAACAAACATCTTTCAGGAAAACCATTAGCAGAGCTCAGATACAATAGATTAAGTTTAAATGCTAAAGGGGACAATCCCTATGGCCCCCAGAAGGAAAAACCCTAACTCTAACCTAACCTAGCCTGACTATCCGTAACTTAACCTAACCCTACCTCTAACCATACTTAATTTAACTAAACTGTCTCTAACCCTAATTCTAACTACCAATGATGCAAAAATTGGGTATCCAGCCCAAAAACATACACATGTTAAAACATGACACAATAACTCACAGACCAGAAGCACATCCAGCAGACCAAATGAATGAGAATAAGCCGATTGCATAACGTTTATTTACTTAACCTATGCCTATAGACCCAAATCCATTTCATGGCTTAAAGTATAGCCACATTAAAAAAGAACTGGAAACCTTTGACTAAGGTAACATGTTCCTGGATGGTTCAAGCTGAATTGCTGACCATAGAATTATGTGCGTATGAAATAAATAACAAAATATCACAAGGATGCAACTATAATAATACTATCAGATAGCAAGGCAGCACTAAAGGCCAAGCCTATGAGATCTCAAAACTAGCCTGATACTGCGAATTACCCTATTAAAGTTTAAAAAAATGGGATCTACTATAGCCCTGCAATACCTAGGAAAAGGCTGAGGTACTTAGAAAAGCCATTCTTGGGCACTGTAAAATTTGATACACCTGAGAGGAATTATGTACTTGACAAAAATAAAAAATAAATATTCCAGGAAAACCATTGGCACAGACACAAGGGATGTAGGTTTAAATACAATAGGGGAGAATCCCTATGATTCCAGAAGAGAAAAAAAACCACTACAGCTCACAAACAAGAAGCCGAAACTCGTCTGACAGACCAAACTAGCCAGAAAGGGAATAAAAATCCTACTTAGTTTATTTATAATACATGCTCCAGTAAAATAACGCATAGAGAAGATATAAACAGAAGAACACATCCTTAAAGAAAAATCTTCCAGGAATATTAGTAGTAGAGTTTATACACAATAGACAAAAGCGTAAGTGTATAAGGTCAAGTTGATTGGTTCATCAAGCCTTCTGTCCAAAAGTTTAATATTACAATATACTTTTAAAGAAGAATGACAAAATTTTATTATATAATACATCTTTGAGTCCACCTGAGACTTCTAATATCCACTGGCAAGCAGTTTTTTCCAATTTAGACCTCCATAAATTCTATATGGGCAAGAAAATATACTTACTTTAAAATTCAATTCATAGGCTATCTCCAATACTTTACAGAGGCTTTTTATAATAATTAATTTGTTGATAATTTTGCAGATGCCTTCAGAAAGTATTTGCAGTTATTCCATTTTCCCTTCAGTGTCTGCAAATGCTAAAAGAAGAGACTGCAGTACAAGAAATGTTGGGCTTTGCTGATTTTGGAACCGTCAAATGCAACAAATCATGGAGGCTGACATTTTTTCTGCTTACAACCATTTTAAAAAAATCAGAAGTCTACACAGCAGAGAGAAAAGTTTTAATTAAAAAATTATTGTATTACTTTATTAATTTACTTGAAACGGAAACATTTTCGGCTTGTGAAGGAGAAGAGAAAGAGTTATTATGTCTTGTGTTCGCTTTCACTCATGATGTTAATGGTAAGTGGTTATTATTAATATGTAAATTTATTCTTAATGTCAACTAATCAATAACACCTTTATTATATAAACATATTAAAAAGTTTTGTTTTATTAGTAAGAATTCTTGTTTATTTAAAAAATATATTCTTTGAGTTTGTGTATTGACATCTGTCCTTTTACAAATGATTTTCATTATTAATGGTAATTCATATTGTAAAATTTGTAACTCTGTATTTGTAATATTATTTTAAAATTGAAATATAAATTTCATTTATAATCAGTTTTATAATATATATGTTTTACAGGTCTAATGTCTGTTTTGGAGCTGTCAGATTCTGAAAGTGAAGTTACTGTAACGGACTCAATTGAGGAGTATCCACTGAACATTACTGAATTCATAAGTATTGCATTAGAGCTTGAAGGATTGGAAACATGCTTGCAGCTAACATCATTAAAACTCCTGAGAAATATGGCAAATTCCTTGGACTGCTGCCTTTATCTTCAAAATCAATTCAATTTCATGGTACTACATTCTATATATTCCATTATTAACTTAAATAATTTACCCTACTACCTAAAATTTCAAATAAGTTCTTTAAACATTTTTATTATTATAATAACGATTAAGCTCATCATCCACTTTTCATGTTATACTTTGTTTATTGTACAAGCATAGTTATGTAATTTGATCTGCTTATCCTCGCTGGGTTGGTCTGTCAGACCAAAATAATCCATAACGACCTAATTACAAATATTTTGAAGAAATGGTTTTTCACCATTGTCTTAGAGAATGAACTACTACAAAGCTAAAAGAAAAAAAGAAAAAGAAAATTCCGTATCATCAATTACTTCTGAAAATTATTTTTACTTATGAGTTTAACCTTTTGTTAACAGGTCAAACTTGAAAATTCTAAGCAATTTATCAACTCTGATGCCACAAGACAGTCATTTCCAATCATTGACGAAATCCTTAAAGCAGTATTCTTCAGTGGTTCTAAAAATGATGATGAATCTGCAAATAAAACTTCCAGTATAACTGACTTGTCTCGGTTTTTTGAACATTCGTTGGGCCACGAGCTGGAAAAGCTCTGGCTAGAATATTTGCCAGATTTCACTGCTAATTCATCAGATTTAAACCTCCAGGCAAGTTTATTGTGATAAACCATTAATCAATATTTTTATGGGCTAAATTTAGTAAACCTTTGACCTGCTATAATGAATTTGTCACCTTTCTATAAAATAATAATTTTCAAAGTATAATAAGTGATGAAGCAAACAACCAAACGCTTTAATGTAAATAAATTTAATGAATTTATAATTTTACTTATTTCATTATGCCTTTACAATAATGGTGCATAGAGCTTGCCGTTTGAGGAACTGTTATTAAACCTTGATAAAATTACTATGCCTTTACATTCGCATTCTGATGTTGAATTAAACTGGTCGGATATTGATGATATTCAGTTAACATCAGAGGATATGTTCGGCATAGAATTAACTCTAAGGTAAGGACAAATATTTATTGTTTATTATTTGATTCAATCTGTGCAATACACTAGTGAGAATGTCTTATTAACTTGTACATGCCATTTTATATTAACAGAATTTTTTATTTAGGTATGGAAAATTAAATAGATTAATTGACAATGGTGCAGAATATTCTAGCGATCTCCAAATAATAATTAAATGTTTAAAAAAAGCATTTGGACTCAGGCTAGAAGAATTTATAGGTTTTAACTGGTTTTCCGCCACAATTTTCCTACTGAATGAAGGCAACATGGAAAGGTGAAATAGCCTTTTATTTATTTTTTTATTAAACTTACTGTATTTTAAACATATCATATAACTGTAATAATAAATGCAACATATAGTATTTAGAATCTTGGGGTGTTATATTGATCTGTCCCCTGTTCTAAACATAAGTACACCAGTCAGTCCTAATTAATTTATGAACTTTTTACTTGCTCCTGTTGCAATGATAAATTGATCATAAGAGATGATAAAACATAATGTACATAAAAGGCACAAAGGACCCAGGCCAGCACCCGAATGAAGTGCTGGGCACCACACTATTTTTCTTTCCTTATGCTGTTTGAAATGTATTACTTTTATTTTTATAGAATATAAATTGTTTATTGTCTTATAGGAAGCATTATATATACAAAGGGGAGATTTCAACAACTCTTCATTGCAATTTAAAAACATAATACAACATATTAACATTTTGAAAAACAAAAATATAAAAATAAATGTGTGGTGATTAGTGACCGTTAATCGATAATTATTCAGAAATCGTGAGATGCTGTCTGGTGTGATGTAGGTTTCAGAAAAACAACAAACAAAAGAATTGAAGAGAACAAAAGAATACATGATTGAATGTAAGAAATATATTTTGCATTGTATAAATTCACTTTTCCACATACTAAATGTATTTGTTAAATGTAAACAATGTTTGTAAATCCCAGGCCCTGAAGATGGTCTCAATAAAGATTGAAATGTTGGCATGATAAAGAAAATGTTTTTCTGAAACCTACATCACACCAGACCGAATCTCACGATTTCTGAATAATAAAAATAAATAATAGTTACGCTACTGCAAACAAACAAAATAAATTGGATTTGAACAGATAAATAAAATGATTAGTTTAAACAGATATGTATTTATTCCTTTTAAATACTACCAATAACTAAACAGATCTCTGATCAGTTATTATTGCAATTGTAACACGCTCATTCCGATAACACAAAGGCTCTCTACCTTAAAACCCTGGGGGAAAAATAGAAATTAATCATTTGCTTTGTTCTGGTTTTGGTCAAAATATAATATATTCTGTATAGTTTTATAATTAAACTGTTTATTTACAAATGAACGGGCTTCTTATAGGATTGTACATTGGTCAATCAAAAATAATATGGTGTAATGTTTCTTTTACATGCATGTTACAAACTAATTTGCATTGATTTTATAATAACTTCCATTCTAAAATATTTTTAATGCTAATAATTAACTAGTCTTACCTGAACTAGTAACCTTATTTCCTAATGGGCAAACTAAAAAGCAAATATTGTTCAGCAGAAGTTAAACTAGATATATTATTCTGGACCCAGGGGGGTTAAACCATGAATCGAAGCATTTATTAATGTTTTTTGAGTACATATAGTTTTTCCACCTCTCAACTATATTGTCTTTCCTACTTAAAAAGCATTCTCAATGTGTATAATGTATGATAGATTTACACCCTAAAGAGATATGGCACTTATTCAGGCCATCAAACTAAATACCACTGATGGACCGGCAGGAATTTGTGATTTTTTTTAGTGAATGAACATCCCAGAAGAGTCTTTCTGATGTAGTGCTCTGGAATGATTAAAGGAAGGTGATGTAGTCGTTTAAAGAAGCACACTTGAAGTTCGTCAATTTCTCCTAAATGACTCAAAGCCCATAGTTAGGCACCATAGAAGGCAGAGGCTGCTACAATATAATCAACGAGCTTAACTCATTTTCGTTCCGTTAACTAGTTTCCAGCGACTTGCATTTGCCTTGGATAAGGATTTCCTTTGCTTTCTTGCCCTTGGTACAAGCATTTGTTGTGGCTAGGTCAAAAGTGCCCTGAGATCTAAGTGGAATACCGAGATATTTATATACATTCACATACTCAACAATAATCTCTTGGTATCGCAGTGGTCTTAAGTATTTACATCTGGGAGAGAAGTTCTGACAACCATCACCTTAGTTTTTTGGACATTGACATTTAGGTTGTTTGTGGAGCAGTATTCAGACAGCACATTAAGCATGTGTTATTCTACGAGTAATAAATCTGCTAACAACACTAGGTCATCTGCAAACAGAGGGCACACAATGTTGATAGTGTTGTCCAACTTGGCCCTTATGGCATTGTGAGATTTCAAAAAGGAAACAAAATCAGATAGCAATATATAAAACAGTAGGGGAGACAATGATACTCCTTGCAACACACTGTTGGTTATAGGTAACATCTTAGTTAATTACTTTTGCTTCCAAACTACCGAAAGTAAGAAAGATTTGTATTCACATGGGAAGTCGAAAAAATTGTTGTCCTATTTGTCATTTTTTCTCAGAAATCAAAAATTCCACTGGCATTTTGTGTTTCAGACCTTTCTAAACAAATTTGTTTCCATATCTGTCTGTTTGTGGTCAATTCCTAGTAACCTGCAAAATTTCAAAACTATTAGACCAATTTTTATGAAATTTTCAGGGATTATGCAGGTTGCTTTTTAAATGATCCCCTATGAATTTTATTCCAAACGGATTAACATATGCTTATGTGTATGCACAAAATATGAAGAAGCTATACTGTCTGCCCAGTTGGTAGACTTTATTGTTTACTTTCAGTTTGAAATTCCCTAAGAGTAAAAGAACTTGATCAACTCGATTATTTTGCCATCATTACTTTTATTTTTATGTAACAATACATTTAGCCTTTTTTAATGTTAGTTTACATTTTTGAGAACATCTTAGTTGACTGTTTTCTGTTCAACTATTACACTGCGTGTTGTTTAGTTTTGTTTGTTGTTTATAAAATAGCTAAAAACCAAATATGAGCCTCATGTGGACTGGTAGTGTGATGCTAAAATAATTCGAATTTTAGCTCAAGCATTTGGAATCACTGACTTGTATAATATATATTGGTATATTGTATTTTTATGTAATATACAAAATACAAATTTAAAGAAAATGTTTTTTGTCAAAAAAAAATGAAAATTTCCAGATTTATTGTTAAAAATTAAGAATGCTTTTTGCCTTGGATTATCAGGCAATGCTATGTGGCGACTTTGGCACAAAAGTTGCCAACATTTATAAGTTATTAATTAAGCAGCCCAGTGATGACCCGACTTGATGAGTACAAAGATAAAGATGTAAGAGAAAATGTGTTGAATTCTATCTAAAAAGATATGGAAACTGGAAACTAAAGTTGAATAGGCGAATACACCTCAAAGGTTGTTACAAGAAAAAATTTATGTTTATAAAAGTTTATTGGTTTATTTATTAGTCACATTAAATGGCTAGTTTATCATGTTTTGTCAATAATTCCTTTTAAATAATATATAATAATACATATACATAGAGGATGCTTCATGGAACAAAATAATCTGAAATATTGAAATATTTGTATTCTTATAATTGAACAAAATTATATATAATAAATATTACTACAAATCTACAATAAGGTTTGCTTCCTATACTAATACAGTTTGTTTTACAGAACCCAGCATTGTATATCAATTCTTTTACACTTTGATATTGTCGAATTTTTATGGATAAAGCCTCATTTGTCAGTTCAAAATTGGGCATTTTTTGACTACATAGTGTCCAGAGAGCTACCTTCATTATGCTTAACCTTACAAGTATACACTTATTACGATATTATTAATACCATTATTGTAAAAATACATGTTTTTTAATTTCAGAATTATGGAATATGCTGTTGGGTCCTATGTCAAAATTGGACATCAGAATGTTTTTGGAGGATCTTACCTTTGGAAGAAATAAAGAATTTATTAATTATTTTGTTGTTAAATACATCAAATTACCTCTTCTACTTTTACATAACTTTTCTTCAAACAAGCAAACAAGAAATACTTAGAAGGGTCGAAAACGGAAATTTCTTACTGTTACTGGTAATTAAATACCATTTATTTTAGGCCCAAACATTTGTATGTATTTAACTTACAAATCTAATATTATTACAAATATATTATAAAAAAGCAAGTATAAAATCTATATTATTACTATTGATATTAATAAGTTAATGTATTTATATTTTTGCAAGATACAAAGTTTATATTTTCACCTTGGAATGTCTGAATATTTTGTTAAATTTTTGAATGCTTGTTTCAATTTTATAGGAAAATGTTAATTACAAATTATCAGACCACATTATGGATTTTGAAATTTTGGACAAAAAATATAACAACTTTGTTGTCGAAGTGACAGATTCAGGTCAGCTTTTGAAATATTTTTCAGATAATATAACCATCCTTAAGATTTTTTTAAATTTCAGAGTGAAAATTGCACTATTTACATCACTTCGATCATCAAGTAAGTGTTGCACGGAGTGACGATACATCACTACAGTTTTAAATGGCAAAACTTCATCAGAAAATTATAAATAATTGAGCATTTATTATAATTGACATGCATAAATGATGAGTGTTTAAGAAATACAAGACAGAAAACACATCATTTAATCCTTAAATATTAATCGTTCTAATGCATAATACAATTTCTAGCATTTTTAAATTTCAAATGTGGTTTTCCCTGAAAAAAAGAAATGCTCGTCAACTATTTTTAATAAATGTTTAAAAATCTACCCCGTTTCACATAGGATTCCAGTTAGCTCTAGTTTTCTTTAAGTGGCGCAAACATTTATGTAAAAAAATGTATTGTTCCTGTAAGAAGGAAAATATGTATATTTAAATGTTCCAGATCCGTATTGTTGTTTAGAAAAGGGTGAAATATTTACTCTTGTTTGGACCATTCCCATTTTCTGGTTTCTCAGCTTGTAAACAATATCATATATGCTAATAGCAGATGGTTTCATTTTCAACATTTCATAAAGTGCAATAAATGTACCAGTTCTTCCACATCCAGCACTTGAAAAAAATTATAAAACAAAATTTACCGTAATAAAATAAGCGTATTATTTAAACAATTTAAAACACAATTTGTCAACAGTACATACAAATGAAGCAAGCAAGCATGCAATACACATACACGCATGCACACACATGCGCACGTGCACACACACACAACACACACACACACACTGCTTGGGGCTAAAAACCATCAAGGCATTTACCTGCAATGTACTACTAATGGTACAGATCTGTCCAGAGGGTTGATTGATTTTTCAACCAAATCACAGAACTTGAGTATTTCTTTCACCGATGAAGGCACACCAAAATCAGCCCATTCTAAATATTGAAAGTGGGTTATGTTGTGTTTGTCTCCATCCTGAAAAAAATACATAAACTTATATGCAGGGTATCCCAATGAAAATACCCCTGATAACTAACTTACTTTTGGCCCAATTTAGACCGGATTTGTAAAAACTTTGGGTTATAATTAAGGGAACTTAAGATTCACAAACTGAATTTGTCTAGTGTAATTAACTTATTGAAATACCATTATATTTAGTGGTCTGATTGACCAAATTACTTCTTTCAATTAATTAATCTTTTTATGTTAGGTCTTGGTTGAAATGAAAAAGTTAGTGTACGAGTGGGATTGGAACCCACGACCTTCGGTCCGACCCAAACAACAACTAAAGACAACTACCAAAAATAATAATTATAACATTTTTATCAGATAAGCTCTAGCATCTTAACATTAGCCAACCCTAATAAATAATATGGATCGAAGTCACGATAGCTCAAGTGGTTAGAGCAGCGGCGTATTTAGGCATGGGTTCAAATCCCACTCATGACACTGACTTTTTCATTTCAACCAAGACCTAACGTAAAAAGATTAATTTATTGAAATACATTTTTTTTTTTTTTTTTTTTTTTTGGCATTGACCTTTTGTCTTCAGCCATGTTTGAAATACATTTAATTTCCTTCTGTAAGTATTACAAACTGTTACTTTGTGAGATTTCTCACTGCACTGCGGTGTAATGAAATGTTGGTCTGCTGTTCCTCACTTGGTTGGTCCATCAGATGTGCTTCGGTGTTTTACCTTCTTCAGTGGTCTGTATGTTAATAAAATAACACATAGAATCACTGAAGATGATGAAATACCAAAACACATTGGACAGACCAACCCAGCAAGGATAGAAGCCCAAAATGATCGGTAAGGATCAAATAATATTTACTTTGTTTTGAGGATGCATGTATGAGCCTTTGATGATAATTCTTTGGAGCTTAGGATTTTGCGGTTAGGCATTATTTTTCCATGATAATTCTTTGGAGGAAAGATATTGAGGTTAAGGCTTTACTTTTCCATATTTCTTTGGGAGTTAGTGTATTGTGATATATGCCTTTGTTTGAGGTTGAGGTTGAGGTATTATTTTTCCATTTTATTTCTTTGGAGGTTAATGTATTTTTATATTTAAAAAATGAAAGATCAGACCATTTTGAGAGAAAAGAAAATACTCAGTTCCTTTGTCAATCTTTCCAGGAATATATCCACTTCACTAGGACTTTGAAACGATTATTAATAATTTAAAAGGTTAACAAATATGAACATCTACTTACATTTCTGAACCTTATGATTTAAAATGTATTGAATTTTCGACTTGAGAGGAGAACAAAATCTACAACCCGTCCATTCTTTCAAATCGGCCTTATCCCTGATGTTTTTGGGAATTGTGACCATAAAAGTTTTTAAGATAGGTTACAAGCCCCAATACATATATTTAGTTTGTATTTCATCAGTAATTATATTTCTTACCTTAACGAGTACTAAGTCTCTTATGATGAATGTTTTGTATGAGTGCCTTTGAATACAATGTACGCTATAATCACCCAAAAGTTTGCTCATACCTGCTTCTGGGTAGTAAAAATCACATTTTACCTGAAATTATGTCATTCTGAGTATATATCGATGTTTACTTTTTATTGTTATTTAGGAATATGGATATATTATTATTTTCATATATTTCAGACAGCGGCCTGTATTTCAATGATCTGTTCAAGAATATTATGTGCAAATTATTCTATTGGGCATTCCTAGTTAAATAAAATATTTTTCAAAAAATGGAATGTATGTAATATTCTTTGTGAATTAATAATTTTATGCTGAAAATACGTCTACTTACTTTTCCCTTTATGCTCCAATCTTATAGGTGGGAATTCACTTACTTTTTTTTGTTCCACAGTTTTACACAGCATAACGATACTGGAAACATTGCATGAAGCAACCATGGCCCAGAAATCCTTCGCTGTGTTCTCTTTCGGCCCCTGGGTTGCAATATATTTCTGTACATCATCAAAACCCTAAAACAAAATTAATAAAAGGATACATTAAACAAATGTAACATAAAAAAGTAAAGTAATTCATACGGGAGGGCTTAATGTCCAACTTCCAATGGGGTGTCGTGGACAAGGGGTAAAACCACTTTAAATACTTTTTACATTTTTCAATTAAATAACATGGGCTGTGTCAGGATGCGAACTCAAAATGTCTAGTGTGGCAAATATGAATCAGATGCCATAATGACTCGACCACTGTAGTACCCCATGTAGCATAAATTGAATGATGAAACATACAAAGTTCTATTTAATTAAAAATTGGAAAATTTAAAAATTTGACATTTTTTCTTATTATTTTAGATTTGATATCAGCTATTAAAGAATTTTCTCAGGTAATTAAACTTTTATAACTATGTAATTGGGTACATATGTAGCTACCCCAAAAAGATGATCAAATCTTAAATATAAAGATTTTTGGGGGAAAAGTATTTTTTTAGTTTACACAAATCATTAATAGTAAAATAATGAATTGTGAATCACAAAATGAAATAGTTACATTAATATGTGATGCATTGATGTAGTTTTCGGAAGGTTGTCCTGGTAGAAGCACTCTGTTGTAATCAACTGAAAATTAAACACCACCTTAATAAATAATGGCAATAGAAACTGTTTTTAAAAATTGAAACTATTTTTTTTAAATCAAGAGAAAAGGACAAGATTTAAAAAAATCAAATTAAACAAATACTACAATATTAAAAAGGTCACAAAATGATACTTAAATGTTTATACATTAAAAGTATTGGGTTGTCCGGAAAATAATGCAGGATTTTGGTATTAAACAAAAAAAAAGAAACTAGTTACTTTAAAGCAATGTTCTTTAATCAAAATAATTTCCCATACTCTCAATACATTTCTCCCAACGTGTTGGTAACTTATTAATTCCGTCTGAGTAGAATTCAGAATTTTTAGAATTGATAAAGTCAATAAATGCATTTTCCAGTTCCGTTTGATTTTTGAATATTATGTGTTGTAAGTAGTGGTCCAGGTGTCTAAAAAAATGGTAGTCAGTAGGCGAGAGGTCCGGAGAGTAGGGTGGGTGAGGCAAAGTTTCATAGCCAAGCTCCAATAATTTTTGTGACGTTACACGTGACACATGTGGTCGAGCGTTGTCATGCAACAAAATGGGCCCTTTCCGATTGACCAAAGAGGGCTTCATTACTGCCAATTTCTGATGCATGGTATTAATTTGGTTACAGTATGATTCAGCATTGATGGTTTCGCCAGGATTTAAGAAGCTGTAGTGTATTAAACCAAATGAAGCCCACCATACCGTAACCATTACCTTTTTTTGATGAGTTGGGGGCTTTGGAAAATGTATTGGAGCTTCTCCTTTGTCGAGCCACTGTCCAGAACGTCTAGTGTTATCGTAGAGAATCCACTTTTCGTCACATGTAACAATTCTGGCCAGAAATGGGTCATTTTTGTTTCGACAAAGAAGTGATGCACAAACATCAAAGCGCTGATTTTTTTGGCGATCGTTTAATGAGTGTGGAACCCAATTTTCGAGTTTTTTCACTTTTCCAATCGCCTTGAGGTGGTCAGCGACGGTCGTTTTACTGACTTTGAGTTGCTCTGCAAGTTCTCGAACAGTTGTTTTGGGGTTTTCTTCCACCACTGATCGCAGAACATCATCATTAAGAGAGGAAGGCCTTCCACGACCTTCTTCATCTTCAAGGCTGAAATCTCCCTCCCGAAATTTTTTAAACCACCTTTGCACAGTGCACTCATTAACACAACCCTCGCCCCAGACTTGGTTAATGTTTCTAGCCGTTTGGGCTCCGCTTCGGCCGAGTTTAAACTCGTAAAAGAAAATCGTACGAAATTCTCGCTTTGACATTATAAGGATGACTGAATTATTTCCAAGTAGCGGAATGCTACAGAGGTAAACAAACAATATCATTTGGAAGAGGATTAATAAGTGTTGACATTCATACAAATGAGTAATCCTGTAAACGTAAACAGAATATTTTATATAGATTTTTTTTAATGAAAACTTAAAATCCTGCATTATTTTCCGGACAACCCAATACAAAACTTTCATGCTTCAATTTTTCATTTATTGTCTGTTGTTCAGAACCAAAACAAAATGAATACTTTTATTGAGAAAAAGTTAACTACAAACCATAATATTTACATAATGAAAAACATTGTAGCAGATGTTGTTATTTTTTATTTCTATTGTAATGTGTATGATATTTATCATCCTTGATCTACTTGTTCTCATCAAAGAGAAAAACCTCATAACAGTGCGTGGTATACATTGTACAATAAGCATACTTTTGTATGTTCAGTTATTAGAAAACAATGTCAAAAAGTAACTCTCTTGATTTTGTAAAAACAAAATCTTACAAGGAAAAACATTTGCGTATCTATTTTTCTCTTTGTTCTGTTCATCTGTACCACAGGTCGAATGGTGGTGAATTTTTTTAGTATTCTTTTGCAGCTTGTCATATTCTTCGTTTACTGCAGCGATGTCGAAGAGTTGGTGGCTTTCGGGCTGCTCTGTTCCATCTAATTCAGCTGTTACACCATTTAGATCGATATTTAACTTGTTTTGTTTCTTCCTTTCCATTTGCCTATTATCATAAAAATAAATAAATGTACAACAACCTCACGCATAAATGAAAACAAATTTTTAAACATATATTTTTCTCTAGTAACTATGTACATTCTGACTGTGAGAATTACTCTTCATTCATAACATATGAAGACAAGACATCAAACTTATTTTTTTAAAAATGATTTTCAGGTTTTTGTTGAGTCAAAATTTACAGCATGGTCAAAGCCACCAACTTTAGTTTCCCTGTTCTAATAGTTAGAATTATCTCTCTCTTTTCTAGAAACATCTCACTTACCATTGCTTCCGACGTCTTATAACAAAAATATATGAAAATGCAACAATTGATCCAATTACTGTAACTGAACCAACTGCCATCAAAATTGTATATGTATTTTCTTCCGCATCTAAAATTTAAATTAAGCAAAGAGTTAGTGAATTTGTTTAATATTAACTTCATACATTAAATTAGTTAACACTTTGTTCAAACCTGCACCATTTTTTTTAATCTCCCTCCAACACCCATAGTCACCTACAGGTGGCACATTAAAAAATTACACCAAAAAATAAACTAAAAACATTTCGATTCCTGCTATTGTGTTCTCAATGTAGTCCCTTCTTCTATAAGAAAAAAAACCTAGGCTTTCTAGAATAGCCTGAACACATAATATTTCAGTTTTGTCAGTGGTTTCATTCTCAATCATCTCTTTAAGTCATTGATTGACACAAAAATGGAGAGAGAAAGAATTTTAGTCCTGCTTTTTTATTTGGTGTAAAATTTCAACAATTTGGAAGTATTATGAAACAATAATAAGTCAAAATAACCCTTTTGTGTTCTCATAAGAATTAATTGAAATCACATATCACCTGGAAGCATTAGATTAATAATAATGAAGTTTGTAAATAATCAGGATTATCTTCGAGAAAAGACTTATTATCATAGTAGTAATATGTCAACTATTTTACTAGCTGTACTAACAAGTATGTTCCAATACAAAAATTTTGAGGAAAACTCTCAAAAGGAATTTTTTTGTTATTATTATTGTAATTAAATGAAGTATGGTTATAAATTTTAAATGTCATATTTTTTATTTTTGAGCTCCTGTAATGTCCACTTACATCTGTAAATTCTGAATATAGCATTTTTGGGCACTTGCATCTATACTATTAGGCCCATCACTTTTTTCTGACTGAGGGAGTTGGAGGAATAAATAAAACTATGTTAAATACCTGTAATAAAATAGAAGACTTGAGAATCCCTGTACCCCCTGTCTGTAAATGCCCTCAAGATTACTCCATATTTTGTGCTAGGTTTCAATGGTCCATTACAATAAATAGAATTATTCTGCAACTTTTGACATATTTCTCCATCTGCTCCAATAATGTACTTGTAATTTTTATTTGTGCCTTCCAAATCTGAAAGTAAAGTGTTAGCTTTTAGAAGCAATGACAATTTCTAAATCAAAATTTAAAAAATCACTTTTAAACGGATTCCATTTTTTCTTTGTAGCCTGGTACTTTTTGACAATGCTTTCTTCATTCGCCTGTTGCCATGTTTTTTCTTGTGGCCATTGCTTGTTTGCACTGATCCAGCTAGAAGTGCTGTTTATGTAACCCTCCTCACCTACTAACACTGAATAATAAATAATTGTCCCATTTTCAACATTAAATTCAAATAACTGAATGGAAACCCTCGTTGGAGTTTCAGACTCGGGATTCAGTTTCAAATATTTATCTGGTTCAGGTGGTACTGAAAGAAATAATTGAAAATTAGTTTCACACTGATACGGTACAAGTAAACATAATTCACTATATGTAGTTTGGTTGTATACAATCATCCTTGTCTGTCTACCATTGTTTGTTACACACATTTAGATATTTGACCAACTTCAAACAGCCAACCACTGAAGATGATGAAATGACTAAACTTTACTGACAGACCAAAGCAGTGTATGTATCATCAGAAAAATTATAAACAACCAATTACAGGTATAACTATCTTGCTGTATAACTCAACAATACATATACAGTGTGATTTTGTATTTGATATGTATTAATTCATTTTAATTTAATATATTTAATTTTAATGTATATATCACATGTTTTACACTTACTTAAAGATGGACCTCTAAATGAATAATAAGCCAATTCTCCTCCTTTATCAATTTGACGTATAAATGCTTGTATTGTAACTGAATAATCAAAATCTGTTTTTATGTTTCTAACACCCAATTTATAGCTATCCTGCACCTAAAATGTAAATGCAAACAAGTTCTAAATTTTTAGTTAATAAATTGTTAATTTTTCTTTGAATTGATGTTTGTTAGGTGAATGGTAGGTTTTTGTACACACACACACACACACACACACACACACACACACACACACACACACACACACACACATGCATTAAAACAAACAAATTAGTCATACATCAAGTTTTAAATATACTACAATATAATGATGAAACATTAAAATTAAAAATAGACTTTATTCTGGGACTTAAAGACCTTTAAATAATCAATTTACAAGGATTAAGGACACCTGAAGGGCTATAAAAAAATTCTTAATTATTTAAATTTGTGTGCTGTGATTAGTGACCGTTAATCGATATTTATTTCGAAATCGTGAGACTTACGATTGGCACTCTCAACACGACACGCAAGACTGACACAATTACACAGAAGACAAACACTTTGAGCCCTGAAGATGATCTCAATAAAGATCAAAACGTTGGCACGATAAAGAAAATGTTTTTCTGAAACCTACATCACACCAGACCGCATCTCACGATTTCTAAATAATTATTTAAATTTTTCAATTCTTGGTGCCAAGTTGTAAGGACAAAAGGTCATCAGAAAGGGGCTGGCAAATAGAGTATGGAAGGAAAAATCCTTTTTATTTATTTTTCTTTTCATTTTTTTTTTTGGGGGGGGGGGTGGAATAAGCAATTTAAAAATCCTTTCCTTCACTGCGACCTATTATATAGATCTTTTGTGGAACCCCTACAAATTATAACAATGCCATGGAAAGTGCACTTTATCCAAGGAGACTAAGCACTCTCCTCGGTGCCTCTGCACAACTCTTTTGGTATGTGCCTTACCAAAGTGGCTGTCTTTATGTAGGCTAATGCTTCACAAAGATGTATGCCATGTCTGGTTTCTCCTGACAGTGGCATCATGTTTCTGTCTCTGTTTTGCCCATTTCTTTTTAGGTGATAGTTAAGAGGGCAGTGGCCGGTATAGAAGCCAAATCCATAGGTTGGAAACACAGATGAAAATTTATACCAAACATTTAAACATTTATCAATTTTAATATCTTCTGACGACCAAATATAATTTAAAACTGCATGGATATTTTAGAAAAAAGTAATTACTGATGACATAATATAATAAATACCTGAGAAACAATTAAGTCTTCAGTAAATTCATGTCGTTCATGTAGAATTTTATGCCCCACCCCAGAAATGGTAAATTTCACAACATCGCCGTATGAATAACAAGGGTGCAACCAAGAAAAAATCACCCTATCCTCCACAAATTTCAACGTTATATTCCCAACAGGGCTGGGTTCTAAAATCATGAATACATATACATGTAACAAATATAACTCTAGTTTATTTGATATAAAATGTTTTATATTGAACTATTAATAGCAATACAATTACAAAAAATAAAGTAAAACAAATATACAGTAGAATTCGCTTATAAACACAGTTATTGTCCCTTTCTTCATTAATGAACAAAATATTTTTATAAAAGCTATTATCAGGGATATAATGATAATCAAAAAATGTTGACCTAAGTGATTCGAGACAATCAAGCTATCATTAAATAGTCAATAAATAATAATTAATAATAAACAGATAAATCATTATTATCTAATTAAATACATTATGTTTCGTAGTCTGATTGACCAAACTACTTCTTTCAATTAATTATTCTTTTTATGTAAGGTCTTGATTGAAATGAAAGCCGAAGGTAGTGGGTTCGAATCCCACTCGTGACGCTAACTTTTTCATTTCAATCAAGACCTTACATAAAAAGAATAGTTAATTGAAATTATCTAAGTTAGTATTTGTTATTTATCTGAAGTTTTAATAAAATCAGTATTTTTTCTATAGATTTTTTTTCCATTAAAACTTGTTATATTGCTATAAGCATATTCTACCAGAATTTAAACCGACAATATACAGGGGCAGTTGTTTACAATTTTTACCTTTGGATAAAGTTGTAACAATTAATGGATCTGACCAAGGGCCTATAACGTCCGGATATTTGATGGCAATTTTAACTGTGACATCTTGATAAGGTATTAAGCTGTCAATTAAATATTTTGTAACTGAAGTAATTGGTATAATAATAATTTGTGGAGGTCTTGGTGGAATAAAACAGTAAGACGGTAATGGATATTTTGTATTTCCTTCTTCTACATGAATAACGTAACTAGCAAATTCTCCGTACAGCAGGCGCCAATGTAATTCAAATTGAGAATCAGTTATATTAGAAGCATGGAGATCAAATGGTGGATTTATCTCTCCTGAAAACAAAATCAATTGATTAAATTTACTACAAATGTTTTGTTTTAACATGAATATATGTTTGATTGTTTGATTTATATAAGCTCAATTCTGCAGATATACAGAATGGAGCTTATCACTTCTCACTTCTTTATCAATCACCCATTTCAATGTTTTGGCAGTTTGGAGTCAAATCTCAGTTTTATCTGTCCTGTCAGTCAGCTAAGTCATTTCAGCACCCAGCAAATGAAGTTTTTTATACCTAGACACTCTCATTTATTCTTCCATCATACAATTCATTTAAGTAGGTGATGGAGTACTCAATATTTCTCCATCACTCTTTACACATAACTAATACAATATACTAATCTAATTGGGCATTAGCAGTCTCATACTACATATTCACTCTAATAAATACAAATAATTCATACTCAACATAAAATAAGATATCTATCAGTACTATATATAATACAATAGCCCTGTTCCCACCCAAAATCATTCCTGGGTACTCAAAGATGTGCTGCTATGCTCATTCTTACATTTAGTGGCATTCCTAATTTGAGTTTACAGTTATTAGTTAAGCTAAAATACTTTCTCCTTTAAAATAGTTTATTATTTGTTCAGTTTTTAAGACACTACCAAAGTTAGGCTTCAGAAGCTATCAACAAAGTCATTTCATCAGTTGTTGTTTGTTAGTGAAGCAGTCAACATCTTATCTCTTGCTCTCTGAACCCGGCTATTCTATACGATAAGTAGTAGATTGTATCTCAACTTATTTTATTAACTTTGTGTTTTACAACCATTTTGTCCACACTTTTTATTTTTTATTTTCTATAATTTAATACTAATTGCCATTAAATTCTTGTTTCGATAGTGGCCAACATTTATGAGAGGGTTTTCCCTCTCATACTAACAAAATGTCTTTAGATAGTGGGGGCCGCCCCCAAAATCTGGACCTAAAAACTGAACTTATATCTCAGAAAGACAATGTAATTATAACATTCCAAAATATTTTTGAAAATATTGAAGAAAAGAGTAGTAAGATTGTAGTTTCCAATGCGAATAAAAACAAAAGGTTATTAATTGAACCACCTAATTCATACTCTAAAATTTCTTATATAACTAAAGCTGATTTAACGGCTCATAGAGAAGTTGAAAAATTAGAGAGACAAAAGCACCTGAGTGAAAACCGTTTTAGTGCTGATGATAAAGGTCCGTATTTTGTTTTTATTGAAGGAAAGACAGGTAACGTTGGTAAGGCTCATCCTATGTTGCTTGGAAAGTGGTTGTTCCAAAACAATAACAGGTTAAATAATAATAATATTCTGGACANCGTTATACTCTCTTTTACCCGCAATCCCAAAATAATTTCCTCTCTCTCTAAACTTCTATCCCAAAATAGTATAGTAATATAATATAACAAAAGTATACATTTCAATCTTGAAGTTTTGAGACTTGGCCAATATGCTAGACCATAAGGCCAAAAAAAAAAAAGTCATTTCATCCCCTAATGCCTGAAGTTGAAACCTGAACACCCTCACTCTCTCATCTTTATTTATCTCATTTTCTATTTACATATCATCGACTATAGAAGGTGGAGTTTTTGATATTTCTCTCTCTCATTTTACATGTGCAAATAAATACACGTATACAAGTCTGACTGAGGATCAACGGGGTATTTAATATACCACCATTGACAGTCTTATACTACACATTAAGCTAATAAATACATTCTCATGAAACCGATAACACAACTATCACTAAACTCTTGACATATACAACCATAAGATAGACTGTAATATAAATTCAGAAAAGAGGACCTAAAGATTTTCTGCCAGTACTCTAGCACAATTCACATACCAGGTAGTGTTCCGACTTGCTCTCTACACGGAACCAAGGAATGGCACTTTTCAATTAAGTGGAACACCTTGTCATAAAATTGTGACACTGTGCCAAAATATTGCCTTTGTAAGTTGTGAACGTTGATTACTTATATAATTTAAAAAATTCAATTTTAAACAATGAAACTTTTTTGCTTTTTTTACTGTCAAATACTTGAAGCCCGAAAAACAGTTATACTAACAATCTACTTAGCAAAACCCTTGAAAATAAATTTATAAGTTATAAACATGCATTTGGAAGTTTTTGAATTGTACCTTAATTCTAGAATTTTTGACTGTAGTCTCTCTTTTGTTTTACATATTAAAACGATTGTAAATAAAAGTTTAAAGTTGTTTGGCTTCTTAAAGAGAAATAAAATAGAAATTATGAATTTTCATTGTATAAGAGTGCTTTACTTATCTTTAATAAAGCCTATTCTGGAATATAACTCATCAGTTTGGTCACCTTATTTTATAAAATGTGTTCAGAGTGTGCAAAACAGATTTCTCAGGTATGGGGCTTTCAAGTCAGCCTAAATTTGAAATCTGTTTCTTAAAAAGGTCTTAGGTCATTGATGAATGTATGTACTCTAGAAAAACATAGAAAAGTTGGTGATGTTACAGTTTGTTTCAGATTGTTAAATAACCTATTATGTTGTCCGGAAATTTTAGAAAGAATTAAATTGAATATTCTAATAAAAGAACAAGATATAAAAAATTGTTTTCTGTTCTTATTAACAAAATAAACTACATGGTCAACTGAATATAGAATATGCATAGAATATGTACATAGAATATGCTCAGAAGCTAATAATGTTCAGTTGTTATTATGTAATGTTATTATTTTGTGCCATATTGTTTCCACTTCTATTTATTTAAACTGAGGGAGGAGATATAGGCAGATGCCATTTTAGGTATGCCAATTGATGCCACTACTCGAAAGTAAACTTCACCAAGAAGTACAACGTGCTGATACCAGAACGAGAAGAATGGGCCAAGGGAATACCACTAAAGGCAAATTCCTATTGGTATACTGATGGCTCCAAAACCGACAAGGATAACCTTTGGGATGATCCGCAAGACCGAACTGACGGTAAACCTAGGCAAGTATGCCACAGTTTTCAGTCTGAAATCATAGCAATTGAACAATGTGCCAGAGAAATAAAAAGGCTAGGAATACATTCCCGGAAGATGTAGCCTCATGCGAGGCGAAGGCAAAGAGTGTTTGGAAATGCATGGAGGCCCTGATGGAAGTCAGCGACACTAATGACCTGACCCTGGCATGGGTCCCTGGACATTTGGGGCATAGAGGGAACAAAAAGTTTGACACATTGGTCAAAAAGGGAGCCAACATGGACTCTCTGGGCCCAGAACCCTACTGCAGCCTAGCAGCCTGCCACAAAAGAGGATACATCTTAAAATGGATTCTTAATGAGTCCAAAACCTGGTGGAACAATACCACAGGTATGAGGCACGCGAAGAGATTCATAGAAGGACCATCCGCAAAACTTAGGAAAGAACTACCAGAAGGCAACTGCAACCAAACCAGGATTCTGGTTGGACTCCTGGTGGGGCACTGCCACTTAAGAAAGCACATGCACGGATAGGAGTACAGACAGAAGAAACACCGTGCAGATACTGCCAGGAAGAGGAGGAGACTGCAGAGCACATTTTATGTTTCTGCGAAGGACTATGTAGGTGCAGGTTCTTGCAACTAGGATAAGAAAAACCACAAGCAAGATCCTACACCAAGGAACCTCTGGCAAAGCTGTGGAGGCTGGTTAATAGCCTGAAGCTGGCCAGTGAGCTATAAATAACAGAGGAGCACAATAGATCTATTTAGGTCGAGGTGCAGTAGGCCTTGTGGCCGCTTCTCTTATCCCTATCTCTATCTATTTATTTATTACGCTTTAATAATAATTATCCTTAACAATTATTGACCCTGTGGGTAGGGAAGCAACGATATCCTGCGATATCCTGGGCATCTTCCTTAAGGGGGATACTAGCGACCCAGCCAGATAATGAGGTGGGTGAACTCATTGATGTAGAGACGCTATGGCCAACACATTGGGGAGTGACAACCCTTCGGGGTGAAAGTCCGAATAATAATTATCATATTTTTTTCTTGAAAAACAGATAATGACTAACCAGGTCTGCAGTTGGCGTAAATAAATTAATGTAAGATGTATTGCAATGATTGTGACACAAGAGCCAAAACATTGCCTTCATAAGTTGTGAATGTTGATATTCCTTCTATATATGTGGAAAAAATATTAATATAATATTTATTGTGGAGTTTTTAAGCAAATTTCAGATGGTGTAGGTTTTCTGTAAAAATTTTATTTTAGAAAAAAAGATCACCTTATTGGATCTGTCTACTAGGGTTTAGATGTCACTCAAATGGGTTTCGGTTTCTGCCATCTTCAGTGAGGAACTTCTCAAATTGGCATGGAACCAACACAATAAAAATATAGAACGTAATAATGGACAATAAGAAGAAAAAAAATGAGATGAAGACATCAAAATAATAAAACTGTCTAAATAAGAAATCAAGAAAAAAAGGACAATTTAATTAATCTGAAGTTTATCAAAACACAGTTAGCATTGAATTAATCTAGTTGCAATTGACCCAGCACTGTTGATGAATGGATTAAAGACTCAAAGTTGAAGACTAATCACAATGTGTACATACCTTTTTCCGGTTCAGTTTTATATTTTAAGTATGTATGGTCATCATGGTCTAAACAAAATTGATTTACATCTCCCACTACAAAATTTTCATCTATAAAAATAAACATTCATATTAATTAAATTCAAAAACAAAAAATCAAATAAAACACTAAGGGTTTCAATATTGTCAATAAAAAATATATTTGTTGTGAACATCAAATACCTTCATCGACGTCGACGTCAGTTGAAAAGACAAGGATTTGTGTGTAAATTAGTATTAAGAAGCTATACAAAATTTTTATCATAGTTGTTCACCTTCCCTCATCTATAAAAGAAAGCAAAAATAGTTACATTGTCATTTTGAAATGTCTTCCTTTTTCATGCAAGTTGAGCGAGTGTATTTTTTGTTGTTATTTATCATTTCGTAACTAATAACTAACCACTAATGTAAGGTAAAATAATAAATATTTTCCTTCTGTCTCTTTGAAACTCGGAACTACACTGACAGGCAAAAAATTCCGCCCACTTGTAATATAACTTGATTTGTATTATTAATCAAAGTTTCATGTTTTTTAACGTTAGTAATTGAGTATTTTTCTAAAAAAGTAAAAAAATGTAAATTGCTAAAGAAAATGAAAAATAAAAAAATAAAATTAAAAATTAAAAAAATACAGACAAAATTTGTTTTAATTTTGTTTTAGATTTTTAATTAACATTTCAATATTGCATACCAATTTACAGCCATCTGTAAAAAGTACAGCAGACCAATCGTCCAAAAACAAATGGCTGTGTTCTTGAGCAAATACGAGCGGTGCAACTCTGTGTGTTCTGGTCAAGTCTGATCCTCTTAAGGGGCGAAAAGCCATCAGTCCATACTGATTTAATCTTCTTCAAGCAGTGCGTTCAGAAACCTCAAACTTCTTGGAGCTGATGAATCGCTTCAACAACCGTAAGGTGCCGGTTTCGCAAACTTCTCAAAGCCAAAAAACAGTCATCTAGTGGTTCTGTTACCCTAGGGCGTCCAGAACCGGGCCTTCTATGGTAGGACCCAGTTTCTCAAAAAGTCTAACGGTACTTCGCAGTATTTCATAGGGAACTTCGATGGCAGTAGCCTCATATCTGATGGAATGTCCATCATCAATAAGTGCCACACTACGCACAACACACACAGCACTAAGTGACATTTTTAAGTTTAAAAATTGAAATTAAGAAAACAAAGATGAAAACAAAACAGTTTATTAATTCAGAATTCAAATGAGAATAAACATTTTAAATTCCGTAAAAATTGAACGTTGAAAAATCCTTTATCCTTGTTTTGGATTAAGGATTAAGTGTGGTTACATCTAATTGATATTCCCAATTTAAAACATAGCATAAACAAATATTTATTGATAAAAACAATGAGGACAAATTAAGGGCAGAATTTTCTATTATCAAGAAAGTGAAAAAAAAAATCAGTTGGGTGGATTTTTTTGCCTGTCAGTATATTTTATAATAGTAAAGACGTTCTTGTTCAAGTACAGGAAAAACTTGTTATTACACTTAGATCAAAACTAGAATTTTCAAATTGTAAAAGTGAGCGCACTTTTGTTATATTTTATTCAATTTTTGTTCAAATTTCTTCTCAGTTTGCACGGACAAGGAAAAAAAAGATTAGCCTTGATTGATCTAAAAAAAATCAATCTGTAAACCACGCCGTTTTCTATGTGCAAAACTTTTGGTGGATCTCTCCTAGAAAACACACTTAAAAATATTAATAATAAATACTTAAAAAATAAACATTTTGTTAGCAACTGGTATTATCGACAAATGGCAGCCAATTTATGGAATAACCAGTAGCCAATTTTTCTAATGCGTAAAACATAAATTATCAACGTTTATGGAAAATCAAATGGAATTTCGAGGAGGGGTGGTTTATCAGTTGAAGGGGTTGATCATTACTATATAAAATTTTTCGTCTTCCGTTGTCTCCACTTTTTTTTTTTAATATATATTTCAGGCGACGGGCTATTTCCATGTGCAATCGGCATAATTCCCATGTAAAAAAAAGGGGGCAAAAGGTTAAAAATTTGTATCTACCTTATCACGATTGAAATAATTTATATAAGAAATTAGTTGGACATCACAGTAATCAAGACCAATGACAGTACGAATTGTTCAGTTATACTGCCCAGGTGTCGTATTATGGAGAGATTATCTACAAAAGTTGTTGATAAATCTTATCGATCTGACAGGAAAAGAGCAAACAAATCCTTCTTAAATCAGTTTAACAGATATTAATCTTTTAATGGACGAGCTCGCACGTTATCAACTACGTCCGATTTTTTCTTGGGTCAATTGGCATCTCCATTGTGTCAAATTCGGGGCCGAACATTTTTTTCGTAGCATTTTGTCTTTTGATAGAACGATTTTTCGCATATTTTGTCTTCTTTATACATTGAAAAGTTTGCATCGGCAGGAACAAATGGTAGCAATACTGCCTGAAATGGGCCAAGTCCTATATTCTTTCCATTTGTGCCCAGCCAGATCTGAAGAGGTTCTTTCACACTGGCCATTGAATTTGCCTTAGATGAGGTCTGCTAGATTAAACCTGCAGTTTAGCCATCTATGATCATCCGTGTAATTATATATTGAAAAGATCAGTGGTAAGGCAGATTTAAAATAAAGAAAAATACTCAGTTCCTTCGTCATGCTTTCAAGGAATATATCCTTTCATCTGATAGACTAATCATTAGAAATAGTTTCAAAGTCCTGATGGCGGAAGGATAATATATTCCTCGAAAGCTTGAAGGAACTCAGTGTTTTTCTTTCTTTCAAATTTGCCTTATCCTGGTCTTTTTTATATGTAACTATAATAGGAAGACTGATATCAATCACATCAAACAATTATTACCGACTTACAATATAAATCATAACTAGGTACAAAGACAAACTGTCAACTGACATTATAAGCTCCAGCTATTTCTTGAGTCAGAATTAGAGATGATATAGCCATTATGTAACCATGAGATTTTTTTGTGTGGCAGGGTGATCATCCTGTAAATTGGTCACTACCAATCATTTTGGTCTGCCTATCCTTGCTGGGTAGGTCTGTCAGGCGCATTTAGTGTTGTGTCAATTCCATAATAGGGAGAGGCAAGACAACAAATCCAGCTATGCAAGCCATTAAATTAACATTAACAAACTGTTATTAAGTAATTCTAAATGTTTTACTATCACTTTTTCTTACAAAAAATCTCCTATTTTCCACTCTTATACCAATCACAGCTTGTTAACCAGATTAACTTGTATTAGAGATCTTGGCATCATCTTTGATAATAATCTTACCTTTAAGCTACATTTACAAGAAATCAACAATCGCTCCTTTAAAATGCTTGGCTTCATCATCCAAAGTACCTATCAGTCCAAAAATCCTTCTTGCTATGTCTATCTATATAATTCACTTGCTCGACCTATTCTTGAGTATGCCTCAATCATCTGGAATCAACACTACTACACACTCTGATATAAAACTTCTTCAAACTGTTCAAAATAAATTCCTTCATACATTATATTTCAAATTAAACTATCATGATAAAGATTATATGGAGATCGTGAGATGCAGTCTGGTGTGACGTAGGTTTAGAAAAACATTTTCTTTATCATGCCAATGTTTCAATCTTTATTGAGATCATCTTCAGGGCCTGGGATTTATAAACACTGTTTAAATTATACAAATACATGTAGGATGTAAAAAAAATGAATTTATACAATGCTAGAAATTTTAGACTTAATCAAAATATTTGTACTCACTCAAAGTGTTTGTTTTCTGTGTAGATGTGTCATTATTGTATTATGACACACAATAATGACACATCTCATGATCCCATTTTCCCATTTTAGAATGCCATTCAGTTGTTTAATCACCACATTAGAAAATACTAAGTAACTCAATATAAAATGTAGAGCGACAAGTTATTCGCACTCTCTGGTTTAAAATTATAGAACATCCTTGGATACGATGTACAAACTTATTATAGAATCCACAGAACTGCAGCCACTAAACATAAGACAACAAAATAATGACCTGACATTTTCTTACAGACTCTTAAATAATATGATCAAATGTCCACAGTTAATCAATTTGTTAAATTTCCATGTTCCATAGTGTAATACCAGGCAAAAAATATTATTTTCAAAATCTAAGTATAATACAAATTATTTAAAATTTAGTACCATTCCTTGACTCATGGAAACAAATAATAAACTTCCTTTACATTGTGACACTTTTTACCATTCCTTAAGTCGATTTAAACTTTTTTTTTAAATTGGTAAGTTTTAGTTAGTGGTTAAAATTGGTCAAGCGGACCACGAAAACTAGTGATTTTTTAAAAACATTGATCATGACAATTGCGTTTGATTTGTTTATATATTTCTGTTGTTTTCCTTAAATTTTTATCATTCCTTGTCACATCCTTTGTATTTGTTTATATATTTCTTTGTTTAATTGTTTAATTAAATTGTTATCATTCCTTCTTGCTTCTTTTATTTTTTTATACACATGTGTATTGTGACACAATACTTACAATATTTTATTTCTGTTTGTTATGTTGAATACATCCATCTTTTTAATTATTGTTATATGTTTCAATTATTCATTATTACTTATGCATAGTTTAAACTCTTACAGAACTTGTAACTCATATAAATAAATAAATATTGTTAGAATTCAGAGTCACAGTTTGGAAAAAGGAGCCCTTCAATGAATGAAGTGAGAGAAATATTACATAGGGAAAACTATTGGGTTGTCCGGAAAATAATGCAGGATTTTGGTATTAAACAAAAAAAAAGAAACTAGTTACTTTAAAGCAATGTTCTTTAATCAAAATAATNGGATTAATAAGTGTTGACATTCATACAAATGAGTAATCCTGTAAACGTAAACAGAATATTTTATATAGATTTTTTTAAATGAAAACTTAAAATCCTGCATTATTTTCCGGACAACCCAATAGTTGGCTTTATGTAATTTTCTTATTAATAGTTGCAAATATAGAAATTTTTTGATAGGAGAATTCAATTAATTCAATTAGTATTACTACTTTCAATTTAATCATTAAAGCGCCTCGTCATTTTTTAAAATTATTCCATGTGTCAGCAGTTTTTTTTTGTTTCACAATGTACGTAAAAAAAGTATATTATAGTAGATGATGGGGTTTTATTATTATTATATTTATATTATGTTAAATTTGATCTGTTCGCCAGAGGAACAATTAGTGTAATATTTATAAAATCACTATACCATTTATCTTTTCAACAATTATCTCATGGCAAGAAATGTGTTGCTTTACTCTTTTGTATATCCTGTAATGAAAGTTTGAAAATAAAAGTCGATTATTATTACTATTTAATAAATAAAAAATTAAATAAATAATAGTGGGAAAATAAATTATTGTTGTTTATTTCTTTTTTAATGGCGGTCACTATTTATTAGACTATTGTGAGGTCATAGATTTTCTGTTGCGCGAAGATGAAGTTTTGAGGTTGAGGGGGGTTTGGTTTTTTGTTGTCGAATGCTGAACCTCAGAAAGGTTTTAACGTGCCTCGGAAGTATGAAAATTTCTAAATCTCTCCGGCGAATAATTCGTTTACCCCTTGCGTTGTAAACATATGCTATTATAATTCATTTGTTCCCATTTGCTTTGGGTTGCTAAGTAATTGAAATTCATGGTTGAACCTTAAAATTATGAAAACAAAATTGTCCTCTTAAAAATGTTAAGTTGCAAGAAAATTTTAGACCAGTTTAACATAATTACAAGGCTGTCTAACCCAATTTGTGGGAACATAACTAACCAATTTAGTAAGTTTTAATTTTATTTTTTACTTTAGGTTTTAAGTAGTTTAACTAGTTAAATAAACACTAGTAATATAACTATTTTTAAATATTAGTACTACTATCTATTGTGAATACATATTCAGTTCAAATTTTTTTAATAATTATTTATTCTTTAAAACACTGGCCATATTTTTATCTATTTGAGCGAAAAAATTTACATCAGAAATACAAACATATCAGTTCTTTTTAACACTAAAACTTAACACAAAATTCACTGGCTTTACAATTTCGTTTTTTATATTCCTGCTTTACCCCTCTCAACATTACCCTAAAAAAATAAAACTTTTACAACAAAAATGGAAAATATATTTCGATTTGAGTTATGTTTTATACAAAATCAAAGTCATTTTAACGTCATAAACTAATTAATGAAAGTTTAAAAAAAAGACGCTAAAATATCTCCCAGTTACTAAAAAATATAAAACTTGAACTCTGTTGACTAGTTTTATAGTAACTACAGTTTAATTATATTTGTTGTACTGACCACCAACTGATATTTTAATATACACTGATGGACAAACACCCTTAAATTTTCATGTATTTAGGCTTATTCATATTTTGCATACCAAAAATAGGTTTGGTTGTAAAAATAAGACATTTAAAAAAATGTTTATTACCCAATTCTTTAAAAAAAAAAAGCAAAGAAAAAAATTCAAAACCAAAAATGTTATATGTACTTTTTGTCCCTTTTAATACTGAGTATTTCCACCTCTGGCACGAATCAACCCCGTTAAATGTCTGTGCATTCCTTGGAAAAAATTTCTGGTAAAATCCTGAGGAATTCTTTTCCATTCATCAAGAACAGCCGTTTCTAACAGTTCTAGGGTGTTAGGACCTGGGTTTCGCCAACGTACCTGTCGCTTAAGTTGGTCCCAAATGTGTTCGATCGGGTTCGTATCTGGACTTTGTGCTCGCCACTCCAAGCACTCACTTTCAACCTCATTCAGGTAGTCATCCACAATACGTGCTTTATAGGGCTTGGCATTATCCTGAATTAGTAAGAATCTTTCACCGATGTGGGGCACTAATATGTTCTTTGATTCTGTCATCTAACTACCTCTGTGAATTTAGAGGTCTTCCTCGCATAACAACCAAATCGGTGCATCCAAGGAAATGCCATTCCAGAACATCAATGATCCACTGTGGAATGCCACCTGAGGACGCGTACAGCATGGGGCGTACTTTCCTCCTGAGTGTCTCCATATGAAATTATTCCCACCTGAAGATTTGAGGCCAACTCTCACTTTATATGTAAAAAGAACTCGTCCCCAACCTTCCAATGTTCAATTCACATGTTCCCGTGTGAATTGAAGCCTGGCCATTTTCTGAACTGTCATAAGATGTCCACAAGCCGGGTGCTGGACCCTAAGGTTATTTCCATTGAGCTTCCTCCTTACAGTTCTGGAGGAAAATGAAATATTTCGTACCTGTCTTGTCAGATTTCTTATCACATTTCCCATAATACTGCAGTTTCTTAGAGCCTGATAAATCTATTGTCTCTCGCATGTTTAGACCTAGGTCGACCTTGTCCTGGCCTTCTATTGGGTTGTCCGGAAAATAATAGAGGATTAATAAGTGTTGACATTCATACAAATGAGTAATCCTGTAAACGTAAACAGAATATTTTATATAGATTTTTTTTAATGAAAACTTAAAATCCTGCATNCACTTGAGCTATCGTGACTTCGATCCACTCAGACACTAACTTCCCATCTCAACCCCACCTTTTGAATTTTCCCTCCTTTATCTTAACTAAAAACCTTAATTAATTGTAATATATTAATTGGTCAAGCGGACCACGAAATTAGTGAATTTAATGATTAAAATGAAGTATACTTCACTAAAGCTCTCCGTGGCCATTTTGTTTGACGCAGAGAATCAAATAGATTACACGGCATTTGAAAAATGGCAAAAAGGAGGGAAAATTCAAAAGGTGCAGTTGAGATGGGAAGTTATTGGATCAAAGTCACGATAGCTCAAGTGGTAGAGTATCGGCGTATCAAGCCGAAGGTCATGGGTTCGAATCCCGCTCGTGACACTGACTTTTTTATCTTGACTAAAAACCTTAATTAATTTAATGTTATTAAATGGTCAAGCAGACCACGAAAAATAGTGAATTTAAGAATAAGAATGATATTAAATGAAATCAATGGAGGAAAAAGATTAACTGAAAGTGATCTTTAGGCCTAGCAGAATGGAAGTGCATAATTCTACTTTTTATGCAAATGGGATTAATCAGTACAAAAGTTTAGTAAAGGAAAGAAAGAATTATTTACTATTTATTTTGACTACGATAGCTCCTAACTACCTGTAACTAATGCAGAATGATAATGGATTTAATTTTAAATTGAATAAACTGAGTGGTGCGTTGAATTTGTCCATCAGCGTATTTTCATCATAAAAAGACGATGGTTGTTTTATCCTTCAAAGAAATATAATGGTATTTATAGGCCTCAATTCCAATAAACACCATTAATTATAATTCTACACACTTGCGTCTAAACTATATAAATAAGTATACAACTTTTCAGGATTCTGAGTGTAATGTTTAAACCTTTGGTACAATTAGAATTATTCAAATGTTTTGAGGAGTCTAAAAAGGCACATTGTGTTTTAAAAAGAAGTGGTGTCTACTTAATCAGCTCTACATTGTCAGTCAGGCCTAAATAATTATTGGAATATGCATTTATCTCATTTGGCTTATCCAGTTTTGCACCAAGGGTGCAGGATCATAATATATAAGCTTAAATATAGATATAAATGGTTACATATGTACATATTTAATTAACATTGAGGCCCTGGTACAAAACACAACTTTTCAGGATTGCGAATATAATAAAGTTTACACCTTAGGTACAATTAGAATTATCAAAATGTTTCCAGGAGTGCTTGCAGCTCATCTGTAAATTTTAAATCTCTTGGGTTTGCTGATTTCGCGATCAGAACAAGGAATAATTTAGGGGTGCTTGAAACATTGGAACACACTAATGCTTGTCACTTATTTTTCTTAATTCCCCCAGCTGCCTCATCCTCTAATAAATAATAATAATGAATAAATGACTATTCCAACAGAAGCAAATTGTTTCACTTGTTTGTTGACTTTTTTATGATTATCACCATTGTCAGGGCTGTTCAAACTTAAATTACTATATTAAACTTGTCATTCACTACTAATAGGGGGGAGCTGAAAAATGGCTATTAGTCCTTTAGACTTTTCACTGTGTCAACATAATACCATGTGCATAAAAATAATTTTCTGAATAGAACTAAATGATATATTCAATGTATTAATGCAAGTTTGCATAACTTTGATGATGGTGATATAATTGTTGACTACTCAGCGATAAAATGATTCACTCCTTTTAGACCAGCATTCATTCCCCTATTTTTTTAAACCTATTGAAGTAGCTAGTATAAACAAGGTGCCAAAAACGAAGTTATTATAATGCTACTATGACTAACGAGAAAATGAATAATGACAAACTGAGATAAAGTAAATTTCTTTATGCTGAATGTTATTTCCTTTGTTCAAAACTGCTGGCTAATTGATTATCGGCGATAAAATATTTCTAAGTTACAATATTGCATAAACATTGACGTAAGATTTCATTTAAAGAATTGTTCAAAAACTTTTATCCAGTGTAAGAGATTTAAAAAATAAATGAAAGGATAAAGCTTGATTTTTCGTATATTTTTATTGATGCCTTAAGTTATATTATTTGCTAATACTCACTTTAGAATTACAGTCCCAAGTGGAATCAAAAATTCCATATCAGTACCAATAAATTGTTTGGTTTTAAATTTAAGTTATGTTGCATGGCTTATGCTGCAAAGAACATTGTCTTTCTGTCAGTCATTCTAGTCTTAATATTTCAAAGCAAGGCTGATATTCAATTTTTTTATTTCAATGTTCTCCTTTACTTCAAGGTTGATGGTCAATTTTACATAGGAGAGGAATTGAACTGTTCTCGTACAATCAATTTTGCATGTAGATTCATGCTCAACATTTAAAATCTTCTTTTTTTATAATTGATTTAATTTACAATATATGTGGCTTATGCCTACAATATAACCACACTGATCCTACCAAACCAAATCCAGCCAGAATTACAATTAATTAAGGTTTTTAGTCGAGATAAAAAAGTCAATGGCACGAGCTGGATTCGAACCCACGATCTTCGGCTAGATACACCGCTGCTCTACCACTTGAGCTATCGTGACCTCGATCCGCTCGGACATTAACTTCCTATCTCAACCGCACCTTTTGAATTTTCCCTCCTTTTTGCCATTTTTTAAGTTAATTGGTCAAGCGGACCACGAAATTAGTGGATTTAATGAATCCAACCAGAATATTATACTTTGAAAGAAAGAACTGTGGTTGTAGAGTTGTAAGATCATTTAGTATTTTTTCCCACCCAGTTTGTAGAGAAGCTTTAACAAAATAACTTTTAATACTTATATTTGCACTAATATATTTTATTTTAATTTACAGCTCGCAAAGTGTACCGAACCCTATTTACTTCCAACAGAAGCAAAAATAGCAAAGATGGCACAGGAGATTCGTGTAAAGGGTTCAAAGAAAAGAAGACATCCTGCCCACCTAAAAACACACTTTTGTCGAGTAAAACACATGAAACAGATTACAAAGAGCAGACGCCTTTAATTTATAACAAATGCAGCCCTCCACCTTACATTTCCTCATGTAAAACTGATGTGAGTAAATGTTTACTGCCTTCATTCAATGTCTGTTGAAATTGCAGATTAAATAATTATAATGTAAACTTTTCAGCTTACCTCACCATGTGTTGCTGAACAAGTTGTCCCCGTACCCTGCAAGGAGACCCCTGTCCAAGAAGTAGAATGCAAAGTCAATCCAGATTGTCCTTATCACCAAACGAAAGGTTCCTTTGCAACAAACTTCAAAAGGACTATCCTAGTTTTAGGTTCTTTTCTAGCAGCATACATAGCTTATAAGGTATTTTTTATGGTGTTATATTTGAAATTAAATTTTATTTCAAATTATTAAATAAATTCAATTTTTATATTATAAAATCTAGTAAATAATTAATTCATAGTTTGTTATTATCTGTATCTGTTATTTCATTTATGCATTGTAATAAATATGAGAGGTCTGAAGCATCTTTCTGTACCGCCATAATAGACAGATCACTGGTGCACAAAGTTTTTACACCGTATATTCACTATACTTAAAATGATATAAGGCATTTAAGTTTATTGAGTTGTTCAAATACATGAAAGTATATGTTGTATGTATGCATTAATCTATTTACTCATTTTCTCTTTGATTTTAGAATTTTATAGCTAAGGACCCCAAAAATGAAAAAGTGGTTGTAGTTCATAAGAAACGACGTTGCAGTAAGTATTTTTTATTTACTTAAAAACCTATTCAATCCCATTTATTATTTTTTAATTAAATTGATTTCTACAATACATATGATACATATTAAACATCTAAAGAACACGAATAGTTCTTTGATTTATGTGGTAACATTAATATGTATCTGTAATGTCTGTATATTACTGTAGTACTTATGGTAATTAATACCTATGATATTTTTCTCGATGAATTTTTTTAAATGGGTTTTATTAAAATTTCTGAACATCTGTGGGAAAATAATTTATTTAGGACTTTTATTCTCATGTTGCGCTTTATTTTCTAGTCATATATAAACATGAGTTAAAAAATAGGCTATTTTCTCCATGTCTAAATGTTTATTTTGTATTTCCCACTCTGACTGATAACATTGTTATAATGTTCTGTATGTATGTTACAATGATTTGCTTTGCTATTAATTTCACATAGAAAATCAGATTGAAAGAAATACTCTTGTATGACAGGAATTACTTTACTTTTTACTGAAGGAAGATTATTTAAAAATCATGCAAATCAAATTGGTTTCAGAATACAACCCTGTCAACTATGTAATTATGTATATAGCGAATGATTTGGTAAACATACTTCCCCAATTTTATATCCAACATTTGTTTAAGAATACTTTGATGAAAATGATATAGTAACTTGCCTGTACATAGCAATTAATCATCTATGATGAACTATTTTTATCCTATAAATTAATTCATTGCAAATATCGAATACATGTATCTTTAACTCATAGAAAAGATCTTTTTTTTTACTCTAATATAAAGATTTTGTACAATTAAAGAAAAACTAATCTTTACTTTATATTTACCTTATTTGTTTTTATTTAATAGTGGAACCTCAAGAATTCAGTAAAGAACCATCATTATCATCACTTATTCCTTCAGAAATTGAATATCTGTTGGTCGGAGGTGGCACAGCTGCATTTTCTGCTTTTCGGGCGATAAAATCCCTAGATCCAAAGGCTAAGGTTATTACATCTTATTAAATTTATTATTACTCAATAATATTTGTATTAATGTGTGGTGATTAGTGACTGTTAATCGATAATGGTAGAAATCGTGAGATGCAGTCTGGTGTGATGTAGGTTTCAGAAAAACTGTTGAAAGGTTGAAAAATGGCAAAAAAGAGGGAAAATTCAAAAGGTGCGGTTTAGATGGGAGGTTGGTGTCCGAGTGGATCGAGGTCACGATAGCTCAAGTGGTAGAGCAGCGGCGTATCTTGCCGAAGATCGTGGGTTCGAATCCCGCTCGTGCCATTGACTTTTTTATCTCAACTAAAAACCTTAATTAATTTCAAAAAAAAAAAATTTTCTTTATCGTGCCAACGTTTTGATCTTTATTGAGATCATCTTCAGGGCCTGGGATTTACAAACTTTGTTTACATTTAGCAAATACATGTAGGTTGTGGAAAAAAGTGAATTTATACAATGCAAAATATATGTTTTTTATATTCAATCCTTTTACTTTTTTCCACATCCTACATGTATTTGTTAAATGTAAACAATGTTTGTAAATCCCAGGCCCTGAAGATGATCTCAATAAAGATCGAAACGTTGGCATAATAAAGAAAATGTTTTTTTGAAACCTACATCACACCAGACCGCATCTCACGATTTCTGAATAAATATTTGTATTGTCTATTTGTAGGTTCTTGTAGTCACCAAAGAACCCTTTAACCCATATATGAGACCACCACTGTCAAAAGAATTGTTTTACCAAGAAGACAGGCAGTCAGCGAATGAACTAAAGTTTAAACAATGGAACGGAGTTGAGAGAAGGTAAAATAAATTTTAAAAAAAATATATATATATATATGTATATATTGCATTGCTGCATTGTAAACATTTTAATTTAACAACATCGCATCTGGGTTTTTGATGGTTAGTGAAGGGTGAGAAACCTCGTAGGTCGGTCAGTGAGCTGTTGAACTCTCATCCACAACACAAATGATTGTTTTTGGTTATCTTAATCCACCTTGTTTATTTGTATGTCTGTCAGACATCCATTGAAAATAAACTGAGAGAATAGGCAGATCAGCATGATCAGGGCTTATTGAACAGTAGGCACATGACTAATAACTTTTTTGTATCAGAGTTCATTAGTCAATGGCATGTTTTCATTTTAAAAATACTACCTGTCTAGATTTATTGACAAATTATAAACTTTCAAGTAAAGTAGCTGGAATAATGTTATGTCCGAATTTCTTGTGCTTTACTATTATACCTATTATAAAGTTAAAACTAGCCTTTGCACTTTATAAAAATACAGGCAGGTTGATAGGACACATTTCAGAAACAAAATAAAGAGGACATGGTGCAACTGATACAATACTGGAGTGTTAAATATTATAAAAGTAACAAAAGAAATTGTTTAGTAATCTTAATTTCTGATCTGAGTGTAAAGAGGATAATTCTATTGCCACTTTAAGAGAAAAATCATTAAATAATTGATGTTAATGTTCATGATGTTTATATGTCAAAGAATTTTTGTTAAACTTACATATGACTGTACCGATGTAATAACTATTATTGCAGCCTTTATTTTGAGCCAGCAGAGTTTTATGCTCCTATTGAAAAATTATCGGATTCAGAAAATGGAGGAGTGTCAGTGGCCAAAGGTTGGGAAGTCAAAAAACTTGATATTGTAAAGAAGCATGCTATTTTAGACGATGGAAAGACAATTAAGTATAACAAATGTCTTATTGCGACTGGGGGAACTCCAAAAAATCTTGAGATCCTTGAAGATGCTAGTGATGATGTTAAAGAAAAGGTAGACAATTTATGTGCAGTTTTTGATATAAATTCATCATAAGTGAAATGTTTCTATTTTTTCTATATCTAATAAATCAATTTTTAATGTTTGTGTACAATATACCATTATTAAACCTTGATCGATTAATAAAAGTAATTTGACTAATTAGAAACTGTCAGCTTTTTTTATTGCAATTGTATTTATCATAATTTTATTACATTTAACATTTGGTGGAGGTTTGTTAATGTAATTTTATATGTTAATAATTTTATAGGTGACTTTGTACAGGGGGATCCAAGAATTTAAAGAAATTGAAAATCTGTTTACTAATTGTGAACTATCAGCAATAGCAGTAATAGGGGGAGGATTTCTCGGCAGTGAATTATCAATTGCTTTGGCAAAGAGAGGTATGTATAATCATTTTTACATTTTAATGCCTAGAAAATTAATATTTTTTTTACAAATTATGCTGAAACACACTTGATTTAATTTATATCAGCCTTTAATATTTTAATTTTGTATTAAAATAAAAAGGATAAAGAAAAGAAAAACACTTCATCGAGCTTTTGATAATATTGTCCATCAGGACTTTCAAACTATTAATAATAATTCATGAGGTTAACAAATATGATCATTTACTTACTGAACCTTAAGGCTTCAAATTGGCCTTATCCCTTACTTTTTAATACAAAATTACAACACTTTTACAAGATATCGAGTCATAAAATAAGTCCATAGCATTTGGTAAATTTGATGAAAATGTCTGCTACTTGTAAACACTATATGAATCATTTTGTTTCACATCGATTAGATGTCATTGCCAATAAAGGATAAACGTTTTTGACTTTTTGAGAATGTATGTTGGAGATTTTTGCTCAGTGACAGAAAGACGTAGACTGCGCCAAAAAAATGTGGGTTTTCCCATTCACAACCAAGCCAGCACGTCAATATTCCACCGTTTACGCCAGGTTTTCCCATTCTCAAACACATCATGACATCGTCGTGCCATAGATGTTTGGAGTGGTGTGATGGAGTTTGGATCGGTCGAATATTCTGCGCAGCCCGGCATGCCATTTGGTTTTGCCATTGATGTGGTTTTTGAAATGCTTGGAGCGATCGTGAATGGCCACCTTTAAACCAATCAAACCATTTATGAATGGTGCCTTTTCCTAAACTATCTATCACTATACACATTTCAAATTTTCCTAGCAGTCTGTGCAGTATTCCCTTTGCAATAATAAAAAATCATTAAATGGCGATCAATTTTCCCTCTATTTTTAAAATTAGCAAAACACCTTGTAAAAATATGAAATCACAAATAAAAGCACATTAAATAATCTCTTTTCAGAGTGTGTGAACAATAATGACTAAATAAACTTAGCTTCAAAACACAAATGGGATAAAATTGAATTATTGAAAAAAAAACTACTTAATATTTTATGAACCAATGATTTTTATTTAATTTTTTAGTTGATTTTTCAACCTAACTTAAATGTTTTATTGTTTAGCAAATATGTGTATTTAATGACAATGTCTTATTTATACAGGTGAAAACAAGAAAGTTAAAATATCACAGATTGTTCGTGGCCCTGGGCCGCTTGTAAAGATCTTGCCGAACTATCTTGCAAAATGGGCAGCCAATAAAATCTCTAGCGAAGGTGTCAATGTTTTAACTGATGTTGAGGTTGAGGATATAGTAGCTGATGGTGAACAGTTGCGTTTGGTGTTGAGTAATGAAGCTGCTGTAAGTATTTTTGTGCCAAAAAACTGCATTTTTTTTTAGTTTTACAGTCTTCTTTAACTGCTTTACCTACTCTACCCCAATTCAGTAAATTATATTAATCAATAAATTGAAGGTTTATTTCATTGATAAGAAGATCCATGAAGTTTTGAAAACGCCTTCAGCATTCAAACCCAGAAATGTGCTATTTAAAATGTGTTTTCTTGTGTTATTTCTTGTTGAGGTGATGATGAACCTGTAGTTAGTTCATTTCCATTCATCCTGGTTTGGTCACAGCATGGATGGACAGACCAGCACGATCAGAAGACAAATTTATTAATCTTATTGGGTTTAGTGCTTGTAAAAACATAAGATTTAGTCAGACCCTAGTGTTATATTTCCTCCTTAATTTTATTCTTTTCTGGTCTCCTGTTCTGATTTTTAGAGCTAACTGGGATGTTTTATTTAGTATTTGGTGCATATTTCATTTTGTGGATGTTGAGAGTGAATGTATAGTGGGAAGGGGCAGATGGTGGGATATTGAGTTCTCCACCACCCGCACTATTGTACAATACTTAGAATTGAGAGAAACGTATGAAAATAGGAAAGAATGTATTTATGGGGACTGAAATTGCCTAGTAGTTGACAGTTCCTGGAGTCTAACCACGGCAGTGGGGCGGTTAAGACCCAAGGTCTCACCACAGAATGCCAAAACCCAGATGTGAGTGATTCTCTCGGCTTGCTGCGAGAAGTCATAAGCTAAAATCTGTATATATATCTGTATGTATGTGCAGAATTAAGCTTATATAGATCATGTATATACACAATATTCCCAGAAATAATAAATAGAAAAACAAATAATAAATATTCCAATATTCAATATTCCTCTCTGATAACTTTTATACCATACTTTTCTAAATAGAACCGTACAATGTAAAATGGAAAAAAAAGACAAAATCATCTTAATAAATACAATGGTCCTATTCTTCCCTACATAATTAATTAATTTGGGAGACTAACAGTTTACTGACTCTATAGAAAACATGACCCCCCCCCCAAAAAAAAATAATAATAAAAAATAAATTACTGATTTAACCAGTTCATTTTTGGTTGTAATAATTGCAGATGCTTTGTTTAAAATGTTTACATATCATGACACAATGGAAAGTATCAAACCTAGAAGACAACTTCCTGTATTTCAAATTACTATATGCCAATATTTTATATTATACAATAATAATATTTCAAAACAAACTTACAAATAGTATATTTGAAATTATTTTTTCAGCTGTTGGTTGACCATGTAATAGTTGCAGTAGGTGTTAATCCGAATACAGATTTTGCTGCAGAATCTGGACTTGAAATAGATAGTAAACATGGTGGATACTTAGTAAATGCACACATGTTAGCACGTTCTGATGTCTATGTCGTAAGTTAATTTAATATACGTTAAATAACATTATTTATTTACTTATATATTAAATAAAATTATGCATTTTTACAAATTATCTGTAAATGGATGTAATGTTCCACAATAAGTCTACTTAGGTTGGAGTGGAAGAAAGGATTGTCATAATTCTAGTCTATTAACCCCTCCCCGATCCTTTAAAAAATGGATGTAATACATTGGAATTATATTTTAGGCTGGTGATTGTGCTTCATACTATGATGAAAAATTAGGCAAACGACGTCGAGAAGAGCATCATGATAATGCAGTCGTAACTGGAAGGATCGCAGGGGAAAATATGACTGGCAAATGTAACACCATACAATAATTTAATATCCTAAATATTTTATTCAATTTATTATTATTATATATTTTTAGCTTCATTTTATGATACGCAATCCATGTTTTGGTCTGAAATCGGCTCCGAATTGGGTTTTGAGNGTTTCTTCGATTCCTCTATGGTTTGTTTTTCCAGTGTGGTAGTTTTAAATGATTTCTAATTGTTCTTCCTCCTCAAATACGTCTATTAATTTTGTCGTGTGTTTGAAAAACTTGAGTTCTGAGTGTTTAAAGTGTTTTACCATTACGGTGCTAAATTGTTCGTAAATGTCGTCTTCGAAGAAAAGGGAGTATTTTGTTTTCGGGACTATATATGTTTTTACAAACTCTATAATGTCTGATTCGAAGTTTGTTTTTGAAATTTGAATTATGAGCCTTGTTTTGTTTTCATTTAACTTTATTATTTTTGGTTTAGTGGGACTATGTTCTACTAGTGATATAATTATTTGGTTTTTTCCGATATTAACCGGACCGTCGATAATGGGGATGGTTATTATCGTATTTCCTTCTGCGTTGGAGTGAACTGTCTCAATGTCAGTTTCATTGTCATTTTCTAGTTCGTATAAGTGAGCCTAGGGGTTCTTTTAGACCTCTTAGTAAGACACGGAGTGCGACGCCTCTCGCATAATCAATTAAAGTGTTGGATTGAAGGGGATTATGGTTTTTAAAATACGCTATTTGTAAGTTTAAAAGGTTTTGCACTCGTTGATAGAACTCATACGGTGTTTCGTTTTGTTGTGTTAGTCTAGAGATTTCAATCTGGAGAGTGAATGCGTCCCTTTTGTCGGCGTATCCCTCTAACAATGCAGTTTTTAAATCTGCCCAGTTTGAAACGTTACTATTTTCAATCACTTGAGCTGCAGGACCTTTTATCTTATTTCTTAAGCATGAAAGCAGGTATACATTTTGGAAATTATTAGGGTGGTTTGTATCTACAAATGTGTTAACTAATTTTTGCGATATGTCTATGAATCGCGTAAGAACAGTTGGGTCTCCATTGAATTCCGGGACCATGTCCAAAAATTCTCTTTTAAATTCTGGGAGAGCCATTTTTGATATTTGTTAACAATTAATAAAAAATTTCGTTTTTTAAGAATATGTTAATAATATTACAAATTTAAATTAGATTATTTTAAATATTATCTTACATAAAAACGAGAGCTCCTACGACCATATTCGCTGGTTCTGAGAGTCTAGAAGTTCGATGCCGTTGTCCGGGAGGAAAGTTCATATGCGTTGAACTCTTCACCGATTGTTGATTGTCCGATTGCCGATTAACCGTTGAAACGGAAAGTTACACGATTATAACTTTCAACAAGTCCGACTACGCCAGTTAAATAATTTCTTTGGATGAACGTGTTTTTAAAAACTTTTATTCAAAGAAATTACAAATAAGTTACTGATATACATTCAGAACTTTATGAATCTAAGTCAAATCTCGTCGATATGCTTTCGGGAAATCTGGCTTAAGACTAACGTTTGTTAAAATGAAAATCCTTATAAAATTTCTAGAGTGGGAGAGAGTGCTGATGACAATTCTAGGAGCAACTCCTGCATCCTAGCATTGTCATCACATTATTTATTTAACACAATGTTTATACTCGTATATAACTTATATATATATATATAAAAAAAACCACTTTTATTCCCAAATACAAGTTTTCAAATTAAAACGAATAACTGAGGGGAAGTACACGGTGTCGAAGTCGAGGGTAGACTGCACTCCCGTGGGAAAAACAGCCTATCGCCGGCTACGCGAATAAGCAGCAAGGCTGCAAAAATAAATGTAACCGCTGCAGATAAGCTTAACGTAACTTATATATATTAAAGAGCATCCATTACTTGTGAGAATTTGCTACCTAAATCACGTATGTTTTTATCAAAGTTCACTTTTGCAACTGCCAATGTAAGAAACATCGAAAAATTTTTGTAAATGCCTTCTTATAACCTGTAATTTCTTATAACCCATTGTAAGTAGCACATAAAAGTAAATAGTTTGCAACAGCAGAGGTCATATATACCCTCAGGGTGCTAGTGTTTTTGAAAAAAAAAAGCCCATTTGTAAGTATGTCGGGTTCGAATGCAGGGCCGCTGGATTCGAACCTGGGGACCTTACAGTGATGAGCACCGTGTCAATGCCTAAACCGTTGCGGCCACTGACGCCCCCTATTGTTAGATATTATCTGTAAAAATATTGTATTTATTTATTTTTTTTTTTTTTACTATTCAATGGCATATTTGCTGAATACCTCAACACGAAGCAATTAAAATAAAATATGGAAGGTTAGGTTCAAATATACAAAAAACAGACAGAGAAAATTCATTTGCCTTTACTGCAATATTTACATTGGTCACATTAGTAAGTCTGGCGCAACTCTAACTCTAGATTCACTATTTTTCGTGGTCCGCTTGACCAATTAATACAATTCAATTAATTAAGGTTTTAAGTTTAGATAAAAAAGTCAGTGTCACGAGTGGGAATTTCTTGTCTAACTCTAGATGTGAATTTATTACCCCAAGTGGACACTCGCTAACACCATCCTTCATATTCTTACACCATTCCTGTTCTCTCCTTGTGTCTGGTCTTAGACTATACTTGTGTCTCAACTTCTCTTCATCTCTTCTCTCCTCGTGTCTTGATCTCTTTGATTTTTCCAACACTCCCCTTTTGTATTGGTCCCCCTAAACAAGGGTATATAGAAGGAAAAGACAATTCTTGAGGCCTCGCAATCAAAGCCATACTTGCAAGGGTTGACCATGACCCTACACCGTCTTACTGATAACATGTACAATGCCCCATAATTCTTAGGAGCTTCCATTACATAGCCACCCTTGCTCAGGTTATTCATAACATAAATTGGTTTACATTCTTATTAGCAGTTTTGTTATTCAAATATAAGACTGTTCTATAAGATTTGAAAATAGAACAGTGTTTCCCACTTAATACATAGATAACATTTAAATTGTAATGTTGCTGGTATGCTTAATACATTTTTTTGTTAAATCCATTTTACAAAAAAAAAATTGGTAAACAATAACAAAATATGTTTGCAGGAAGGTAGACGTTCAACCCAAGGAGGAGATGAATATAATAAAGGAGTTATATTTTATTTGAAAAATGATGTAGTGGTTGGAATTGTATTATGGAACTTGTTCAACAAAATAAACATTGCTCGTCAGGTATCAGTTTATGCTAAATATTATGGCTGTATGTATGGTTCGAAATTAATTTTTTTTTTTTTCTTCCTGCAGCTTTTAAAGGAAAAGAAAAGTTACCATGATTTAAATGATGTTGCAAAACTTTTCTCCATCCATGGCCAAGATTCAGAAAAAGAAATATCACGTTAAGTTACAGTATAAACAGTTAAATACAGGTTCAATAATTTTAGTTAAAATTTTGCAAAAAAAATTCTTGAATGTTCCACAACAACTTGCCAAAAAAATGATAGTTTTTGTGTAATAAAAATTTGACATGCTAAAGATATGTTTGCATTTTAATTATTACTGTAAGTAAAACGTTTAGTCTTATATTACATTCATTTTGGTAATTGATGTAAACTTGAGACTGGCATGATATTTTTACTTTATTGTGAGCAAATTTAATATATAAAAAAATAGTTTATTATCTCATTGCCAACTGTTAACACAATTTGCTTCTACATATTTAAAATCATCTATTTTTTAATAATATTAACTTAGTACCCAAGTACATCCCTAAAGTGATGAAGAACAAATTACTTTGTTTTGAAACTATTTCGGGGTCATGTAGGAAATACTTTGGGTGAATGTTGAATTTTCTTTGAAATTTAACCTTTAATTCAGGGATTCACATTTTTTTAAGTAGTATGTAAACAGTTAGAAAATGGACCAATAATTTATTTATATTGTAGCATTTGGTTAAATTTTTTACCATGTCTGAAAATCAGATTTGTATTCATGGAATGAATTACTTCGCTGAAATTCTTATTGGGCTACATGCAATTATATTTATTTTTTTAATAAAAAGATATTGGATATTTGGGCTGGAAATTATTTTGTACCATTTTCAGCTTTATTTATGCAATTAATATTTTTACTCGCCCATTATTTACAGCTTATAAATCCACATTGTGTATAATGAATAATACACTTGATTGTACTTATTTTACAGAAAAGAGGTTCATTTTTCATTCCTGGATTATTTAATATAATAAAAAGTACATAATAAAAACTTTCAAGATAATTTTCATTTTATCATGTAGATGTGATTACGAAAACTTTCCATTTATATCAGTTCATCCATAACAGAAGTTGTTTACTTTTTATTTATTTATTTTTTTTAAATTGATAATTTCTATATTGTTGACTGAAAATTTGTAAAAAGTTAGTTCCTAATTGTGTAAGACATTTAAAAACAGTCTTTTCATCTACTTAAGTTACGTTTGTAATAAAATAATATTGATAGAGTATTGCACAATTTGTATTATACACATTTATTACAGAACTGTTTTAATACCTGATGTCTTTACAATTCCTCCTATACAATGATATAATTTCAATGCTTGCTCCTCCCTTATTTTTTTTTCTTTTAGTAAAGGTGATAGAATAGTAAGCGTACACCTTGAGGACTGTGGGTTGACAATATGTAATTTGGCCAGACATTTTGTACCCTCGAGTTCGTCTGTCAGACGAGTTTTCAGCATTTTACTACTAAACATAAAAATTTACAACCATGTATAATGACTCTATTAAAAAGAAATCAAACTGAAATGAATTTGGGAATGACCAAATTAAAAATTATTGAGCCTATCTTAAGGTGAGAAATGAAAAGTGTCTCTCCTTTTGTAATATAAGCTCTTGTTCTGTAATAAGCAAAAAGGTAATCTTTCTTATTATTTTCTCTTGATATACAACCAGCAGCCTTATATTGTACTTTCCCATTTGAATCATGAAACCTTCAACACAACCATTTTATCTACAACTATCTTCAGAAATCACAGAATCCTGAGACTCGCTGCTGTGCTTAAGTATATTGCTCATATTTGGTATCGTTCCTATTCACTCCCTGATAGAGCCAAGGCATGACATAATTCAAACTTGCACTTGAATATTTTCGCTGTTTCTTGTGCCTTTACCCTAATCCAATCTAACCCATGTGCATTCCCAGTAGTTGTAACAAGTAGATGCATATGCAGCAATCCTCTCTTTGAAACTCAACTGCATATAAATTTCCTCAGATAAATCAACAAAAGTGTTTTCAAAAAGAACTTTTATTTAAAACTAACTCAATACAGGAGTACAAGTACTACTACATACAACAAAGAGAGTGCATAATAATAATGAAATGTCTCATTGTTACAAGATTATTAAGGAGAAGGAGAAAATGCAATTTTATGCTGGTTACACAGTTTCTAAGTCTATGTCTACATGTGTCGTACATATAGTGTGTGAAAGTGTAATTTATCTGCTTTAGCAGGATTCGAAGATAACGCCTTGCATGGCTCTTGTGTAGAGGTAGTTTGACATAGCACCTCCTTCCTCAAGTTAGAACTTCTATGAAGGCCTAAATCAATTACAATTATTAACAATTTTCTTCAATGTCTCAGATACAATTATTAATTACATTATTCGATTATACATTATATTGATATGATTATATTATTTGTTTTTACATCTCCAGAACATTTTTTAGTGTTGTTTACAATAAAAACTTTCTTTGTCAAAAAATTATTGCACAAATTATTGTTAAAATTAATATTATGGCATAAATGAGTACAGTCCACCAACTTGGGTTAGAATAGATTGTAGGAATTGTGCAAATTACATTTACAGAGTTAATAGAAACGTTTTTCAAATCAAGTCTTTTGAGGGTGACTGAATTCTGGAAGTTGTTTCATCGAAAGACTAAGGTTGATGTGATGATCAACTCTGTAGTAGATCAGGTTTTCCAAAAGAAGTAGATTCATAGATGAGATAGAGCCTGATAATAAGGCTTCCGCTAGCTGCTTTGATGAGGGATACCCCTGCTATAGTTTTCGCTACTGTGGAATCAGGCTTCAAAAATTTAACTGTTTCTGGATCTACAAATATTGATTATTTCTGCAACAAGTTAGCTTTCAGCAAGATGTCCTCCTCGTATGGAGTTTGTTGGGTTGAAACCAGTGGTTTTGGATTATGATATATAAATAAAATTACAAATATTATTTATATAATTCTGTCATTTTCTGATTTTAATATCTAAGGTGATTGTGGGATAATTGTTACAAATATATTCTGATATTTATTTGGGACAGATTACATGTTAAATAGGTCAAAATTATGTTCAGAACAAATTGTAAGATGAATGAAATAGCCTAGTTGATCCTCTTCAACTTTGCAATATATTTTCAACATATTTCATAAATAAAGGATATTAATATGAACATCTATTTTTATAATGATTCTCTGATTCCTTTAATTCTAAAAACAATTCATGTTTGCAAACAATGGAAGGGTGAATTGTCCCAAATTTACAAAAGACAACTGAATTTTCAATTTCTTATAAAGTGTTCAAGAATAGGTGATATGATGTTTGTAATTGATAATGTGTCTTTGATTTCAGCAATTGCCATATTTTGTCTGATTGTCTGACATATCTACCAATTAAATTTATTTTTACTTCCAACTCCTCACCGTTTATCTGAAGTGTTTTAATAGTTTCATTGAAATTGTTTATTATTTTACTATTTATGGAGTTCATTAAATTTTACTAATTCTTCAAAGTACTTTCATTGGTTTATTAAATATTTTTCATATGATTCACTGCAAAGTTCATAGTAAAAATTATGTTTGGGGTCAATCCGTTTTATTGTAGCATTTGGAATACAAAGGAAATGACTATGGAAATATTACAAAAACGTTTTGCTAAATTACAAAAATATAACACTGGATATTTAAGCTGAAAATTCCTTTACACCAATTTCAGCTTTGTTTAAATATTAAAAATCCATTTTTTCTTAATTATACTGACCTTGTTATCTACCAAAGGCCAGTCTACCAAGGTACCAAAGCAGACAGTAAATTTGTGCGTTTAAACTGTATTTTGCACTTTTTAACTATGTTTTTATTTTGTGTATATATTTTTTGTAATATTTGTAACACATATATCACAACAAAGATCAAGATTAAAAAATCAGCACAAGACTTTTCTCTTGCAGCTATCCATTTTATATGCAAAACACAGGTTATAAGAAACACTTGTAACTTTCATAATCCCAATTCATCATTGACGTTGTACAAAACATTCATTCGTTCTATCCTTGAATTTTCTACTGTTGTACGAAGTCCAAACTTTTCTTCTCCTATTATATTATTAGAATCCTTCATTTTCTATTTCCTCTCCTTTCATAATCAGAGCTGTCTTTTTCTCTCTATAATTTTCCAGCATTAGCTGACAGAAGGCTTTTTTTTTATCCATTATTTTTTACAATATAATAATAGTGGACTGAATTGTGCAGACTTCATTTGTATCACTTTCAATGTCCCAATACAAGCTCCCATCTATGTTTAGTATACCCTTTTGTAAAACAAATCACATATTTTATTCACCAATAGGTAGAATAATGAAAGAAGGAAATAAGGTGTGCCCAAATATTGATTTTTTCATCTCAATTTTAATACATTTAAACGGAAATTAAAAGCAATTATTTTATAGCTTTTGAAATAAATATATTCTTCTAATATACAAAATATTACATATTACTATATAAACTATATAAATATAGTTTATTGTTTATTATTATTAATGTTTGTGGTTTTGTTCTTGTTATTTTATCGATTATATTTATTTACTACTTAAATTGTTTATAACCTTGTGATTTATAATCTTTGTAAAAAGTGCTTTGATCCATATGTATATGTAAATAATTATATAGATCTATGTATAGATTCTACATTCAAAATTAGGAAGAAAAGTCCTAATCTCAACGACGAAAAGGTACGAATCTCAACAGTTTTGGAGTTATTCCCCTTTTTCAATTTTTTTAAGATTTCACGACCTTGCTTCAAATAACAATAACAACTTCAACACTAAAAGGTTTTGGACAATTGGTTGATACCATTGAAAACTGTGTTTAATTTCCAATAACTTATACATTTGGTGAAGTAAGCGTTTTAGTAGCGAGAACTTTGAAAAAAAAAATTTTTAAAGTTGGAAAACTTATTATGGTGATTCTAAACTATTATTTCCAAACCTAGAGACCAGCAAATTTCAGGAAACGTACTCCATTTAATATCCTTTCTAGTGGTGCAATTGCTTTTTTAATTACTTTTTTCAAAGATGAAGAAATTGTTGAAGGAAAAGAAAAAACCGTGGTTGAAGGGTTGGTAAGGTGGAAAGATTAATAATAATAAAAAATAAAAACCTTAAAGAAATTTTGAATGAATTTATTACTTTTTATTTTATTTTAATTCTAAATGATCTCCATCTTCTGCAATGTATTTTCGACGAGCTGCCATTGAGTTAAACTCACAAAATCTGTATATAAGATATATAACAGCGTATGCTTCATTAGGAAAAGTAGCCATAGTGTTAACAATATATCACATAGCTAACTAAAAACGTTTTGAATCTTAAAACCCTTTTATTCTGGAGAATAATAATACAATAATTCTTTAATCAAAGTTGCAGTCGTGTTGGTAAATTAGTAAACACTTACACTATTTCGGTTTCGAACCCAAATTTAAAAAAAGTTTAATAATTTTGTTCAAAATTTTCTTAAGTATTTTTTTTTTAAATTTTCCACCTTACCAATCCTTCAACACGGTTTTTTCCTTCATCAATTTATTCATCTTTGCAAAAAGTAATTACAAAAGCAATTGCACCACTAAAAAGGATATTAAATGGAATAGGCTTTCTGAAATTCGCTGGTCTCTAGGTTTGGAAATAATAGTTTAACATAGTAAGCTTTTTAACTTTGAAAAAAATTATTTTTCATAGTTCTCGCTACTAAAATGCTTATTTCACTAACGTTTACAAGTTTAATATTGATCACAACTTATTGGAAATTTAACTTAGTTTTCAATGGTATCAACAGATTTGACCAAAACTTCTTAGCTTTGGAGTCATTATTGTTTTATTTGAAGCAAGGTCGTGAAATCTTAAAAAAATCAGAAAAAGTGGAATAACTTCGAAAATGATGAGATTCGGATCATAGTTAATTAGGACTTTTCAGTTCCATTTTGAATATAGAACCTACTAGCAAAGTTTGTAACACCCTATATATATTTTATGTTGGAAATCGTTGAGACGACATGTATTGGAGTTTGGACGCCTAGGCAGTGACCCGCCACTTCCAAGGCCGGGTATAAACAAAAGGAAGGCTTCTCACTTTCTCAATCTATAAGAAACTTTTTTTTCATTTTTATATTAATTATAAAGATAAAAATTAAATTTATGAAAAGTTGCTGTTGCTCTGACAACTTGTATCACACTTGTCCCGAGGAACTGTCTAAACTGAATTTTCCGGTTTCGACTAAACGTAAGTATAATTCAAATTTTTTCGACGTTGAGATTGCTATTGTCTTTGGATTTTTATGTTTTATTTTATTTGTAAGATACGTCTCCAGTTTGTCAAAAGTTTAAACACTGAGTTATCATCAGTTCGAGCAGTTGTTAAATGGTTACAAAAAACTAGTGCTTGAAAATTCTCTAGTTCAGCCACACACTTCTCACTATTGGAATTGTATGAAAAAAATCTTGTCAAAAAGTTGAAATAGGTCAGATGTTAGTGAAATGAAAGTCCAACAGTTGTCCTGTTCAATGATCGTATCACCCATAAATTCTATGTTGTCAGATATCCATTAAATGCAAGCTGAGAGTCCAAGTTTTAGATAAGGGTGCCTGAATTTCTAAGAGGTCAGATGTTGGTGAAATTAATACTGCATGGCTTGTTCACACAATTGAATTGGTGATAGGCCTTATTATCGGTGCGGTCGCCATGCGGTTTGGCAACTGAAAACTGCGCCAACAGTAAACTATTCAGCACTAGCTGGAAAAAAGCAAACCTGAGTTTGACGAGTATCATAAAGAGCCATTTGCCTGCACTGCAGAAATGCTGGATAATAGGCCACTGCCATGCCCATTCAGGGCAATTATTTTTTCTCATTATCTTTAACTTCTTTGAACTTGGTGTCAACCACTTCGTTGCCCGCTTGCGCCTGAATTTTCGCTTCAATAGTGTCCTCACCTTTGAGTGCTGTATATTTTTCAGTAGTGAATACAAAAAATCGTAAGGGTTTTCTTTTCTATTTGGTAATTGGGGATGAGAAGTGGTCCTTTACAAAAGTTTTAAACAGCGAAGGACTGTTTGCAAAAAGAATGAAAAACGGTCGTCGTCATCAAGAACAGGATTTCCCCCTTGGCAAGGTCCTCCTTGTAGGTTATTCGAGGAATAATTTATTAAGAACTCTATGATGTAATAGTCATCAATTAGTCACTAGTACTGACCACAATTCTAATTCACGAGACTATTAATAATGGATGGTTAATTGCATAGAAGATATTAGGAACTGTTATCATGCCTTATGGCAGAGGTATACTGTGGGCAACTAAAGCTTCTTGGGTCACCGTTGAAGGAAAAAGTCCAGCCTTGGTGAATAGATGCAACAGTATGTTTCAACATGACAATGCCAGGTCTCATATAGCAACACTCATTCTGAGTAAAATCACCGACATAGGTCAAACAAATGCCCACCCTCCATACTCTCCAGACCTTGGCCCCTCTAATTTTTACTTGTTCCACTCCCAGACAACTGATACAAAAGTTAAGGAATTTTTTGGATGAGACGCTCTGAAAATCGGACATACAGATTTTTTCTCGTCTAAGTCAACAGGATTTTACAAAAAAGAATATTTCTGCTTCCCTAATGTTGCAGTATGTTTTAAAAAATTAAGAAAATATGTTTCGGATTAAAATTAAAATTAAAAATTAATCATGCTATTAAAATTAATATATTTTGAAAGTTTGGCCTTTTTTTTCTGAAAAGTGACAAAACTTATGCATACACCCTATACTAGTCCAGGTAATTTTTATAATTGTTATACTAATTTTCTCTTCTGGCCTGCCTTACTGGTATACATTGTGCCAAGATTTCTATCTTTTTTTTTTTTTTTTTACTTTTAACTTCATAGAAGGAACTTCCTTTATTTATTTCAGGTAAATTATTCTTAGGAGACACCAGTCCCAGAATAAAGTTATTTTTCTTCTTCTTCTTAGAGATGACTCCAAGGTCCTTCACTAAAGAATAAGTTTCTCATTTAATACCAATGGCATTAAGTTTGGTGGTAAGCTGTACAAAAATGGGAAACTAGACAAGCCTGTTAGTTACAAATCCATTCTACAATTTAATGATTTTGAGGTATAAACAACTAATTTGAGCTATGCAGGTTTGAAGGTGTCGATTTGGTAGGTAGTTGTGGCGGCCTGTAGTAGGCCACTTGTAGGACCTCCTGGACAAGTTTGACCCTTCAGCTCTGGAGTCTATTCCATGTAGTTTGTTTGTTTGTTTGTGTGTGTGTGTGTGTGTGTGTGTGTGTGTGTGTGTGTGTGTGTGCGTGCGTGTGTGTGTGTATTATCCGCAACTTCAAAGTGATCTCTGCAAAAAAAAAATTGTCTCTTGGTTTGAGAAACCTCATCTTGGTCCAAAGGCTACGGTTTTATAGCCGTTTTCACGCAGCATTACAGTCATCTCTCAAAACAATATTTTCTGTACAAATGCAAAGTTAAGACAAAAAGTAGTAATCTTTTCTTTGTAAATGGGACACTTGGCTTATGTTGTTCCAGTATTATTTGTATTAAATTGTATGATTAATTTTCTTTCGTTATTAGATGTCCACAGGAAGGAAAAGGGAGTTACAACTGCCTGTCAATAGAATTAAAACTATAATGAGGAGTTCTCCAAATGTAGAAACCATCGGACTAGACTCTTTACATGTTGTTACTAAATGTACCGAATTATTTATACGCTACTTGAGCATTAACGGCTTACACGCCAGTGCGTCAAAAGATAAACTAGATTATAAAGGCGTTGCAACATTTGCCAACCATGACAATAAATTAGGATTCCTTACTGAAATATTGCCTCATAAAATGAAGGTGAGAGACATAAGGGCACTGCTTGCCAACAGTCGCACATCTGGAAAACCTGAGCAGGAGGAGCAAGATGACGAAGAAGATGAAGATGACAATGAAAATTCGAGTGCAGAAGAAGAAACGCAACGAAAGTAATTTTGATGTTTGTGTATAATTTGTACATATCACAATAGTTCTGTGTTTAATGGAAATTATAAAAACTATTCAAAGAATCCCATTCTTCATCAATCAATTCTCATTCATTAAAACTAAAGTGTAAGACTCCTTTTATTTAATTATATTTATTAAATTATATTTAAATAATTCTGTGTTTTTATTTCATAAATTCTTTATTATACTCATTTTATATTTGGCCCTGATACCTCTGGTAGCTCTCTCTCACATTGTGAAAAAGGTCTGAAAACGAGCCTTTAAATCTCTTCATTTCAAAATGAATATATTTGAATAAATATTAATATATTTGTGTGTGTGTGTGTGTGTGTGTGTGTGTGTGTGTGTGTGTAAATTAATATTTATTATTAATATATATTTATTTATATTGATATGGGACATCTGGATGTAATAAACTATGCCAGAGGAATGTAGTTCTTGGTTCAATTTATGCAAAAATTATTGTGGTATTGCACTTCTGACAGTGTTTATAAGATACTCTCCATATCGGTCAATTGGAGGCTGTTAAGGTGGGCTGAGAGGAAGACTGGAGACTACTAGTGTGGCTTCATGCAGGGGAGATCAACAATGGACTTAATATTTTCACTAAGGTACTGCTGGAAAAAAGCTACAAGAATAATGTGAGCCTGCACCACCTGTTTATAGTTTTTAGGCAGGCCTACGATACTGTAAATATTGAGATGGTTAAAGATCATTATGTGTTATAGCTAGTGAGACTGGTGGAAATGACCTGGTCTGATATGAAGAACCAGGCGTGTTGAGTCAGGGGGGGCAATGTCACCCATTCGATCTAATTTTGGTCCTTGAAAAGGCAATAAGTTCAATCTAAATGAATCACACTGGTGAAACAATCTTAGGTTCTCAGCATAAGCTGTATGCAGATGACATGGTCATAACAGTGCACACTAAAGAAGACAATTAATTAAGGTTTTTAGTTGAGATGAAAAAAAGTTAATGGCATGAGCGGGATTCAAACCCAAGATCTTCGGCTAGATACGCCGCTGCTCTATCACTTGAGCTATCGTGACCTAAATAAAACCTTAATTGTCTTGTATTAATTGGTCAAGCAGACCACGAAAGTTGTGAATTAACACTAAAGAAGTTTGAAATGGCAGCAACAATTGCTGGCTTGAGTATCAACTGACAACAATATGAAAACATAAGGTAGAAAAGTTCAGATAAATGAGTGCATCTTAAGGCACTACAAAAGTTTTAAGTACCTGAGTACAATGACGATGAAGGACAAAGACATAAATGCTGAGATTAAAACAAGAATAGTGACAAGTTATTTTCTTCGCTCTAAATAAGGTTTTGAAATAATAATTATTATTTTCTTATCCTAGATAAAAAATTTAAATGTGTGCACTATAAATGCAGCATTTAAAAACAAATATGTATGTAAATTACTTAAATAATTTTTCCCCTGGCCCTTTGGTAAGAACACTCGGACACATGATTAATATTTACCTGAAGCAAATATGCACATACTAATGTGGGTTATAATATAAATACTGCCCCCTTAACGTGTTCAAAGCGGCTGACCTTAAGAGGTGTCAAAGTTTTTCAATAATTTGTTGCCCAGAAGGGTGAAAATTGAAATTCCAGCCTTCATTGAACAAGTTTTATTATTGATCAGATCTAACAAAGGGGAAGGGAAAGTTAAAGACGAAGGATTTTAGAAAAAATGCAACAATATATTATAAAAAATAATATTTTGTTCAACCTTACATTGAAGATCAGTCCATTTTATATGATTATGTTTTAATACAATAATTTGGTCTAATATTCACTTTACTATTATAATAAAAGCGTCATCACATTCGATATCCTTAAGTTAGCAAGGGGTTCCACATAAATTATTTTTTCTAAAAAAAAAAAAAAAAAAAAAGTAAATGTGTATGTTTATGCAGTTTAAAGTTATTACTGTTAAGTAATTTATTTTAAAAAACATACATATGTAGTTATATACTTACACATTTCCTTGGAAAGCGGGAATTTTTCTTGCATTCGTGGCAAAAAAAATCTTGGTCCTCTTTAACATCACTTTTTTTTAATTTTATGCACAGCAAATGATACCAGCAAAGACATTGATCACATTGCACCCAATCAACTTTGACTCCTGAAAACAAACTCAATTTTAGGCGAATAATTTAACAAACTTCTAAACCTGTTTATATTACAAGAATTAAAGACTGTTTTCTTGTCAACAGTTAATTTTTTTATCATGGAAATATAGCCCATAATACTCAAAGGTTGAATGTTATGGACAATCGCTTAAATCTGTCAGTACCACCTTTTGAATGAAAAGTACAAACTTTACTACATACATCTTGTAATGTACAATTTTTTCCTTAAAGAAGATGCCATTGATTGGAAGATGAAGTTTAAAACTTGCCTTCAATTCCAGCTGTCTGTTTTTCAGTGGGTAAACATGGGATTAAAATGAAGGCATAACTTTGGACCGCTTTGATGATAATGCACTTTCATGTTTCGATGATGATCTGGCAGTTCTCCTTCTGAAGAATGGAATACTGTAGCTACTTCTTCTGTGGTAAGTTTGTTAAATCTACGCACAGCCATTGGTACATTATCCACAAAATGCAAGTTAAAACTTTGGTCTTGCATTGTTTCAGCCGTTAAGCTTCAACTTAAGGGTTTTTAGCCAAAATACCATCAAGGGGTGTCGAAACAGTGGTCTAGTTTTTTATTTTCTGGGTTTAAAATTATAAAGTAATACATCCACAGCTTTGGAAAAGTCTATAAAATATAATTGATTGTATGTCAGAACTTCACCCTCGCATGGCAGCAAATCTGATTGGTGAAACTGTTCTTGTAATTTAAAATAGTAAGGTCTAACTCCTGGAATTTATTTGCTTGTGGCAGAAAGAGAGGCAAACGTTATGTTGTTAATAAAATTTGGACAATTAAGGAATAGTTCCTTTAACTCCAAACTGATTTGTGGTTCTTGGAGTTGAAATAAGTGAAATAATAATGTGGCAGCAGGAGTTATGTAAAATGACTACTGCTTTTCTCGGCCTCAAAGCATTTAGCATTGGAGAACACTCGGGTTTGGAATTTTCATTCAACATAGTCTGTCAGAATTCGTACACAGGGGCGAGTAGGTCTTTGCTTTTTTCATCTTTTTTGCACCTGTTTGCATTTGGAAAAGAAAACTTATATACATGTGGGTGAGCGCCCACTTCTTTCTTGATTATTCATTCCAACTATCAGACTGTTAAGGTTAGTGGTTAGTACATGATACAATAGAAAAAAATAGTATAAAATAAATAGAACATTAATGTGGTTAGTCAGAGGCCATTGATTAATACAACAAAAATACAATGCATGATAAAAAATAATATTAATAAATATAATACACAATTATACAACAATATTAGTGATGAAAATTACTATTATTTTTTTTATTACTGATTTTTTTTCTAAATTCAAAAGCAAGGCAGTGAGACGTACACAACGGCCGATGGATGAAGTTGCAATACCGACACTGACCTCTACCCTCATATTTTGAATATTTGTTCATAGTACTCACGATTAATAACTTGTACTTTTGATCATTTTCCAAATAAATGCTGGGGCTTTCGTTTAAGCCATCAAGACAAGTTCACAATTATACATAAAGATAACATTAGGTAAAAATAGTGTACAAAAAGTAAACAAACATGAAAATAGTAGAAAACATACAAGTAAACAGAAATAAGGACAATCAAAGATTCATAGCAGTTCAGGAGTAACATGCCCTTCTGTACGCACTTATAATCTTGATGGTCAAGAATAAACTTAAGAACGTTTCTAATTGGGAATTAACTTCAAAATAGCTTTCAAAAATTATAAAACAATTCAAACACTTTTTCCCAAAATTAAAGATCCCAAACCAATAACAAATAAATCTGACGTAATCTACAAGATCAACTGTTTAAAACTGTCTGGCAACTTACATCGGTCTTACATCCCAATATCTGGACAAGAGAGTAAAGCAACATATCTATGATTGCAAAAAACCCAAGCAAAATCCTACAGCACTCGCTACCCACCATCTTGAACACCAACACAATTTCGACTTCAAAAATCCAAAAGTATTACACACAGAACAAAACAAACATAAACGTAATTTCTTAGAAATGGTTTATATCAACAGAGATAAACACAGCATCAATTACAGAACAGATACATGTAAACTCAGTCGCAGCTACGCCAATATCATTAATCAAATTCAATACAAATAACATACTTATATCATCACATTACATTCCACACATCAAATATTTTTCACATAGTCTAATTTCCCAACAATTTAGCTTTCCTTTTCCTATTTATCCCTTTCTATATAATCCTGAAAGGATAATCTGGCTGAACCATTACCAACACATTTTCTCCCTTCGTCAGCTCTTTTCACCTCAAAGAAGCCGACGCCTTATACAAAAATGTCTTTTCTATACTGACATCCTTCCCCACCCCTTCAAAATCCAACGTATATAAACACAAACTAGCAAAATTTCACTGGCACTCTCGACACGACACGCAAGAATGGCACAATTACACAGAAGACAAACACTTTGAGTAGAAATACTTTGATTGAATATATAAAAATATATTTTGCATCGTATAAATTTACTTTTTTCCACATCCAAAATGTAATTGTTATATGTAAACAATGTTTGTAAATCCCAGGCCCTGAAGATGATCTCAATAAAGATCGAAACATTGGCACGATAAAGAAAACGTTTTTCTGAAACCTACATCACACCAGACCGCATCTCACGATTTCTAAATAATAATTGGGAATTAAGTTGTAATCAATATCCATACTTTTAACTTAAGACATGAGCCAAACCCGATGGAAAATCACCCCTCCCCCCCAAAAAAAATAAAATAAAAAATAAATAAATAAAATGTAAAGTGACATATACAGTGATAAAGTGTAAAGTGAGCTGATCAGCAGTTGAAGAGAAAGAGTAGTTTTATCAAAAAATTATTAAGAGGAAATATCAGAATCTCAGCCTCGTTAGAGAAGAAAGGAGAAATAAATTTAAATAGACTGAACATTAATATTCTTGGCCAATAGAGAAACTTCCTTCATTTGGGAAATCCGACTTGAGTTTGAAGCAATTTTGGTAAAGCTATACATAATTAGGGGCTAATGAATGAAAAAGTAGAGAAAAGAAATCCGGAGGAATAAAGTATGGGTGTTATAATTAATATGTTAATATTATTGGAAATTATTTAAATAATTGCCTTCAATTGACAATAAATTGACAACGTACCTACAGGACGAAGACAATTTGGTAACGCACAATCTTCATCATCATCACCACCACCACCACCATCTTCCTGTGTGTTGTCTCCTTCATGTGAACCTTTTTTGCTTGTTTTTTGTGGACGCTTATCCCTTTTTGGTTTATCTTTGATTAACGGTTCGGTTGATGGTTTTAATAAATTATCACAAGTATTTTCATCTGCCGATAAACTTTCTTCTTGTGAATGTTTGTTTAGCCTCCGTTCATTCCGAAGGCCTTTCGCATCTTTTGTTTTCACTTTGCTCATCAGTGTAACAGACGATTTCGTAAGATTCGATTTCGAAGAATTGCCGTGCGAATTTAATCTAACTGTGTTTTTATTATCTACAAGACTTAATATACCTTTATTCTTTCTCTGAAACAAAACAGTATAAATATTATAAGACACATATTTTTGAAAACTTATGTAATACATAATTCTGTATAATACAAGAGTCAAGTTTAAGTAAAATGAAAATTATTTAACGATTTATGGTTATCTTAGTCTGAGAGACTAAAACATTAAACACAAAGAAACTTTTGAACACAACACACAAAAAGAAAATAAACTGTTGATCACAATGCCCAACTGGTTAAAAAAAAAAAAAAAAAAAATTATAATAAATTAAATAATTGTAACATAACCAAGACGATGGTTCAATCCCGAAAATCATCTTAGACATTACAAAATATTGGCACATTCCATTTTGAATGTGTAGTAGAAAGTAAAAACAAAATTAAGATGTAATAAACTAATACCCAATCGACCTTATAACAGCCAGTGTGGACAGACCAGAATAAATAAAAATAATCAAACTACAAGCTCATTGTGCCTAGGTGTTGAAATTGAAACTCCATGGAGATATTGAAGACAGAACGGATATCGTAGCTCAAATGTAAACAAAATAATCATAAGAAACAATATGATTGAATCAACTTGATCAATTCTAGATTACCAATTTAAATTTATTTACAAGTTAAAGCATTCAGAATGTAACAAACCACATCCTATCTACAACAATAACAATACTATCCCCAATTACCCCAAAGAATATCGAGTACTCTGGCGTAGTGTGAACATAGTCTGGTGTGTGAATGTAATTTATTGGCGTGAATGGAGGGAGCATATCCCTATTTGCCCCGAGGAATATCAAGTACTCTGGAGTCTGGGGTAGTGTGAATGCTAACCAGACTATCATGTTTTTATATTGTTTTTGTGTTTGTGTCATTTTATCCACAATTGATGAGGCCCTGAGGTACAGAGAGGTTAGCAATAGAACAAAGAAAAGAGTCATATCAGCTCGAGAAAAAGGAAAAGAAATTAGTAGGTTTAAAATGCAAGAAAAGAAAAGATAAGAAAGAGAGGGCTGGTACTGATGTAGTTAATAGATGAAGATTCTTGGTTCTGCAGAATATAAGAAATAAAAATCAAAAATCTGATCATATTCAATCATATAAATATAAATATAGTTTTTTATTTTTGAGATTTAATTAAACTGAGATGGAATCAGTGTAAATTAGAAAAAAAATCTAGTCAGAATAATCATTTTACAAGCTCACAATTACATACATGTAGATAATAAATAAATATAAATTCTTACCTGTTTGTAATCCACCTTTTTAAGGTTTCCATTTGTTTTCATATTTTGATCCTTAAATAATAAAATATAAAACTAGATTAACACACCTATAGCAGTGCATGGAATATGAATAATAGAATACTTACTTTTTTATATACATTTAATACGCTATCTTGGTTGGGTTTCCTTTTCTCAATAGGTTTCTGCTTTGCAACCTTTCAAATGAAAAATGTTGGATTATGACCTTTGTCCAAATTTTGTGATGTATTAATGTTTAATTGTTTAAATAAAAATAGCTGAAATTAAATCATACGTTTGTTAGGCCACTCTACTAGAGGGGTCTTGCACAGGCAAGCTCTTGATTAGAGTGAACCATAAAAACGTGTAACTGTGCTTATTCAATTGTTATAACAAATACTTGTGTATTAATTGCGTATCACTGTTTGTTACAATTGGGGGGGTTTGTCAGGGATCATTTCTTGTGTTTGCAGATATCTGCAATTTAGCTATGTTTAGTTAGAACTAACTTTTTGCTTTTAGGTACTCTTTTAGAAATAACTTTAATTAATTAATTTTTATGTATATGTTTTATGATATTTTCATAAACATTATGTTGTCACGGACCAAGACGTCCCTGACACAAGGAGACCCTGTAAGGGCGGGAAAGCCCCACTCCAACCGAAAAGGTCTCTGAAGGAATGAGTGAGCGAAGGCAGGTGCGCTCAGGCCATCGTAAAAGTTGAATGTTGAAAAGTGAGAAGAGAGAAAATCAGGCGAGAGAAATTTTTGTGGAAATAATATTGGTGTAGGGCACTCTTGTAAATTTGGTAAATATATTTATTTGTTTTAAGTAAATTTTTGGTTTTCATTCATTTCATTTTATTTGTACCCCTTTCTGCTACCACACCCGGAGATCAACATCCAAGGGAGAAAGGGTGACAAACTGGTAGCAGAGCGTTCCCATTTTCTCATCTTGGGAAAAAAATAAAATTAAAAAAAATAAAGTTTAGTTACGTTTTAGTTTAATTAGAAAGAACAATTTTTTTTTTAAATTTTGTATCGTAAATAACTGCATGATCTTTGAAATCTTTAGTGGTGAGGGGTTTTTTTTTAGTTTTCTTTATTCAATTTAAATTTTGAATTTAACATGCGTAGTGTTTGTACATAAAGGACAACACTATCTCGGTTAATCCCAAGTAGCTTATCTAGCAGATAATTTTTGAGTAGAAAAACAACGTTGAACAAACAAGTTAATCTTTTCAATAGTTTCAATAATTAAAATGACTGACTCAACACATCAACAAACTATTAAAACGAATTCACAATGTTTCTCTTGCCAAGATGTAGCCACAACAGACGATGCAACATTTTGGGCGATTTGTAAAAGTACTTACCATTTTAAATGCAATAATCTAAAAACTCACGAGGCGTACATAAAACTAGACAAAGAAAGACGGGCCTATTGGAAATGTACTAATTGTAAAAAATACGCGGAAATAACTTGACCCGGATAGCTGAATTAGAAGCTTCACTTAAACGAGAACGACTAGAAAAAGAACAGTACCTTACTGCGAATAAAATATTAAGTGATCAAATTAAGCAGCTAAAAGAAGAATTGAATGCGCTATCAGTGCGAATACTGGAAGCAACGAGCGATAAGCGATAGGTACAGACCAGGACGCCCGGGACATAGCAGTACCGGTTGCTTCGGCACGCCCATGTGACCAGGACCTCACCTATCATACAGACTCCTATTAGTGGCGATACATGTCCCGATGAAAATTTCCCAAATATTTAAATAACATTAAATAACAGGGACATACCACTACTCAACAGCCACAATCCATGGTCAATCATCAATTTTACTGAAAAGTTGTATGGTTTGAAGCTACACAATTCGCAATGGTTCGACGAGATTTTTGGAAGGATTGTGGTTATGCAATCAAACTCTATCCTTTTGCAAATAATATTGAATGTGGGACAGTCTAAAATTCATTTTAGCAAAATTTATAATTATATTATTACACAACTAATAAATCTTCAAACGCGGTCATTTTTAAAATATTGTAAACCTTTAAGATCACAGAGAGAAAATGAATCGTTCTGAGTCTATGTTAGTGAAATTAACTCTTTCCTTAGTTTGTATTGTAGATTGTATATTATTGAATTTAGTAGATAAAAGTTATTAAATTTTGTAAAATAGCTTGTTCCATACTTTTTCTGCGGGTTATATTTATTTCTGTTTTGTTAACAACTTTAACAACTTGTTTTGTTTTAGAATGTCTTATTCAGTTGAAACTAGCCATCTGTCAACATTTTAAATTTAGCAACTTAAAACATAAACATAATTAATTTTATTTGCCAAACATTTTAAATAACAAAACAATAAAACCTAATGGACTGAAGAAAGTAGAAATTAAAAACTGAATTATAAAACATTTAGTATCAGAAGGTGTATTGGCCAGAATTTAAAATATCACCAATGTTATTGAAACTTCCAGAATAAAATAAATAAAAACTGCACGTTAGAGATGGAATTGGAAAAGGAAAAGTTAAAATATAAATTAAAAATTAAAGAAATAGAACTGGCATGCAACATTAATTCCAATATACATACTAATTATGATGTAATTAGAAACATAAAGTTGCTTCTGCCATTTTAGGAGTTGGATGTTGACAAACATTTTGCACAATTTTAAAAACTAGCAAAATTCTTACAGTGGCCTAAAGAAAGTTGGCTTATTTTGTAACAGGCTGCTTTAGTGGGTAAGGCCCAGAAAACTTATGCTCAACTGTCTGAAGAACAAATTCCACATATGAAACTTAACGAATGAATATTAAAGGAGTAGGAGTTAGTTCCGGAGGCTTACAGACAAAAATTTATAAATTTAATAAAAACTAAAGTTTTTAGAAAAGAGAAGAACTATTTTTTAACCAGTAATGCTGAGCAAGTAATATTAATAGTTTTAAAGAACTTAAAAATTTAATTAAGCTTGAAGATTAAAAAAATAGAATTTTTTAAGAAATCATTTTTTGGAAGACTATCAAGTTAGTTAGGCTGGCAGAAGAATATGCTTTAATTCATAATCAATCTCCTGCTTATAGCAATAAAGCAGAGTTCAATTACTGAACCCTTAGTAAATAAAAATAGTAATTCGGCAATCGTTGATGAAAGGAAAATTTCTAGAAGCAATCTAAGTGTTTCTTCCAAAATTCTTAAAACATTTTCTTTATTTTACTATAAAAAACCCTGTCAGATAATTGCAGACTCCTCTATGTTAAAGATGAAAAAGGCAATACCGATCTTCAAAACCTTTTGGTATAGTTTTTGACAGTACAGAAGGCAAATCAAATTCTCAAATGTTCAAACCTTTTATATTTGATGGAAATGTATCTTTATTAACTTATAGAATACTTCAATAATATTTTTTAAGTAAATTAACTTATTTTATATACTATCCCTATACCTTTGAGAATGTGCCAGTTCGTTAAAATGAATTTAATATATTTTAAATAATATTATACTTACTTTTAACAATTTTAGTAAAAATGATGTGTGTATTATAGAAGCTTCGATAGCACTCCCCTCGTGTAAAAGTGACTTGATTACAGACAAATCATCTTTGGACAATTTTAAGCCGGATTTTAAAATATTAACTGAATGGGAAAAAGTTTTGGGAGGTTCATCCTCTTCCTGGTTTACTCCTGGAACAAGAGTGTGGTGAAAACAATTAATAATATTGGTAATTTTTTTAGTTAAATTTAATTTATGTTCTTATTTCATTTTACTTTAAATTGTGTTAAATTAAAAATTTGTTGGGTTATAATCAGAACAACAGGGGAACAATATCAATGAATTTGTTCGGTTCTTGTAATGATAAAAAATAAGGAAATTGATCAATTACCTGTAGTATCACTTGTTTCATCACAATTTTTATTGGTTGAAATTTCTTTTGGTAATTTGAGATCCTCCTAAAACACATATTTTTATGAAATCATTAATTTTTTATCAGAGACAATGAAGCACACTTTCCAACATTTCTTATTCATATTTCTGTGCAATTAAAATGACTTTTTCAAGAGTAAAGACTAGATTTAGTTAATATTTACATATATTCAGTCAGAAAATTAGTTTTAGTTAATAGTTTTAAAAAGGCCAGTTGCCAAATTCCTTGACTTCTTGGATTTTTATGGTCAAAATTATTTTACTCTAGTTTTTGTTTCCCATTACAGTGGTGCATTGAGATACGAGTGACCAAACATATGAATATTTTGAGATACAAGCTACCAAGTGGTCAAAATTTTGCCTTGAGTTATGGGCCTGCTATGGTGAAGTCACCACCACCACCACATCACGCATATTCTGCGCACTTGCTTGATAGTTCACATGTTTATCCCAACAGAGGAGCATTTCCGCTATGTTTAGTTTTAATTTTGTTTTCTATAAGCTTACAGCTTGTTTTGCATAATATATGTATTGTATATATTTATTTAGAAATCATGAGATGCGGTCTGGTGTGATGTAGGTTTCAGAAAAATATTTTCTTTATCGTGCCAATGTTTCGATCTTTATTGAGATCATCTTCAGAGCCTGGGATTTACAAACATTGTTTACATATTACAATTACATTTTGGATGTGAAAAAGTGAATTTATACAATGCAAAATTTTTTTTTATATATTCAATAAAAAAAAATATTTTGCATTGTATAAATTCACTTTTCCACATCCAAAATGTAATTGTAATATGTAAACAATGTTTGTAAATCCCAGGCCCTGAAGATAATCTCAAAAACCTACATCACACCCGACTGCATCTCACGATTTCTAAATAAATATCGATTAATGGTCACTAATCACCATACATAAATTGTATAATTAAGTTACATAAAAGTGAAGTGAGTTTTTTTTCTGCTTTTGTATGAATGTAGGTATTGTGAATTTTTTTAAGAATAAAAAGTGATTTACATCAAAATATTTGCTTCACACTACAATTTAATCAATTAAATTTGTTTGTGATTCGGTAAAAGTAAATAGAATAAAATTATAGTAGCTGTAAAGAGAAAAATGGAACACTCAATCACTCCATTAAGTCGATTATGTTATTTTAATTGTAACTAGGGTATGAAAAATATTTTGCTGTAAAACAAGTAAAACCTTACCTTACATACATCATCTGTCTCTTCTTTAATTTTTCTTTTTTTCCTATGGTCTCCAAACGGTTTAACTTCTATTAAGTTTTTATTCTGTAATACTTTCTCAACTTTGGTCTAAAAGTAAAATAAGATTAATGTAAGATTTAAAACAAAATATTTTATAATACAATATAAATTAAAGGATCGATACCTTATAAGCTTTTATCCTTTCCATAAGTAGCTTCAAAGCTTCACCTTCTGGAAATTTTATGTTCGTGTTTTGTAAATCGGCGATAAGGGATTTTATAACATTCAAAGGAGGTCTCTTAGATCTCTCGCAATCTTGACAAATGTAGTTCATTATTAGGTAATTGGATTTCATATTATCTTTGCACTTCCAATTTTTTGATACACATATTTCTACAAATTACTCATTTTGTTAATAATACAAATTATTTTTTATAATTAAGTCAATGAAAAAGTACATTTAACTCACCATGACTTGTGATAGAGCATAGAATACATTTGACCAAAGCACCTTTTTTCTTACTTTTACAAAAACAATGCCGCGAAACGTCTTTGCTGTTCATCATAACTTGTTTATTTTTAATTCGCAAAGACTTTAAATTTGAAAGTTCTCTAGCAGTTGCTTTCTAAAATAAATAAATTATAATAATCAAAAGTTATTTGGAATTACTAACAATATAAGTAAAATATAATAAACCACCTTATAAAAAGAGGTAAACCACTCAGTTTTCAAAGATGGAATATCACAAAGAGAGAAATCTTTACTCCAAGAAGTAGTGAATTGTTTCTCATCCTGCAATAAATTTCTGATACGAGGAAACAATACCTGAAAAACATGAACAAATTACTAGAACTGCTCATAAATTTAATGTATGCATTTCTGAGTACTATGAAAAATCTTTGGTCAAAATCAGCCAGCTTATTAGTCTGTTGTTAAATTAACTTCATCTATATGTTCTTTGTAAGTTTTTAATGCTAAGGCAAATATAACTGACAACAGACAAACAGGACATATGAACAAAGATAGTAATTATTGACAGTTTATCTTCCTCTTTTATTAACTTCTTGGTTTGTTTTTAGGCATGGCATAAAAAACCTTACAAACTATCTTTCAATTCTTTTTCGGATAATAACCAAGGCTGAAAAATGACAATTAGAAGGTTGTCTTGTTCCAAAACAAACATTGGCCAAAAGGTAAAGCTTCAAAGTTGCCTTAGAATATAGAGTTTAATTAACCTTAATTTTTAACAGGTAATAATTAATTTTAAATAAATGCAATAAATAAGCAAACAGCATTATGAGTGTTGAAGATCTCACATACCCTAAAGTTTAATTAAAAGACAATGACAATGGATAAATTATCTAAAAACTTACTTCAATTAACTCTTGATCACCATTTTTTAAGAAAGCTTTACAAACTTCTGCGATCCACTTATCCCTGAATACCAAATTATTTTTTAATTTATCAACATTAATATTTATGGGTAAGGAAGCGGCTCGCTCTATTAAATGTTGCAATTCATTCTTATTAGAAATCATATTCACTTCCTTAAAATAAAAAAGAATTAGATGCACAACAAACAAATAAACATTGAACATATCGTCATTTATATAACATAAATAAACTGATATACGTACACAAATACTTTCAACGTCTTTGTACCAAGCTTTTGTAAGTGCAATAGCATTTGCTAATTTACTATGTGAATACAATTTCACTGGAATATACTTTCCATCTATCAAGTGATTTTCAAACTCATAAAGTTTATCTTCAGATCTAAAAATTAAAGCAATGAATATTATAAACATTGTAACACTCATAAATCAATGAGTATATGGAAATGTTAGAAACATTCACATATATTGAATTTCATAAAGAAAGAAATAATTTTGCTTGTACTTCATTGGTAGTAACCTAACAGCAATAATTTGTTGAGAACTTAAATTATTACAAAGTGTATAGAGTTTAAACATACTTTGCATTTAATAGATGTTTTGCTTTTGATTCCCATTTTTCTGCTAAACGTAGCAAAATTTGCAACTTTGATATGCAGTCCTCCAAAGTTTGTTGATGTTTCATACTATGGATGTTTGTTTTTAACAAACTAATGCCGTTCTTGATCATGTCGCTTAAATCACTTGTTTCAGTATCTTGGTCAAAAACCAACATTGCATCTGCTTTTTCTATCCAACTTCTTATTTCTATTTCCTAAAAATGTATTATTTTTACAGTATATGTATATATATTCAATGAGAAGCGATAGGTGAGATAGGAAAGAATGAGAGAGGTAAGGAAAAGGGGAAGCAAGAAAGGGAAAGCGATAAAAGGGAGATCAAAGTATCAAAATTGTATTACCTTGTTTATGAGATCGAGTTCTTCAAATTCAAGATTTAATGAAATTCCCTCTTGCTTAGCTGTTTTCAATTGTTCCAATAATACACTATCCATACTTAATAGTAGAGATGCATGTTTTTGGAAGTGCAAAGCCTGGTGCAGCCAAGAGTTTAAACTGTCTCCTTGTTCAATTTTGCACACTAAATTATTGACTTCTTTTATAAATAAAGTTAGCTCGTCCACTGTCATCTTTTTTTCAGGACAAATTCTAGTCCTAGAAGCAAAATGTATACCCCATGCATTATAATTAATTTGGTTAAACAGGGAATAAATAATTGGACAAAAAATAGTATTAATTGATTATATATAAGTTTAAAATTGTTTTTTTATTCAGAGAAATTCAAGGTTGCTCCATGATGTACAATAAGGACAAAAGATGGACATATGGAAGAAAACTATGAACACAAAAATCAATAACAATTTACATATGTACATCATTTGCTCCATGCGACATAACAAAAAGTAACCAAACTTAAATCACAAAACTTACTAGAACAAATAGCAAGAAAAACCTCTTTACTTTTTACAAATGTATAAAGGGAACACGACTAATTAAAATAAATCGCAATCCCACTAATGAGGAAGCCGAAATGCATCTGATAGACAAACAAAGTGAGAATAGACAGACCAGGATGATTGGCAATGATAAAACAACAGGTTCATCACATCACGGGCCTCAACACAATATCGTTTTCTTATTTTTTCATCATAATCAACCTACACCCATGACCAGCTAAAGATGTTTAAATCAGTTCTTAACACGAATACGAGTTCCTTGAATCATTACTAGATCAAAATTTTAACAAGCAAGCAAATATACACAATTTTTTGGCATAGCCATTCACCATTCACAACATTGATTTCATGATTCATGACGTATGTTGATGCATGAACATTAAGAGTAGTTTGATTAGAGTTGAGTTGCACTAGGTTAGGTTAGGTTAGGATAAGATAGGTTGTGTTAGGTAGGAGTCAGGATTAGGGTTAAATTTATGGATGGTTAGGTTAGGTTAAGTAGGTTAGGGTTGGTTTGCAATGGCTGAGTTGGGGGGGGTTAGGGAATATAAGGTTAAGTAGTATTACAATTCAGGTTAGGGTTAAAATTAGGAATGGGCTAGGTTAGGTTAAGTAGGGGGTTAATGTTATGGGTGGGGTTAGGTAGTATTGAAGTAAGTAGGGTTATGGATGAGTTAGATTAGATAGTGTTAGGTTACATATCCATAATTCAATATCCCAATTGTACAATTCCTAGCCTATTTTCAACCTGAAAAACTTTTTATCAAATTCATTCTCTTTCATTCTAAATTCATTTTTGTCTTATCAATTTTTGTTTCAGGGACTTCTATCAAATCACCATTAATTATTCCAGGTACCTTGGTCAATTATTTTTCTTTCTTTTTTTTCCTTCTTACTTTAGATGTGTTTTAGCTTATCGCCATCTTCAGTTTTGTTTTAATTTTTTTTTTTATTCCACAATTTAAAATTAAGTTGTTAAGAGTTTCTATTAATGGCACTCTTCTACCTTTCACGAATTAGCAAACAATGTTTGACTAAACAAATATCGCTCAGACCCACCACTGAATGTGAAAAAAAGCTGAACTACACCCAAAAGACCAAAACAGCAAGGATAGGCTAACAAAAATTATTAAAACAGCATGTTTTGGCTTCACTACCCTGCAGTCCTCAAAAGAAATATCATAATTGAACTTCCTTGAATTGATACCAATTTAAATAGCCATAAATTTTTTTAGGACCAATAATAATAATAATACAATTAATATTACAATTAATTAAGGTTTTTAGTTGAGATGAAAAACAGTTAATGGCACGAGAGGGATTCGAACCCACGACCTTCGGCTTGATACGCCGCTGNAATTCATTAAATTCACTAATTTCGTGGTCCGCTTGACCAATTAAACATTACAATTAATTAAGGTTTTTAGTTGAGATGCAAAAAAGTTAATGGCACGAGAGGGATTCGAACCCACGACATTCGGCTTGATACGCCGCTGCTCTACCACCTGAGCTATCGTGACCTCGATCCACGACATTTGAAAAATGGCAAAAGGAGGGAAAACTCATAAGGTGGGGTTGAGATGGGGAGTTGATGTCCGAGTGGATCGAGGTAACAATAGCTCAGGTGGTAGAGCAGCGGCGGATCAAGCCGAAGGTCTTGGGTTCGAATCCCTCTCGTGCCATTAACTGTTTTTCATCTCACCTAAAAACCTTAATTAATTGTAATGTTTAATTGGTCAAGCGGACAACGAAATTAGTGAATTTAACAATTAATATTATTATGGTGTCTGTCAGCTTGGGTTAGAAGTCCCGGGTTTGATCCCATATTTTGCTGTTGTAATTGTCTTAACACCCATGTGTTTTATATTCCTAATGTACAATTAAAATAACTAAAATGTTTCCGTGCAGTCAACTTACCTTACTCTTTCTTTATTTGAATTTAAACGTTGAGCAATATTTGAACATTTTTCTGCTTCTTGAACAGCATTAATGAGAGAGTGCAATAATTCTGAATCCGGGAATTGCCTATCTTTTGCTTCTGTCAATAGTGCTTTCAACCCGTTTAAATCTGAAATAAAATTCCATACTGGTTAAGTAGGATGTCCTGTTTTACCTAATTATTTTTGATTAGTTTGGTATTATGGAATATCTTAATACCTATGGATCGACACATTTCATGGTTTAAAATCCGTTTTGCTTTTTTTATCCAAACTTCGAATATTTCAGCTTTCTCTTTTAATTTTTGCAGCATTGCAGGCAGCTCATCCATTGTATACCTATACCTAACAACAGAGTATAGATTTAAAAGTATTTACAAACATTTTAAAATTATTTCTCCTGTTTTATATTAAAGTTATATAATTAATACTCTGTGTTGGGATAAATAAAGCTTAAGTTATGAAATTCTACATAGTTTACAGCAGCTTTCCTGTTGTCAGTACTGAAACTATTTGACTACCTGACTCTTGAATCATATTTACCTCAAAATATGGTTTTTGGGCGGACAATCGCACAATGAATCAAAATGATGAAGGCAAACCAGTTTATCTGTCGAGCATTTACAAGTGACAGCAGAAAGGAAGCATGTTGTTTTACAACAATAACATTGCCTTCCATCATCAGGTACAAGTTCATAAGCTTCGCGTTCTGCTTCACAAACTCCCTGGTGACATATACATCCATCTCAAATACAAACTATTACAATGAAAACTTTATATAGTTTATTGTAGATTATATTGCGTACCCAACCCAATAACTTTTTTCTTAGATTTTTCTCCATCTCTACCATTTTCAACATATCATCATAAGTTGCAGCTGCAATTTTAGGATCTATCGATGATGCATTCAAAGCTATTTTGCAAACAAGTTCATCATGAGAAAATACACAGAAGCGGTGTAAAGAAGCATAACGTGTAATACATTCTCGACCCATTGATAGCTGTAAAATAATATTAATAATGTGAGCTAAAATTCACCTTATAAGCAATAAATAAACTTTTAACATATTCTATATTAAATTTAAAATATATTAAACAAACTCTTTGACTTCATATTACATCAATGAACTTTTTTTTATATTTTTGAAGAATGTAATAATTTATTATATATTTACATTGTATGTGCCTTAAAAATGTAAGTTTTCCAAATTTTAAGTGCTCAACATTCAAAAATTAAGTAAGAATTTCTTTAGTTTTTGCATTACACACATTTACAAAAAATATTATTTTATTTGTTAGTAATAATCATTAATAACGGTCTTTAAATATTAAACATTAGGAATAATTTGACAAGTTAATAATCTTAATCAAATTTATTAAAATAATATAACTAGTTATACTAAATTGCTCACCCAATCAGCAGGTGCAAAGTTAACAGCTTCTGCAAAATTGTATCCTTGATTGAAACCGGCATGATAAGCTCGAGGAAATGTAATTACAAATTCACCAGCTTCTTGGTCTGTGCGGTACACAGGAACACCTGCAATAATGGTGAAAAATAAGTGGATACAATTTATTTAAAAGACATGCACACTCCCATTAAAAAAATGAAAAACTCTAAGCTTATATGCAGTTTAATAATAAACAGAGGGATGTAAGTTGTCCACTGGGTAAGGACAATAAAGAAAGAAGAATGAGACTGGAACCTCATCTCTTGAAAGAGGAAAACAGCAAAAATCAGTCTGTGTAAGAAAACAGTGAAGTTAGACCTTTAGAAATACATGTTTTGTTTGAATATATTTGCTCATTTTCAATGTTTTGTGATAGAAGATTTTTCTTTATGTTTTTATGATTAAATAATGGAGAAGATTTATTATGAAATAATACTGTGAGACAGTCAGTACTTGATATTCCATCATCGACCTTTATTTAAGTTAAAAGTTGTATTCAGTGGAATGAAAGGTAGTGCATAGGTATGGAAGCATTTGAAAGATGAATAGGTACATGTTTAGGATTCGATTTGCATGCATTTTGGAGCTGAAATGATTAGTTGTTATAATTTGGTCATTTCCAATTATTTTGACCTGTCAGATGTGTTCTAGTTTCCCAATATTCAATGTGACTTCCGTTCTTTTTTAAGTTGGTGGAAGTATTCACTAAACATGAAAATTCACAAATTAAATTTATAAAAAGGGCTCCACTAAAAAGAAATCGTAACTGAAAATGGCAGGGTGTCAAAACATGACAGATCAAAATGATCTAAAAAAATCAAACTACAGATTCATCACCTCGAGATCCCAGGAGGACATCTCACAATTTAGTTGTCAATTTTTGGCAAAGTTTAACTTCAGTGGGCAGGGTGGAAAACACTAAGATCTAATCCAAGACTTCACTGAAGAAGATGTGAAGCCGAAACTTTGATTGCCACAGGAGATTAAATGATAATTATAAAAAAGGTATGATGTAACAATAAAAATACCTGCTTTCATTAATACATTCGGATTCATAATGGTAGTAAGCTGATGTAGGAGATCTGGTTGAGTTTGAAATAATTCTGGAGCCACTTGTTTCATTGTTGCTTCAAATTGTTCTGCATAACTACCTGGTACACCATACCATGTCTTTGGTTCTCCCCTACACATAATTTAACTAATTAAACAATCTTGTAATCTGATAAGCCTATGTTTATAATACATAATATGTTTAGTTGTACACAAGAGAACTAATTAGACAATTAATTAACATTATTAAATTTAAGCAAACTTGTATCAATGTCAGACAATTAAAGAAATAATTTAAAATCCAAAGATAACTTGTCAACAGGTCTTACAGAATTCTCATTATACTGGACTATAATTAAAATAGCATGTATTGTCTTGAAAAAAATTATTACCAATGCAAATAGTTAATGGAATAGCTCCAATGATCCTCATTGTGCCAACAAAAGGTTGCAAAGCACATTCCAACATACATCCATGGTACTTTCATCCCGGAAATATTTGCTGAAATGTGACTGAGTACCGATCCTTGTAATACTGGCATATTATTTAAATTCCATGGTGACTCTATGTACTGTAATATGTCTGGATTCTGTAACAATACATTTTTATTATTTTAAACTCCTTAGTTAATTGTAAATTGTTAATTAACATGAATGCATGCATGTCTTGTGTGGTTTCAAATAAAAAACAAACCTCCATTTCAGAACTGTGGGAATCCTTTGTGGGGAAACCTGATCCGTGATCCACTGTGTGAAGATCAGCACCATACTCGACAGTAACATCTTCATCAATGGAAGAAACAATCCTCCAGAATTCCTTTTCAACTAATGGGAGTGGTACTCTCTAAAAAAATACAATACATGATTAATTAAAGTTAATTAGATAATCAGTAGAAAGTACACACATGTACTGGCATATTAAAATAGTTTGCTTTAAAAATATCAGCCATTTCTCCAAATTGTTGCAAGGTATATTCTCGCTGAGCTTGTTCAAAACCAAATGGATCCATAGGTTTACTGACTTCTTCAGCAACGCATTTTGGACAACGCCAATCACCTAAAATAGATAAAATACATGAAAAAGTTACTTTTAATACTTTCAATGTTCAGACATTCAGAAAGCTTTTAACCTTTTGGAATCTCAGTGAGTGGTGGAACTAGGCAGAAAGTGTGGTAACTGTCGTCACATCCATCACATAAAAGCATTGTTTCCTCTTCGTCTCCTCGTTCACACACTTGGCAAATATATTTTGCAAGCTAAAAACAATTATTTATTAGAATCATTACAAAAACAGACAAATAAACAATCAAAATGTTTCAATAAAAAAAAGTACGCACAGGATCTTGTTGATCGTAAGTGGCTTTCTTTGATTTATCTTTTTTATCTGTTTCAATATTAAATCCTGCCATTTTGGGCCCTGCGCCATATATCTGAAGACGTTTTAATTCATTTTTGCTACCAGTCAAACTGTCTTTTAAATGCTGTGAACAAAAATTTAATCAGAAATCAAAAGTCTGAGGTATCATCAACTCATAATTTATAAGTTATTTATTAACAATACATATTTTGCTATGAACACATACCTCATCTATTTTGTCCTTGCTTACTTTAGTCTCTTCAAATATGTCAAATGGGCTTAAAATCTTTTCATAATGACCCTTTAATACCGAAGAAATGCCTCTACCCTTGGGCATTCCCATTCGTATTGCAACCTTACCCCAAAGTTTTTGTTTGGTTACAGTAGCAAATCCTCCTGCAATAATTAATTACAAAATTAGTTCTTCATACAACATACTTACAAATACATCAATTAATCACATTTCAGTAATTTTGTTTTCTATAAGTAGTTACCCACTTAAAGTAGTACTTGATTCAATATTACTAACTAATGAAAACTAAAAGTCTATATAATTTTAAAAAATTACCTTCATTTTTTACAATTTGATGTAATGTATAGAGATCAAGAATTTTCCTTTCGACCATTGGAATTTTCAAAGGTGTACCTTGAAGTTCCCAAAATTTAGCTATTTGATCAAGGAAGTTCAATCGTATTCTGGTTTTAGCCTGAAAATCAAATTATAAAATGTTTGAATTTTTAAGATAATCAGAAAATATAGGCTTAATAGTATGGTATATCTAAATATTTTAAACAAATGTCTTTAAGACAATTAGAAAACAATCACAATTTGACATAAAGAATAAATAAAGACTTATAGTTCGAACATTTCTGATTTGGAAGGAAAATTATTAGCTTAACAACTGTGAACAATATTTTCTTATGAAGAATTTTCTTGAAAACAAAACAATCACTACTGAATGAGCAACCTCATGGTACCCACCCAAGTTGCTGGATGACATCATGAGGTACTCCAGGGAACAAAGCATGATATTAGTCATGGGATGTAATGCAAATGCCTACCATATTACAGGGGGAAATACTGACATCAACGACCGAGGTGAGTCTTTATCAGGATATGAACTTCTATGTACACCTCGTCCTACCACCACCTCCACGAAGGCCTCGGCCACGTACAGCCCGGGCAACGTCTTTCAGATGGCTAACAGTGGGGGGCAAATGCAACTTCCAGCGCACTAACAGGGAATGTTGGGCTAAGGGAGACCACCCCAAGAGAAAACAACCCAAAGCTAAGGTGTAAGGCTATGTGCTAAGAGCTGAATGGCTGCAGGGGGAAGGTGCGGTCATTAACGTTCCCCTGGAGGCAACTGGAGCCACCTCCTTGTATATTAGTCATCTTACCTGTGCATGCGAGGCTCTGTGCGGGTGGACTTTTAGTTCCCTAGCTTCTCGTGGGAACCAAATGAGTACACCAATGGAAAATATAGGCCAAAAACTTCTAGTGCGGGTAGTAGTGCCCCTGATAAAGGCAGTCTCCTGCCTTTACCACCTTTATCTCCTGCCCTACCTTAACCACTCATACAGACCTATCAGTCTCATATCATTCATGTTAAAGACATTAGAAAGACTGGTAGAGAACCATCTTCAAGAAACAGCACTGAAGAGCAAACCTCTCAGTGAGCGACAATTCACATGCAACCACAGCCTCTCTATATAGAGCAATTAAAAACAGGGGTCTCGGAAAAGGTATGCCAATGGGTGGAAGAAGGCGTAAGGAACAGGATAATCACATCCACATTGGGCAGTGAGACCATCCAGGCTAAGACAGACAAGGGGGTGTTCTCTCACCTCTACTGTGGACGACACTGGTAGACAAACTCCTACAAATGCTGGAACAAGAAGGATTCTACTGACCTTGCTGTAGTAGTAAAGGGCTGCCATGTGAACATCGTGATGGATTGTACACAACAACCCCTCAATCTGGTTGACGGGTGGTACAGAAGGGAGGAGTTATTTATCAACCCCCACAAAACCATAATGATTCCATTCACAAGGAAGAAGTCAATAAGAAGCCTAAAAACTTCAAGCCTAAACGGGATCCCTGATCCCATTTAACAAGGAGGCCAGATATCTAGAGATCATACTAGACATGAAGACATGGAATCCACATTTGACTAAAACCACCCAGAGAGCCAAAATTACCTGGGGGAGGTGCAGATGGTTCTGCACAAAAACCCCAAAATGACCCTATGGCTATACACCTTCATCTTAAGACCAATGTTAACATATGGGTTGGTGGTGTGGTGGACCAAGACTCTGCAGTCGAAAGCAATCAGGCTATTAAGTGGCAACCCAAAGACAAGCCAGTCTCAGTGTCACTGGAACCATGAGCACAACGCCAACTGCAGCCCTGGAAGTGTTGTTAAACCTCCCACCACTTCATATTTTAATCCAAGGAAGCCAGAGCAACAACACACAGGCTCATAAATGGACAACCATCTGCAAGGATAGGTCATGTAAATAAACAATGAAAAATGAGATCCAAGCAGATACCATATTAGACATGCCAATTGGTGCCACTACTTCAAAATATAATTTTACTAAAAAGTACAAGGTACTGATACCAGAAGGGGAAGAATGGGCCAAAGAAACATTGTTAAAGACAAACTTCTACTGGTACACTGACAGCTCCAAAACCAATATGGGCTGGAGCTGGAGTTTTTGGGTTGAATCCAGATGCCGAACTGACGATAAACCTAGGTAAATGTGCTACAGTTTTCCAATCTGTCTCTGATAGTCAGGCAGCACTAAAGGCCCTAGCCTCACGCGAGGTGAAAACAAAGAGTGTTTGGAATTGCATGGAGGCCCTGATAGAAGTCAGTAGACAAGTAATTTTGACATGTTCCAACTGATATTGGCTAACATTTTATGTCATTCAGATTATTGCAAAAAGTATCTTACAGCAAATTTAGCGTTCTTTCAAATGGTGTAATTGGATTTGTTGTAGTCTCAACATTTTGGAAGTTGTAAGCGTTTTTATGTGGTAAGGTAGTGAAAAGTTGAAAAAACCTAAATTGACGAATATCTTCAAAATAGAGAACTTTCCGAAAATTTTCTCCTGAGCATTTTTTGCTCCAAACGTAGAATCGATTCCCTGAGTTTCGTCAGAAGGAATTGGGACACCCTGTATATATGTAATGTACGTTTTATATTTATTCTGTACTGACAACATGAGGTACAAATTTTAAGCTAGCATTTTAGGATATAATCGTAGTTTTTCATATAAAAACAAAGTCAATAAAATATCAAGAAGCTCAAATGGCTGAAGTATTAAAAGCTAATCTTATATATTGACATACATAGTTCAACATTAATAAATTATCTCACTTACTCTTAGATTAGATAAGTACATTGTAGCAAACTTTCTATTCACTATTCTGTACATATCTTTTTTCCTTGATGCAAGTTAATATCAAAATATTGGCCATTGTTCATAAATCAAAACTGATCCAATGTTTTTTTTATTTCATTGTAATTAATACTAGTTCATGGTTTTCAATAACAACTTAATAAATAATTCACAAAATAGTAAAAGTAAAATCATTCTTGCTATACAAATGCCAAACTGGGTGTCATGGACAAAGGATCAAACCTCATTTCAAACCTTTTTATGTTATACACTATTCAATTCAAAAGCCATTGGCGATGGTATGCCTTCGAACCAAGACTATCTGTCACAGCAAATACAAGTCGAGTGCCCTAACCACTTGGCCACCCCAATTCCCAATATAATGCTGGCTGTGTTTAAGCCAGTTCAATCTTATGTGTCTGAACAGAAACTGAGTCAATATTGATTAACACTTACTTCAAGTTCATTTAGGCGTTGGACTCTAGGAGTAAATAAAAATTTTCCTATATCCACTGCAAATGGTGGTTGCCAATCCTGAAAAAAAACATTATTTTTAACATAAGAATTAAGCAAAACTTTAAAATTTCAAAACTAAATCTGGCTAAAAATATACTATTAATGGCAGAGATAGTCTAAAGAATTAAACTAAAATTAGATTGGTGATTCAGTAGTTTCTGATTTCACATCACAACCACCTTTTTTCATGCTACCCTTCCTCCCATTAATACATTGCATCGTCAAATATACGCAAATTTTACTTGGCTAATACGTAATGTTCATAAGTCCATTAAAAAAAAAATTTTTAATTGTTGTGAGATTTCTTCTAGGGTCTGCGGTGGAATAAACCTGTAGCTTGGTCCAATCATCCTGGTTAAACTGAAGATTGCAAAATTCCCAAATACAGAACAAAACAGTGAGGATAGAAAGGCCAAAAATGATCAGAACCAAGCTACAAATTTATTTTGTGCTAAATTGATTACTTACACCAAACAATGTATGCCAAATTGATTCTTTAATCAAATTAAAATTGCACATAATACAAAACAGCTGGTAATTATTAACAGAAGGCAATAAAATTTATTATGGCCCATAATATTGCCTTTTGGAAAATTCATTAGTGCTCATTTAATTGTTTATAAATAGAAAGAAACCAATCCAAAGGCACTAACTCTAAAAAAAAAAAATAATAATAATAATAAAACAGTTCATTTTGCCGAGCCACATAGATAAACACAAAAGACAAAAGTTATCACATCTATGAGCCAAAAATTTTATTGGAAAACATGTAAGTGGTAAATCTGAAAATATTTTACTGTTTTTATAAACTACAACTAGAATCACCTACAAGTGAGATGGCAGAAAACTTAAAAAAGGATGCAATGTCAATTGCAAAAACCACAAAGACAGCCAGTAATGGGCATTGTTGTTCATACAATTTTAACTTCAAACTGATATGGGTCCTAAAACATATCAAATGCCTTGTAGAAAATTTAAATAAATAATAACCAAAACATGAAAGGATTAAATTGAACCCATTTGACCAGAACCAAAATTAAATGCTGAACATATGCTGAAAGATAAAGGGTGGACTGAACTAAAATGGCAAGTCTAAGGCAATTGAAAATGTGTGTAACAATTTCAAAGTCGTAAGCATCTTAACTGGTCTTTGCCCACTGAAATACTAGCTCAAAAAAATAAAAAAATAAAATACAAATACTAGCTGATGTTCAAGAAGCAGACACAGAGAAATCTGACTCCTAAGCCTGTGTACACACAACAGAGAATAAAAAATTATCAAATTATTTTTATAATGTGTATACTTTCTATGGTATGGACGTATAAGTAGCATCAATCAACAATAATAGATCTTGTTACGTCGCAGAATAAAGGGTGTGTTTTCATTTAAACAGACACCCTGGATTTTATTTAAAAAAATCACTTTCAAAATTAGAAAGTCATTTTGTATAGTACAAAGGAAAAAACAAAGGTCTAAATAAAATTTTGCTAATAGTAGAAAAACTGAGAAAATAAGATTTCTAGGAGAGCTATAGTATGTAGAAACTTTTAGCACATTCACATAGTTTTCACTTGTACAATTAGAGAGTAACATTTTTCTGATTTTCCAGTAAACAAAGATAAAAGGCAGGTATTTTCTAGAAAAAAAAAGCCAAACTACAAATATTTTATATTTCATCTAATTCTATTTTTGGTTGATTACTAAATCCCTGCACCCACAAAATGTCTCGTGCTTGGTCACAGAGGGCCATAAAATTTATTGTAGGTCATAATACTGCCTGTAGGAGGGTACAGTCGTAAGGGTACCACAGTATATACAACTAACAATTAATCTCTTGTGAAAACTGTTAGCAAGTTTGGATTTTTTCACAAGTAGTTTTCCAGTTTATAGAGAAACATATTTTTGTACTTATTACGATATTGTTGATTGCACAAGCGATCATAAAATGTGTTCTGATACCAAATAAAAAATGACAATTTAGGCAGGAAAAGAAAATCGTTCCTTTCCGTCAGACAATCGTGAAATGACTTTGGAGTCGAAAATTGCTTGATGTGGTTGGAAAAGTGCAAAAGTTTGCAAACGCATTGATCGCCTGTCAAAACGTCAAAAGAGAGTTTCGCTTACCTGAGGAGGTTTTATCCGACAGATGCCAGACGTTTCGGCGATCGGCCTTATTTTATCGATGAAGGCCAAAGGATCTTTGAATTCGTCTCTCGTCGGCTGGAAGAAAGGCGCTTCCGGAGGCATGACAAACTCGAAGCTGTCGAGGACGTCCGTCTGGGGCCCGGATTTCGAGGCTTTCCTCTCCATAATTCGCGTGCACCGTGTGGTTTCTCTCTTATTCTTTCGAGACGTCCAATCCGTCAACTGGTCGTCATAATCTCGCGAAAAGTTTTTTTATACTGAAAGGCGACACCGTAAGCAAAGTCGAGCGAAAACGTCAAGCGCTTTTATCCGGGTCACGGATAAACAGTCTTCTCAAATAATCCGGACACCTTTCGCTTCGTACGGAGGCGGAGAATATCACGTGTAATTTCCACCGAGGCTGTTCCTCCTCGGCGCAAGGCACGACATTCCGAAATTCGTTGTAGAAAAGAAGGGACGGCGTTTCCCGCTGGGACGGCGACATCCGACTGGAAACACGACCGCGCACCGTGTCCCAGTGCAAAAGGACGAGTCCGCACTTTCACGACACTAAACAAAAACAAGAGACGTCAAAGAAGTGGGCCAAAACAAAAGAGGAAAAAATATCAACATCGGAACACATTTCGCCCGTATCACAATGCAGCCAACTCAACATTGGCACGCTCACACCTGTGGAACGATAAACGTTTCCGCAAACGATAAACGCCCCCCGTTTCGAAAATAACACTTCCGAGATTAAAGATTAAACCACTCGACAGCCGACGTTTTACTCGACTTTACGCACCCGGGCCATTTCGTAACGAAACTGTTTACAAACGGGAGCCGATCCACTTTTCGTTCGACAACATTCGCAGATAAGAACGATTCTGACAGGAAAGTGGGTCACGGGCAACAAATGTGGAAACAAAGTTTAAGGCCTTTTACACGAAAACACATTTTCACTTCGGACTAATGTACTCATTAAACAGTGGATATAATAGAAAATTAGTTAGATTTTTCATTGTATGGCGGGTGTAATACGTTCATCGTTTGATGATTTCATCAAAATAAATCATTAGTCAACGCCCTTATTCATTTTCTAAATATGGATGATTTAATATACAATGTTACACAACAGACACAAACTAAAAGCAATGATTTCTTCACGAAAGGGCCGTTTGTGCAATTTACAATTTTCCAAAACGACCGTGCAACTAGTCTTATTTCTTCGAAAAAATGCTTTTTCAATGGTTACATTCTTCAACTTAAACAATAAAGGATTTCATTTCACATTTGTATACTAATGCATTGGTTTAAAAAAAAAATCTGCACAAAACAATAACAATGAATTTATTTTATAAAAATATAAATTGAGACATCCAAATTTTGATGCTAGTTTTTTCACATTTCATTTGAAAATTTCATCCAGAGAAATATTGGTCTAAAAATATGTAATTTAATAAACAATGTTACACGATAAACATGAACTAAAAGTAATGATTTCTTCACAAAAGGGTCATTTGTGTAATTTATAATTTTCTAAAACGACTGTGTAACTGCTCTTTATTCCTTCAAAAAAATTCTTTTCCAATGGGTACATTCTTCAACTTAAACAATGAAGAATTTCTTTTCACATTTGTATACTAATGCATTGGTTTAAAAAAAAAATCTGCACAAAACAACAACATTGAATTTATTTTATAAAAATATAAATTGAGACATCCAAATTTTGATGCGTTTTTTCAAATTTCCTTTGAAGATTTCATTCAAAGAAATATTGGTCTGAATATATGTGATTTAATATACACTGTCACACAATTGACATAAACTAATAACAATGATTTCTTCACAAAAGAGTGGTTAGATATGAAGTCACGATAGCTCAAGTGGTTAGAGCAGTGGAGTATTGAGCCGAAGGTCGTGGGTTCGAATCCCGCTCGTGACACTATTTCATCTCAACCAAGACCTTACATAAAAAGAATAATTATTTTAATTTATATTATTATATAAATATTGTTTATTGTTATTATTAATAATGCTTTTTGTTATTGTTTTAGTCATGTTATTTTATAAATTTTGTTTATCTACTTCTTAAATTTTTTATAACCTTGTCATTTATACCCTCTGTAAAAGGATCTTTGATCCGTATGTACATGTAAATAAATAAATCCCTAACCCTGATCTTACATAACTTGTGAAGTAGATTCACGATATGATATGGAATGCAGTCAAATAGTCCTCCTTTTTTTGGCTTTCCACAATTTGTCACTTTCAACACTGTCCAATTATCTAACCTAATTTTTTTTTTTTGCGTTATGAACTATGCATATTAGCCATGTGACAATTCGTATATGCGTGTTAAAATTTGGGGGGGGGGGGGGTTATTGTGAAAAAAGGGCCAGGGGCAACGGTGGGAATCGAACCCACGACCGCGGCGTGAGAGTCTCTCATGCTAACCACTCGGCTACCGCGGTCCCCCATCTAAACTAAATGAAAGAAAGAAGGACCAATTACCTAACCTAACCTAAACAAATTGATTTTTTTTCTTATAAATGTTAATACATTTAAACATAAATTAAAGGCAATTATTTTATAGATTGTTTTGAAATAAATATAGTTGTATTATATAAAATATAATTATTCTGTTATATAAAATATTATATAGATAACAAGTCACAATAGCTCAAGTGGTTAGAGCAAAGGAGTATTGAGCCGAAGGTTGTGGGTTCGAATCCCGCTCGTGACACTAACTATTTCATCTCAACCAAGACCTTACATAAAAAGAATAATCAATTGAAATAATTGTACATTATTATGTAAAATATATAAATATAGTTTATTGTTTATTGTTATTATTAATTATTATTTATTTTAATTTATATTATTATTTAATTTATATTTATTAATTTATATTAATAATGCTTTTTTTAAAATGTTTTCTTCATGTTATTTTATAAATTTTGTTTATCTATTTCTTAAATTGTTTATAACCTCGTGATTTATATTCTCTGTAAAAGGATCTTTGATTCGTATGTACATGTAAATAAATAAATCCCAAACCCAGACCTTACATAACATGTGAAGTCAATTATGATATGGAATGCAGTCAAATAGGCTTCCTTGTTTTTTTGGATTTCTACAATTTGTCTCTTTCAACAATGTCAAATTATCTAAACTAAATAAAAGAAAGAACCCAACATATTGATTTTTTTCATATAAATGTTAATACATTTAAACTTAAATTAAAGGTAATTATTTTATGGATTGTTTGAAATAAATATAGTTGTATGATATAAAATATAATTCTTCTATTATATTAAATATTACATATTATTACATAAAATATATAAATATAGTTGATTGCTTATTGTTATTATTAATGTTTGTTGTTTTGTTCATTAATTTTGTTTATCTATTAAATTGTAAATCTAAATTGTTTATAACCTCGTGATTTATATTTTTTGTAAAACGATCTTTGATCCGTATGTATATATAAATGAAAATTTACTTGTATAAATAGATAAAGGAAACGTGTAGTTCCTACATACAGATTACATACATAAATAATTTAGGTAATAACCTTTTAGGTCTTTCTTTTATTATTATTAATAAAGGCAAGCAACCTCTAAGGGTCTATAATTAAGGGTTTATAACTTTTTGAACTTCCCGCTCTGTCTCTTCCTTGATGAACAAAGTATTGAAACAATTATCCTCTATGGTACTTGTATTTGTAATTGTTTTATATACTGTATTATATACATTTGTGTTTTTTGGCTTTGTGCATTGTTTTTGTTTTGATTTTTAGATAAATGAGGGTTTTTTAGGGTTGTGGAAATAATTTTGTTTTTTGATATAAATTGTTTTACGAAAATGGGTGTGTTTTTTTTAAACCGCAATATGTTACTTAAATTAGGAAGAAACATGGGTGATCGGAATTCATCCATAATGCCATCCATCATCATCATTATCATCATCAAGTTCGGTCATCTGTTCACGGAGGACACTGGCAACACTGACGTCGTTGGTCTGGGTCTGGTCGTCCCGTCGGCCGTCTCACGTCTGTGCTCTGCTCTGGGCCTCATCTGTCAAGTTGGTTTCGTTTTCACGTTCTTGTCCGTGGTTTTTCAATCCTCTGTAAAACTGCTATGGAAAGTAGAAGTAGTTTTTGCGAAGCGTAGAAGCCAGCGAATTTTATTTTCTGAAGAATCCGGTCGTGAAACAGCCTGAGGATGACGATATTGTCAAAAAAGAAGAATGTCCAGGGTAAACAGGACGTAGAGTCGATGGAAGGGCAGCAGCACATACAAAATCCCCACAATCTACCAATACAGATATCAAACAACCAGGTATACAAGACGTTTGGACACTTTTCCCAATTTGCAATATATCGGGTTTTAAGCTTTTTTTCTAGTTGGAAGGGTCTGAGGCCAAATTTTGGACTTATTTTCCTTCCCGTTCCTGACGAGTTATACGAGTTAGAATGGTGTAAATAACCCTTGTTAGAATGTGATCTTAATTTTCCTCCCGTGGCCTCCACGATAGGATTTCTACCCGTTGGCGACACTCGGGACTTTTTTTTTTCCAACACCGATCGATCGTTTCTTCCTTTAAATTCCTCTCCGGTTCGAATTCCATTTGGCAAATGCTCTTCTGGCTTCCCCCATTTCGGCCCTGGATGCTCGGCCTCGTCCTTTAACGCCTCTTCTTCAACCATCGGATGAATTGTTAATGTAAGGGAAATGACTTGTCCGCACCCTCCTCATACCATTTTCAATCCTTCTTCCTTCTATTCTGCCGATCTACGACGATTAATCTTCTTCGCGAGGGATTTGCAGACGAACGACGATGGACGAATTCCATTGACGAACTGCTAAACCAAAAAAAAAAAAGTTTCTTTTTTGTTTGTTTTATATTTTGCTATATATGTACACCAGGGTTTTTTTTTTTCAGTGCTATCTCGTGAAATAAAATGTCAAAAGTCCTGTTAAAAAATTAATATTTTTATTTTGCATAACCTATTCTGCTGATAAAACATACATAAAAAGAAGAAAATTGTTTGCATAAGTCACCTAGTTAAGTTGCAAATGTGTAATTTGCAGTTTACATTTGTACAGTGGGTCAGATACAAGTTTTTTCTGATCAAATTTACCATTTTGCAAATTAAATTATCGAGCAATTTTCAATAACTTTTTTACCATTTCTATGCGATAGTTTATACATTTCTTACTAATTAATTGACATTATTTGATTTATTTTAAATACAATATAATTTAAACATACTTAATTTGCAAATTAAATTTACTCTTTTGTTAATTAAATTATCGAGCAATTTTCAATTGCATTTATATAATTTCTAAGCAATCATTCGTAATAGATTTCTTACTAATTAATGTAATGTACAAGTAGAAATACTTGATTTGCAAAAAGGTGAATTTAATTTGAAAAACTTTTATCAATATTTTAGGAAATAGATAATATAATCGAACCCCTAATAAAAAATTGTTGAATCTTTGAGTAACAATATAAGGGATTCAAAAGATTTTTGATAAAAAAGAAAAAGATAAAAACTTTTTTACTTTTAAATTTTATTGTAGCAAAATTTAACTTTGCTGCTATCTCAAAATATCTTGATTATTTGGTATACATTAATTATTTCAATTAGTTAATCAAATATGTCCATAATAAATTTTAATGATTGTAGTTTCAGTCCATTACTAAAAATGTCACAGAATTCCAACTGAGCTATTTGTCACATTTGTTAAGTTACAGTGCCCTTGAAATCTGAGATTTTTCAATCATAAATTAGTTCTAGATGTCAAAAGTTAAACATTATAATAATATTTTTTTGTAAAGTGTTAAATTGTTAGCTCAAAATTAAAATAACTAAAACATCATTCTTATATTGTATCTATCTTGTATCTTGTATATGTATCATTTTTTTATTTATTATTTTTTATATTGTTACCTAAAGATTAAACTTTCCCTCAATGTCAGTTTTCTTATAAGGGATTTCAATTTGATAATTACTAAAATATCACAATCCAGCCCACTGTGTTGTCTATGAAATTTCCCGGTTTAGTACTCTTTACCACCAGCTTTATGTTACAATTATTTTTCACCTGATGTCCAGAAATAGAAATGTCAGCTTGCGAATTGTCAGATAATGTTTAAAAAAATTATTAGGCTTAATAATTCATTTTAAGAAAAGAACATTTAGCGTTTGTTTTTGGACCAGTTGCATAGACCCCATAATTCCCAAAGCACTAATAATGAGTACATCTTGGGTTGACTAACAGACAAAACAAACAGTTTAAATGAAGTACTTTATGTTTTAAAAAAATGTTGGCTCAACATAATCAAATTAACATCCAAAAAATAATAATAGCTAATGGCTCAAAAATTGGTGCTGTTGTAGGCAAGTAGCTTAAGCACTTGCTATTATCATCAGCAATATTGTTAGCATCAATTTTTTTTCCATCTTTTCCAGTTTCTTTATCAACTCTTCCTTTTTCATTTTCTTGTGTTTTCCTTCTTCAACCCGGATTTTCTTCAACTCTTCAAAATCAATTTTTTTTTAATACTGCTCATGCCACTCGTTGGAGCTAACAGCACCCTAACTTTTTCACAAAAACAATCCCACCCATTTGAGTTTAAAGTCGAATGTTTGTCACTGGCCCTCTGTCCGTTACTAAACCGATGTTTAAAGAAAAGGTCCTTTATCCGGTGTAGCTAGAGTCAAGACACTGATGAAAATCTAATAAATACAGAAAGAAGAGAATCAGCTACAAAAAAAAAAAACAAAAAAAAAAAACAATACAATATGCCAGTGAATCTTTAGAAAGAAAAATGTGGGGAAAAAAATAACAAAGCTATGTTTTTGTTTCCTCTTTATTAACCATACTGAACAATTTCGTCTTGCTTACCTTATAAAGATGATTATCCAAGGAAAGTGTTTGAAGGAACTGAGACAGAAAAATAATGAACAATATACTCTGTTCTGGTATGTCCAACATAATGAAATTAAATAGATCCGTTATTCCTATATATTTGTTTGTTTTATCTTTTTCTTATGTTCAGTGTTGATATTAACAGGTTTTGTTGTATTCTGAGTTCGGGCGCTCCTACTGGATGCTGCAGTCCGCCTAACAAGGATGCATCATTGTTAATCTAAATCATAATGATAACAAGACACCTGAAGTAGTTTTAACAACGGAAAAGCCTTCCTTTTCGCAAACAGCTATAAATTTGTCGAACGCAGTTTCATGTAATGAAAAAATGCAATGCTGTGAATAAAAATACTATGTAGTTATGTGTTGATGTATTTTGGTTAGTTTTAATATTTGTCAGTAATGACTGATATGCAATTAAAGAAATTTGATTATCTCAAGTTTCATTTCCTAACATTTGTATAAAAAAAATTATTTTTTATTTTGTGCCTATCTTCAGACCAAAATGATCACGGCCAAACCATAAAATTGTAAATGTTAATCTGTTTCATATTTCTCCTTTAGCATTTTATAGATGCACGTTATTTTAGCATGCTACAGCTAATAAAGTACAATTTTACATTAAAGATTATTCTCTTTTTTAAATTTATTTAATATGCAGCCGTTTAAGGTGTAAATTTTTTGCTTTTAATAATTTTAATTGGGATATGTTTAGTTGTAATGTTGAATTTTTTGAAATTGTTAAATAAATCAACTATAGCTTCCAACTTTTTCTCCACCCTCTCAACATTATATGTTGTTTCAATTAATTACACTTTTTATCTAAAGTCTTGGTTGAGAAGAAAAAGTTAGTGAAAAGGTTGAAGAGTGGCATATTGAGCCGAAGATTGCGGGTTCGAATCCCGCTCTTGACACTAACTTTCTCATCTCAACCAAGACTTTAAATAAAAAGTATAATTAATTGAAATAATTCTGTAGGTCAATTATGACCGCTAAACATATATGGATTGTATGTTGTATTTTCAAAATGCTTATGTTTTTCAAGAAAACAGTAATTTTATGTATTTGTTTTTTATAAAAGGCTTGAATATTTGAAGGATTTTTATCCTCTTATAAGCCAACTACAAACTATTTCAGTATTGTAGATCAATGTCTTAGTGAAGAACTCACAAGGATGATGATCATGATACGCAAAATACAACAATATTTAATCCAAGAAGTATTATAAATATTATTGTCTTTCTCTTGGGAAACCAGGCTCATACTTTATTGTGATTTAATGTTTTGTCGCAAGAATTCAGATATTTGTTTTTCTTTCTTTTTATTGCCGTGTTGACAGAAAAAGTTTATGTATTGTCCTGTGATTTAGGGTGAAAACTATAAAAGTGTTTATATAGACACCTGTCTGACTCAATGCGAAAAGATAAGCTAATGATTTAAATATACAACTTTCAATATTAATAAAACATGTTATATGACCGGGAATGCATTATTGTTTTCTTAAGCTTTCAGATGATCGCATTCCTCAACAATGTTGGCCTGGGGGTCCACGTGAGGAACGTCATTCCCCACATCATAGTTTTGATGAGTACGAGAACTTAGAGTCTGGCCCAAGTCATGGGAAGCGCCGTCATAGAGCAAGTCCATTGAGGTAAAACAATACTTGTAAATGTATTTGTTAGCCATCTTATATTTGTCATCTTTTTAAACTCATCTTCTAACTACAACATATTTTTAAAACTATAAATGTTTTTATTTACTAGGGTTGCTAGGGCAAAGCATCGTGACAGGGTGGGTGGTTCAGGATCACCAAGTCATTGTGGTGGACCTTCCTCTTCGAATCTTGAAGTTGCCGGACCATCTTCATCAGACGCTTGTGGATACAATAGTGGAGATGAATACGATTACTCACACAAAGCTCAACGGACCGAAGCTCAATGGATTGAAGTATGTCCTTTATTGAATAAATTAGTTTTTTTTCATCTTTTCATTTGAGCTAAATTTTTTAATTTTATTCTTAATAGGAAGATAGAATGTTTGAGAAGAAGATGCGAAAAAGAGGACTCATGGTGAAAAAAATGGGCGAAGACGGAGCCTGCCTTTTCAGAGCCGTTGCTGATCAAGTATACGGAGATCAGGAAATGCATGGTGTGGTCCGAAAACATTGTATGGATTATATTGTAAGTATATAAAGCCCTGGTTCATACAGGGGCAATTACTGTGTGCTTCCTTCATTTGGGTTAGGTTCATCAGGCAAAATTTTCATTCTAAGACTTTCGGAAAATAGAATAAGCTGGTACTTGGGGGGGGGGATTATTTGTATAAATTTCATGCAGGTTTATCTGAGGCAAAGGGATAGGCATTAGAATTAGCCAGAGTGAGCGATAGGCTTGGGTTGTCATCAGAATGTGGTAATGACAGCTGAAAATCATATAAAATATGAACTTACTAGCAAAGAAACAGACAATTTGTGTTTAAATGTTATTGTGTGGAATGTTATTGTATCTATCATCAATATTATCTATTATTTGTCTTCAATTGACTTAAATTAAAATTAGCCCTCAGAACCCTAATACAATCCTAAAATATATCAAATTTCTCGATACACTTTTTCTTTGTATTTTTTTTTTGTCTATTTGCTGTTCTTACAGAAAACATAGATGATGGATTTTGGTCTGCTAGTAGGTGAACGTGTGTGAACCACTTACCGGGTCCGTCACCCTTGCCTCTAAACCAACAACCAACACACAATAGAGAACACACTCATAAATCTAACACAGACAAAATTCAACATTAGTGAAACAAAACAACTACAAAAAGGATTTAAAACATAACATAAAATTTGCTAACACAGAATGGAAACATCCATCATACCACAATAACGAACAGAATACCTTGCAGCCACCATACAAGACAGAACAATATTTACTATTTTTAGAAATATTAATTTTAATTTATATCTTGGTTTTTCTTCAACAATGAACAATAATTTTCCTCTTTTCTTAAAATCTTTATTTTTACGATATCGATTTTAGGGGCTTCCATCTCCCCTCTTCTCTTTGTTTACCTGCTGAAATGCATTAACCTATTAATTTTAATTTTTTCTTTCTTTTAGGCTTTAAACAGTGATTATTTCTCACAGTATGTAACAGAAGATTTCAACACCTATGTCAATCGAAAGCGATTAGATTGTACGCATGGAAATCACATTGAAATGCAGGCAATATCAGAAATGTACAATCGTACTATTGAAGTCTTCTGTTATGGGAAAGGTAAATATTAAATTTAATCTTTGTAGAGATTCAATTAAAATTAATTATTATTTGTGTCGTAGATCCAATCAATATCTTTCATGGGGTACATAAGTCAGAAAATGAACCTATACGGCTTTCTTATCAAAGAGGAAGTCACTACAATAGCATTGTTGATCCTCACAAAGCAACTATAGGGGTGGGTCTTGGATTGCCTAGTTTTACTCCCGGTGCAGCAGAAACAAATCTTTTGAAGGATGCAATCAGGCAAAGTGAAGAATTCCACATAGAACAAGTAAACCAGATTTTTTAATCTTCATCATTAATCTATAAACATTCAATTTATCATTTCTTTATTTTATTTTTTCAGGCGATGTTGGAAGACAAGTTGAGAGCAACTGATTGGGAAGCAACAAATGAGGCAATTGAAGAGCAGGTTGCTAGAGATAGTTACTTGCAATATCTAAGAGACAATGAAAAGAGAGAAAAATCTATGGTAAGACAATTTAAAAGTCAATTTATAATTAATATGATTATGGTCGGTTTTTTTTTTTTTTTATTATTTTTTTTATTTATTATCCCTGGCTCCATATGTTGGAGGAGGGCTCACAACACAAAATGTGAACTTGAGCCCCCGTTGTACTGGTGTTCTTCCATCGAAGAAACTCAGTTTTGAAGGGGGTTGGGACCAAATTCAGGGTCGCTGAGATCCGATCCCACCCCTTCCATTGATGAGTGCTGTGTCAATTTCTTTCAATTGCGGCCACCGGTCCCCTTAGGCATCAGAAAAGTCCAGAGGCAACGGTGGGGATCGAACCCACGACCGCGGGATCTACTAGCCGAGAGTCTGACGCCTTAACCACTCGACTACCGCAGCCCCCATGGTCGGTATTACTCCCTAGTTTTCTTTTTTAGTAAAGATAGTTATTGTGCTTATCCATCTATTTACAATTACTAACAATCACCCTGATCAGATCTTGTCCTGGAAATTCCATGCATTTCCACCTTCTAGATCTATTTGTGCCAACCACCTTCTCCTCTTTACTAAGCACAAACTGTAAGTTTTCTTACTTATTCTCCCCCACTTTGATTTATACTGTCTTGAAGTGGTTTTCTCTTTCTTACCTCAGAAAGTACTTCCTTGGTTTCTACATCTACCAGATGTTATTATTCCAATTTCTGTATATATAATCTCACATCTCCCGTTAAACTCTTCTGCCCCTCTGACCTCTTTCCCCCTAAACTCAGAACAACTGTGTTCAGTCCACATCTGTGCCTCCAACTTACAGAATTACCTCCCTCACTCTCTGTCTGCTGAGCTCCATCCCTTGCAACTTTAAGTACTTTGTACTCTTTGATTACCTCTAGTCCTTTCAATTTGACACTGAAGGTGCTTAATTGTTCTTTTTAAATTTAATTTCCATTGTAGAGTAAATTTTTGTATTTTTAATAAATTATTCAGGGGAGAATTTGAATCCCAGAATAATATTTACTTTTTGTTCATTCATATAGGAGGGCTTATCGTCCAACTACCAGTTAAGTGTCATGGACTTGTCACTGGTAGTTGTCCCCCCTCAAATTACTTTACAATATTTTTTCATACCATTCTAAATTAAAAAACCATGGGTTATGCTGGGATTCGAAACCAGAACTGGTAGCAAATATGAGTCGAACACCTTAACTACTCAGCTACCATGGTGCCGCGAAATATTGCTAGTGAACACTAGTTTTTTAAAAAAGAATTGTATATCAACATTTAGTGATATTTTTGTTTTTAGGAAATGGGCACCTCTAGTACAGCTGTAGATAGGAATAGTCCAAAGCCTCAGTCATCCAATCCAGAAGAGCCTAATCCAAGAACTGGCGAGGAAAAAAAATTTTTCAGCGTATTGCCACCAGAAACTTTTGGTAAAGAGGGATCATTAAGCCTTTTTTTTAAAATAATTTGTATAGTTTATAATATTGGCCTTTTATTTAAAGGGCTTAGTGAATGGGACGATGCCGGAATTCTAGCCCAAGTACTTGCTGAATCGCAACAGGAATACTTAGACAATCTAAAAAAAGCGAGGACATCTTCTTCACCATCAGCAGTGGAACAAAACTCACTTGAACAGCCCTCAACATCTAGATAACTAGATATTCGTAATTAATTACATCGGAAAAAGAGTAAATATTTTGATGTAATTGTACTTTTGTGTAAAAGTGTTGCAATATTATGTGATCTTTAACTATAGCTTTATTTCTTTATTTAATTTTTGAGATATAAAATTATGTTTCTTAGATTTAGAATAAAACCAATTCACTGTTCACTCGTTATATTGATTGATTTAGAACAGAAGTCATTTTATAATTGATAATAAACTAAAAATATCAATTTTAATATGACATAGTAGATGATGGGGTTTGGTCTGTGAGTTGGCGAACTCATGTTGAACCGGCACACGGGCACTACTGGGTCTGTCTTCACTCTTTAATATGACATGTTGAAATGTGAATAGTATCAAAAATAAATCGGAGGAAAAAGTGACATTTAAACATGTCAGTTTAAAATAAACTGATTGTTTCAGATCCTTATTGATACAGGTTCCTGAAAAAAAAGAAGTATTTGAAGGGCAAGTCATTATGAAATAAAACAATAAATACTATTGACAGTTTAAAATTACCTCTTTTTTTGAGCATTTTAGTTTTCTTTAAAAGAAATCTGCTTAATTTGACTTCCATTAATACATCAGAATGAAATAAAAATTGTATTATCTGAAAAGTTTTAATGGTACTGATTACAGTTGTTTGGAGTTCAAATCAAAACAACAAAAATGAACGAAGTCCAATCTTTTTTGTAATAAAAATTATTGCAAGTATAACTTTAAACGCATACACCTCTATCTTCCCCTTAACTAGAATCTTACTGTACAACTTCTCTAACAAAATAACATGGATTATATGATGAAAATATACTGTGTAGGTTTGTATGGACTTTTTTCCGGGTTGAATTAAAATGTTAAGAGTAAAAGGAAAAAATGTTAGACAAATTTTTGATTGCTTTTAACTTTTAGAATATTTTGCACATATAGTTGGCATGAGGCTTGACAACTGTTCTGGTTTCTAAATCAAAATTAAATCGCCTTTCTCATTTTGATACGACTGTGAATAGTCTTAGTTTTTTATTCAACAGAGAAAAGAGGTGAAAATTTCAACTGCTACATGTCATGCTCTTAGAAAAACGTTTCTTTAAAAAACATGAAGTAAAATTGTTGAGTTGCAGTTGCTCTTCGTGTATCCTTTAATTCAATACTATTTAATTGATATAAGTTTCAGTTGAAACATGAATTCAATGAGGGACAGTAGAATTTACAAAATGTGCTGTGCTGTAATGTGTCAAGTAATTTTTTTCCAAGTCTTATTTTTTGTGTATTTAATTTCTTTCAATATTTGTTATACAAGTAAAAAAATAAAATTCATACAAAAGAATTAATATTGCTTGCATATTTTGAATTAATTTTATTATTTCATCTCGTAATTTTAAAAAAATGTATATTAAGAAAACTTAAAAAAAAAAAAAAATCAATTTAAAGAAAAATGATTTCAACTTATTGTGTGTTATTAGTTAGATATAAATGATTGATTATTATTACCACGATAGGTTACTAAACACTTCTTTCTTAATATGAACAAAATGCGTTCATAGTGTGATTTGTAATAACATGTACATGCACAAATAAACTCATTATAACGATAAATTAATAACAATAAACATCATTACGTGCATATAAATTGCTCTTATCTTTTGTTACAAATTTTTATAATACTATTTTGAAAATCTTGACAATGAATGTGAGCAAGAGAGAAAATTTTATAGTTCTGTGTTGTTTGTTATTTCTTCGAGAGATTAACTTTGCTTACAATAATTATTAGCAATAAGGGATTCCCCGGTACAGTTCGACCAAAGTTTTGACTTCAAGAGAATTTTTTGAAATGTCATAATTCTCACACAAGAAGTGTTCATAATTTATACTTTTTTTAAAAAAGAGTGATTGATTATATTTTAAAAATTATGTGGTTTATAAGTGCAATTTAGTCAGTTTAGGAGTATTTTGTCGAGATGGTTAGGGATGGTCGCCCTAACTAAAAGTCTCAATTATTAAAACAATATTTTGTGTCAAATTGTTCAGAAAATATGTCTGAATATCCTTTAATTATAATTTAAACTTAATTACTCTTCCCATTCAGATTTCAAAACAAACTAATAACTATAAAAATATTAGCAGTGTATAATAATAATAATAATAATAATAATAATAATAATAAACAGTATGTTTATATTGTGCCAAAGATAAATAATTGTATAATTCTCTTGTGCCTCAGATATTTATTTGGACAAAGTTTTAAAAATTTTAATTTTATATACTCAAGAAAAATCATCTTAATAATTACATAATTATGATGAAGTAAAGATATAGATTCAAACATTGTGTTTTAAACTGGTTCATAAAAATAAGATTGAAATTCATCGATTGGATTATTAAATAGTTTGACAATTTGATTCCCTGACTGGGATAGCAGGGATTTTTCCAGGGTGTTCATACCATTAAATTTGTGATACCACTTTCTTTGTGTTTGTTGTAATACAGTGTGTTAGATGTGTAAGTTCCTTGTATAAATTGTAAATATGTAACCTCCGCAACTCCTATAGCAGTGCTTAATACTCAGCGCTAAATGGTAATGTACTTTACCATATATCTGCAGACTCTAAATGAAAACTGATTGTAGTTATTAAAACTATTTTATCAAAGCAAAACTAAATCGCAAACGAATTTTTATTTCATTTGAATAAAATCATTTCACAATCGAATTAAGTAATAGTGGCAAAATTTTAAAAATTGTTTTCCCTGTAATTATACCAATAGTATATATGCTAGATAAAATAATCCATTAATGTTACCATGAAAAACTATATTTTTATCCCTTGAGGTTCATTACAAAAATATACTAAGTAAGTAAGCTTAAGCTTTATTTTTTTACACGGCTCGTATCTACTTGTGGTATGAATAATTTCTTGCGAATGTACAAATACTACATTTATTTAATAGACATCAAAATATCACCAGTTGATCTAGAAAGGTCCAAGTGAATAGTAAAAAAAATATTGTTAAATAAAATAAATATTCTATGATACACGATGTTTCATTTTGTTGTAAAATTGAAAACAATTATTTCTGAAATAATAAATGTAAATTGCACATTATAAAAATATAATGTGCCCATGCATGCTTCCATATAAGAATATGATGCTGTAAAATGGTTGTATGATTATTCATGAATTTGTAAATCAATAAAAGCTTAAAACATAAACTTGTAACATCAACAAGCTAAATAATTCTACAAATAATATACATACATATAAGTGACATTTAAAAACCTTGAAAGGTATTATTTTTATTGCCTGTGCCAATTTCTGTGGTTAATAAGTAAATTTGTTATTAGTTTTTATACATACATCTAAATAATGACACAAGGCCAGTGGCGCTTTAATCATCGGGGAGGATCTTTTGTCCAGTAGTAAGAACAATGAAGTGTCTGTTGAGCCCTTCATGGGGCGAAAGTGAAATGTTGGCACTATTGTATACAGAGCGTACTAGGTATGTTACTTTACGTGGTATTCACCAAGGATTTTCCAAAAATGGTTAACGAAAAAATTTCACAAATGATAGTGCTTATTTCAATAGAACCTTTTTTTTTCTCTTGTAAGTCTAATACCAGAAGTCATCCAAATATTTGCCAAAAAATAAAAGTATAAAAAAATGTATTTGACTTTTGGCTCAATGCACTGCAGCTCTAATCACTTGGGCTATTGTAACTTCAATCCACCCAGATACCAACTGCTTTTAACTTAGAATTATAATTAATTAATATAATAAATACAGTCAATTATAACTACTAAATACATATATGATTTTATTAGTGTTGAATAAGATGCTAGAATTTATTTATTTTACTATGTTGATATTGGTGTAAGCATTGTTAACAACAGAATCGGTAGAGATTTTTTAGGGAAACAAGAAATTCACTGTTTCCATTAGTTAATTGTTTTAACTATTTTTTAGTTAATTATACTTTTATTCTAAGGTACTGATAGAACGAAAAAAGAAATGTCACAAGCGAGTTCGAACCCATGACCTTTGGTTCAATACATCGCTGCTCCAACCGCTTGAGCTATTGTAACTTTGATCCACCTGGACATCAACTCTTTTTAAATTATTATTCGGAGATCATGAGATGCGGTCTGGTGTGACGTAGGTTTTAGAAAAACATTTTCTTTATCGTGCCAACGTTTCGATCTTTATTGAGATCATTTTCTTTTTAAATTAGAAATATAATTAATTAAAATGATCAAAACGGTCAATTATAACTAGTAAAAACATACATTTCACTTAGGGCACTCTCAACACGACACGCAAGAATGTCACAATTACTCAGAAAACAAACACTTTGAGCCCTGAAGATGATCTGAATAAAGATTGAAACGTTGGCATGATAAAGAAAATGTTTTTCTGAAACCTACGTCACACCAGACCGCATCTCACGATTTCCGAATAATCATAGACTAACGGTCACTAATCACCATACATTTCACTTACTGTTGAATAAGATGCTAGAATTTATTTGTTTTACTATGTTGATATTTGTGGTGCAAGCATTGTTAACGATAGAATCCGAAGAGATTTTTTAGGAAACAGGAAATTAACTGTTTCAATTAATTAATTGTTTTAATTAATTATCCTTTTAATCTAAGGTCTTGGTTGAATGAAAAAGGAGGTGTCATGAGTGTGTTCGAACCCGCGACCTTCAGCTGAATACACCGCTGCTCTAACCGCTTGAGCTATTGTAACTTCGATCCACCCAGACACCAACTCCTTTTAACTTAAGTATAATTAATTAAAATTGTCAATACAGTCAATTATAACTACTAAATACATATAGGTTTTTAGTGTTGAATAAGATGCTAGAATTTACTTCTTTTACTATTTTGATATTGATCAATATGGACGATTATTACTACTAATGCATATACAAGTTAATTAGTTTGTTAATAAGATGCTAGAAGTTTATTTGTTTTAACATTTTGGTATTGGTGTAAGCGTTAACAGAGGATTAATCAGCAATTAATGACTTTTTTTTGCAGTAAGAAGGAAAATAGTATTGAAATGTAAACTGGAAGTGATGCAACATTGTGTATCGGTGGAAATCTGCATGATGGAAGGCAGTATTTAAGTGAGTTTATGAAATCGCAGTCGGAATAAATTTATTTCGTGTTATTGACCAATTGAGCCTTCGCGTGGGAGAGTCTCCATCCGGCCATAATTGGTCACGACCAACGATTTTCTGAATCCCAGGAAACGCAGGCGACGGGGGCGCGTGACAATTGGAAGAGGTAAAAAAAAAAGAGTTAAAAACAAAGGCAGTCGGTGCCGAATTTGACAGCCTGCAATGTTGTCGTGTTTCTGCATAGAGTCAAAAAGCGGAAAAAAGGGAAGACAATAAGAGATCGGTCTCTAGTTTTGAATTTTGCCGAAGAGTAGGCGTCAGTCCTTGGAAACTTCGAACCGCTCTGAAACGTCAACCGTCGCCCGCCCTGTGCACATTGGATCGCCGTCCGGTCAAAAAGTCTCTCGCCTCTTCCAAATTATTTCCGAACCGCCGTTTAGAAACTTTTCCCCTCCGACGAAATTCAACCGATTTCCGTGGAAATCTCTTTCGGGAAATTCGCCCCGGCCCGCTTAAAACCCTGGGCGAAACCTAACGACAGAAGTTTACGTTGGCAACGAAGGTTTATTTATACAGTATGAGGGCGAACTGGACTGCGTTGGTGTAAATAATCTCGTATATCGAAAAGAAAGTCAACTCGTTTCAATCAAACACTCGCCTGTCACACTTTTCTCGACCGATTACAAGGGAAAACGCCAGTTTCTAGAGAGTTTCTCGTACCTTTTAGAAATGTAGCCTTCGCCACGAACGTCTCGTTTTAATCGGCAAATACGTTTCATTTCGAGCGAATCTACATTAAACAGTTATGCTCACGATGGATACGAATAACGGCGTTTTAGAGTCAGCCAACGAGTTCATTAAAGGTTTGTACAGACATTTGACATGTTTAACTTTTTGTTTTTATGCTTTTTTCAAATACAAATAAAGTCTGCCTTCATTTTCAAGCTCGAACACAGCCGATATCAAACTTATAAACAAAAATTCCTAGTACTGTTCCTTTAAGACGATTCAAAATAATCGAATGAAATTTTGATACAATTTCACAACTATTCTCATTTAAATTATAACGCCTGTAATTGAATTTTTGTCAGATTTTACCACTTTTACACCAATCTTTTAGGCTCATTAACATTAGTCTGACAGCGGCTTGTAAATAATTCAAACAAAAAAACGTTTCTTATGTACTGCACAATAATTTTATGTCAATTAAAGTCATATTGAGAGGGAAAAAGTACTAGAAAACCGGCCGTATTTTAAGCTCCAGTGGGGAACTACCCACATACAGACCTAAGCAGGTCCAAATTAGTTAACAAAATCTATTTAATTGTTAAAAATTGTTGAAAAAAACAACAAACTTGCTTACTTAAAAAAAGTCTATTTATTTAAAGGAAAGAAGTCTTGTTTCAGAAAATCATGCAAGAAGAGTAGTTGTACCTGGTTATAAAATAACCACATAACAGCCATATATAACACATATAATAAAACTATTTAAAACAATTAATCTTTTTATGTAAGGTGTTGGTTGAAATGAAAAAGCCAGTGTAACAAGCGGGATTCGAACCCCCCAGCCGAAAGTTGTGGGTTTTTATCCTGCTCGTGACACGGGTTTTTTCATTTCAACCAATACTTTACATAAAAAGATTAATTATTTGAAAGAAGTTATTTGGTCAATCGGACCACGAAATATAAGGGATTTAATAAGTATTTAAAACATTGTTATAAAACCACTATTGCTCACTTAAAAAAAAAAAAAAAATTACAATAAATAAACTCATACTTCTTATAAGAGACCTCCATTAACAAGATTCAAGTCTGAAGTCTTAACACGTTCAAATTAGATGCTTGAGTATTGTTTAAATGTTAAAAAATTGTTGGAAAAACAACTATTGCTTATTAAAAAAAAGGTCTGATATTTATTTAAAGGAGAAAGGTTTGTTTCAGAAAATCATGCAAGAACTGCCACCCGGCTATAAAGACACCCAAATTACAGTCATAAAACATTAATAAAAGTATTTAAAATTTTGTTATAAAACCACTATTGTTTACTTTAAAAAAAGAAGATATTTAGTGTTTTTTTTATTTTATTTTTTTATTTTATATATTTTTTTTAATGAGGGTTTGCAACAGCAGAGGTTATATCAACCCTCAGGACCTTTACCTTACAGTGATGAGCACCATGTCAACGCCTAAACCATTGCGGCCACTGACGCCCGATTTAGTGTACATTTGTAGGAAAAAATTTTGCCTAGGGAAACACAAAAAGTATAGTCATGCTCGGTTATAAATACCGTCTTACCATGTTCAAAGTAGATAATTCAATATTGTTTAAATGAAAAAATTGTTGGGAAACAACTAATAATAATAAATGTATTTTATTAATATTCACAATACAAAACACCTTTTTTGTTACAAATACTGTAGATGCATATGACTCAATTATGTATATAAAAAATTAAGAATTAAAATAGAAATGTAAATACCTAGCTAAAAGTAGAATTCTTCAATTAAAAATTTTCTGCATTTATATGATTGCAGCACACAACTTAACTAAATTTTTCCATTTGTTACCATTCAAATAATAAATTCTTCTCTCTCCATTTTTTCTTTTTTGCAACACCTTTTATGGCAGTATTTTAATATTGGGCATAGCGCTATGAAGTGGTTCATATTTTCAATAGCTCCTATATTGTACATGGCACACTTCCACCAGTCCTAAGGTCTACCCACAGAGTATTGGGTTGTCGGGAAAATAATGCACGTTTATGGTTATAAAATAAAAACAATTTATTAAATGAGTTTAAATATTTTTTAATAATTAAAATACTCTCCATCACTCGTACACTTCTCCCAACGTGATGGCAACTTCTCTATACCCTCTAAATAGAATTTTGAGCCTTTGTTATTAACAAATTCAGTAAACACATTTTATATCGACTTGTGGTCAATAAATTGTTTATGTTGTAAAACATCCAGATGTCTGAACAAATAGTAGTCAGTACGACAGGTCTGAAAAATAGGGAGGGTGAGCCAGAAGCTCAGAACCAAGATCCAACAGATTTTGTGTTGTCATTTGTGACATGGGGCCGAGCATTGTCATTTAACAGAAACTGCATTTTCCGATTGACCAAAGATGTCTTCAATAATGCCATTTCTGGTGCATTGCTTCAATTAGGGAGCAATACATTTTGGCATAGATTGTTTCATCAGGATTGAAGAAGCTGTAGTAAATCATCCCAAATGAAGCCCACTAAAGTAACTATCTCCTTTTTTTGATGATTTGGGGGCTTTAAAAAAAATTTGGTTGTGCTTCTCTTTTATAGAGCTACTGTCCAGAATGTCTGCTGTTATTGTATAAAATGTGGATTCTCACAAGTAACAATTCTATCCAGAAAAGGTTCGTTTCTGTTTCGTCAAACAGAAGTGTTGTGCAAATATCATAATGATGATTTTTTGGCAGTCGTTTAATGCATGAGGAACCCAACTTTTAAACTTTTTCACCTTTCCTTAAAGTGGTCAGTGATGGTCGATTTGCTAACTTGAAAGATTCTCTACAAGTTGTCGAACAGTTGTTCTGGGATTTTCTTCGCCTAATGCTTGCAGAACATCATCATCTAGGCAAGAAATCCTTCCACGACCTTTTTTGTCTTCAAGGCTAAAGTATCCATTTCGAAATTTTTTAAATCACCTTTGAATGGTGCTCTCACTCACACTGACATCGCCTCAGACTTCATTAATGTTTCTGGCAGTTTGGGCACCGTTCTGGCCGAGTGTAAACTCGTCAAATGTAATTACACGAAAATAAAGCGGTTACATCTTAGTCATCTGAATTATTCCCAAGTAACGAAATGTTACTGAGGTAAACAAACATTTTTGTTTTGGAAGAGGATTAAAACGTGTAAAACAAAAGAATAATTCATCAAACGTAAACAGTTTATTATATAGAGGGGTAACTTAAAGAAAACATGAAATCCTGCATTATTTTCCAGACAACCCAACACAACACACTATAGAAATGTTAAATAGAACTATAAAATGGCAGTTCGACAGAGTTTAAGGCCATTGTCAGTAAGTTAATAGCTCTCATGAACTGTAAAATTAATGTAAATCAAGCATTTATACATTCATTCATTCAATAATGTGGATGCCTTAATAGGTACGACGATGGAAAATTAAGATGGATTGTAAAGCAGCGTAGAGATAACGAGCTTGAACCATCAAGTTGGAGCTTAGTTACTTATGAAGCAAACAATAGTGTGCCTAGTCAGCTCATTCAAGGAACTCAGATATTATTTTAATGGCTGAGCCTTGAGAAGCGACGGTGTCGTTTTGGAGCTGTTGTGTTGATGAACTGGATGGATGTGGTAGACAATGTTGGTGGACAGCTGTCAGCCATGTCGGCTCTCGATTGTTCGATGCATTGAGCTGTTAAGATTACCATTGCTGTTTGTGCCTGGTGTTGCCAACTTGCTTCTTTGTTGAGATCTTGTCTAAATAGGTTGTGTCCTTGCTTATATAGAGGGGTGCTACAAGATATGCTATAAAACATTAAAACTTGCATTATTTTCTGGACAACACACTAATTTAGTTACAATAATTCACACCTAATCAATCAAATATTATAGACATAAAATACCTCCTACTTTATTTTCGTGTAAATATGTCTGCCAAGATGAACATTGAATATGTTGTAAATAACATGGAATTTGGCTGCACTTAAATTTGCTATTAAACTAAGTTTAACTTTTTCTACATTACAATTAATTAAGGTTTTTTAGTTGAGATAAAAAGTCAATGTCACGAGCGGGATTCAAACCCACGATCTTCGGCTAGATATGCCGCTGCTCTACCACCTGAGCTATTGTGACCTCGATCCACTCGGACACTAACTTCCCATCTCAACCCCACCTTTTGAATTTTCCCTCCTTTTTGCTATTTTTCAAGTTAGTGTTTGGGTGGATCGAGGTCACAATAGCTCAAGTGGTAGAGCAGTGGCGTATCTAGCCGAAGATCGTGGGTTCGAATTCCGCTCGTGCCATTGACTTTTTTATCTCAACTAAAAAACCTTAATTAATTGTAATAATTAATTGGTCAAGCGGATCACGAAATTACTGAATTTTTCTACATTACTATCTTTTGTATAAATACAGTCCATGCTGAAAAATGCATTTGTGGCATAACTCATATACTTCCTTGAACCAGCCGATTATTCTAGTTATAACATGAATCTGCTAAATATTTTTTAAGAGGGAATCGTGTCATTGTCAGTACTTTATTTACATAGCTAATGTGAAGTCAGAAAGTGCAACAAAAGAAAGGGAGTTGATCTGGTTCCAAATAACCAAGTAATCTGGTGTACATCTGGGAAGAGAAAATAGTCTTTTTATAAAATATTTTTGTAATTTCTCTTCTTCAGAGGTTCAGTTCATTTCCCTGTAGCCTCATAGCACTTAACTGCTCTGCTCATAGAATCAAACACATTATATTTTACAATTAATTAAGATTTTTATTGGGTTGTCCGGAAAATAATGCAGGATTTTAAGTTTTCATTAAAAAAAATCTATATAAAATATTCTGTTTACGTTTACAGGATTACTCATTTGTATGAATGTCAACACTTATTAATCCTCTTCCAAATGATATTGTTTGTTTACCTCTGTAGCATTCCGCTACTTG